TATATAGTTGTTGTAGTTTTGTATTTAAGGGGAAATTAAAATATGTGGTAAAAGTCTAAAACTTATATGAAGACTTTATGGCATACAATTACAAAATATTAATGTGAATGAAATCGTTAACCGAGATAGATTCATTTGAGCTAAGAAAAACTCCAAGTACATGATGTGAAAATATAATTAAGTAAAGAAAATAAGACTATTTGTTTATGTAGTTGGTAAAGTTGCACTATAGGTTTAGGAAATAGGAAGCTACAAATTATTTTATACAATGAGAATATCATGTAGCAGTGATGGGAGATAATTGTTCACTCTCTTTCAAAGTAGAGCCCAAAACCCACAATATGACAAATTTTGTGGCATAAAGAACTGAGAACGACCCATATTGTTATGGAGGGAATCCTTTTTCCTCTCTATCTTTTTTATTTTATTTGAGTTTTTGTTTTTATTTATAACAAAACATAACTTATGTGTTAAATTATATAAATGTTTTAATCTTTATTGACAATTTAATTGGTTTACAAGTCAATTTTTGTTTTTTAAGTAAGTCTTAGTTTTTCATTCACTTATATTCGAAATATCAAAACATCATTAAAATATACAAGATCATTGAGAAAACATAGTAAACCAGGTAATATGTGATTATCTTACACTATTAATATTCATCCTACTCAACTGAGGAAATGATTATGTTACACTATTCATCGTACTCAACTGATGAATTTTAACATGCAGCATACACGAGAAAGTTTTACAATAGCAAAATTAACACCCGTTAAAACCTTTATCAAAGAAAAAAAAAATTAACACCTGATTCTTAATCATGTTAAAACTACAGTTTTTTACAAAGGTTTAAGTATAAAAAAGATATTTCAAAAGAGGGAGCGAATATTATAAAGAATAACTTTGGCAGATATAAAAGAAAGAAAAATGTAAACTTTAGTGTAAAAATTGTGATAAAATGAGAGGAGAAAAGAGTGACCTTTTGCATTGGGTTCCATTATTTATCATAGAGTCGGCCTTTTTGTGGCTGCTTGTGGACCTTCCTCATTTCACCGACCTTTTTCAGTTCCAATGCATCTACTATGTTTTTATTTTCTGCATTCGAACGTTTTTAGCGTATATTGATATGAATTTAAATTGCTATGATACAATAGTGATGAATAATAGTATACCAGTTATTCACATTTCAAAAATATTGTATTTTATACCTTTTGTTATTCATAACATTTATCAAATTTTTACAGTCATGTTTTTGAAAAGTATTCATGCATGGTGTTGTATATATGATGCACGTATGTAAATAGATAAGAAAATATTCATTTTCAAAACCTAAATTAAGTGTTTTTTATTACTCAGCAAAACAATTGTTCAGCTCAAGTATTTTTGTTATATTATTTTGTTTTTTTACTATATGTTCATGATATATCAGTCAATAGACTCGTTACCAATATTTTTCAAATAAAAATTGTTCCATTGCATCAATATTCCTTCTCCAAAAAACTTTGCTTTGATATATATATATGTCATAACATCTAAGGATATCTGCAATGTTTGGAAGGACAACGGTAGAGGAAAATGAAAATAGACTCATCCCATTTTGACATAGATTTTTTTTTTTTTCAAGATGTAAATAGTGTGACAGTGTATACAGTATACTGAGTCCAATCGATCACAGAAACACGAGCATTAACTTTCATAAATACTACGGTTTTAATCTCGTCAGTCGTCGTCACTATGAACCGAATCCAACGTTCTGGTGGGAGGGTTATTGGATTGTCATCACGAAAGTGACATTAATATTTGGGTCCAACTACTGTATTTGAAGTGAAAATGACGAAATGCGGTATATAAATGACAAATATATGTACTCTTTAAAACCAAAAAAAATAAAAAATATATGTACTCTAAACTTATACATACATACACTGATACACATAAGGTTGAAGAAGAAACATCCCCATACGTACGCGTGCGTTTATATACATGTACGAGTAGGAGGACAAGTATGTTCAATATGTCCCACGTGGTGGCATGCATACATCATCATCCCACCATCTAAATTTGCATCCACCAGTTTCTAGTAGAATACAAAAATAGAAATGGCATAATTAATAGAACTAATCTAAATATATGATTCGACTTGTACGGTTACACTCAACCCTTCAATTTTTTAAATAAAATTGTACCAAAAATTATAAGCCTCTCAAAAAATTCACAGCACATATAAACTATTTTGTATGCCTTTTTTTAACTGTCCTTTTTTTTGTATTCAAGACTAAAACTCAATATACAACCTAACTACCTGAGGTTGTACGATCTTAAACCTATAAACGCACATCGGACAATAAACCTATAGACTATATATAGTGTATAGTGAGAATCAATTCAAAGGGAAAAAAATAAAAATAAATGCAAAATTGATTAATAGAAGAAATATTTGGGTCACTTCACTTGGATACATTTATCATATTTACTTGCAGAAAAAATGTGATTTGTCAGAGTGCTTCGCTGTGTAAAATTCGTTATTGACTCAATTCCAAACTTCCAAAGCATCACGCGCTCACTTCTCACGTGTACTTCAACCTTCTGGTCAAAGTTTGAACTAATCCCCAACTAATTAACTTAGTATTATCTTAATTTTAACATAAAAGATAAAGTAGTAATATATTACCACATGTGACTACTAATGCTATGATAGAAAATGTAAGTCCAGGTAAAATAATACTTAAGTTCATTCTCTCGAACCGTTTGAATTATATTTTAAAACGCCCAAATATAATTGAATCGAAGCATCTCGTTTGCATGATCTTTTTAAGTTTCAACATGGAACCAAAATACAGCGATCAATTTTTAAAAAGAAAGAAAATAATAGAAAAACGAATTTAAGCCTTAAAGATTTGAAACTAAAAGCAATGGTTGCTGGTTGAGTCACGTAAATTGTCGTATACTCTTTTAACAAAACAACAACTATAACATTGTCAATCTCGTTGCAATTATTGTTCAATATCATCTCTATACACAAATATAAATTCTAGGACTTTCAGTTTGAAGTGATTTAATGTTTTTTTGTCTTTTTTTTTTTTTTTTTTCTTTCTTAAATCCAGACAAAACCAAATGGCTATAGCATATAGGAAAACAAATTGCAAGATAAAATCAAATGTAAACAAAAAGGAAAACTGTTTCAAATCAAGTCAATTTTTTTTTTGTTTGGTGTCATGTTAAAGTAGTTTACATTTCAATTTAAACTCCTTTTTCTACCAATACATTATAACACAATCAAAACCGAAAACCAGAGTTATAAAAGAAAAGAAATATATTCAACATATACTTCTATGGATCACGATTCACGAATCGAACCATGTGCACTTGCAAAAGAAAAAAATAAATAATTGAAATATTCCTTTGAAATTAATAAAACATTTTATCAATTAGAGAACCCTAAAAGTAATCATATTCCCCTCAAAACTCTAGAGACTGCCGTAATAAAATCACCACGTTCGTTTGTGTGTAAGTGAAGGCAAGTTTTTGAATGCACTAAACTTTTTGTATTCTATATTCATAAATATAAATTAGTAAATTAGGCTTTGCGTCACATAATTTATTTTAAGATTCTTAAAACAAATTACGGATAAATACTAACACTAAATCTGATCAATTTTAAAAATCAGTAAAACAATATTGATAATCCGATAAAAAATATTTAAAAATAATTTTGTAGATCAATTTACTTTCTAGTTACAAACGACATTTTTTAATTAATGATATGAAAATACTATTAATTTGTTTTTTGCTTGTATCTTGTTTTAATATGGGAAACATATTTACAAGTGTCTATATCTAATCGACTTGTTAAGAAATTTGATTATTTATAAAACTTTGATTATTCTACTTCAAACGTTTAAACTGAAGAAAATTTATTTATTTATTTTTTCCAAAGAAAAATTGGAAAATTACTATTGAAATTAGAATATCAAACCATTTTTTTTAGCTGTTCAATAATCATTTTATTAGTTTTCTATTTATATTATTATCTTTAAAAATATTGTGTTAATATATGTTATATATGGTCGATCCGATCGATATAAATGATATGTCACGATCGAGTGAGTTATAATTATATGTGTCAACCTCTAGTCGTTTTATATAATATTATGTTGCTACCAAAAATTATATATTTGAATTACATTTGAGAAAAAAAAGAGAAGGAACATTAAAAAAAATAGAAGCATGTATGGAAACAAAAAACATAAATGGAGAGACACATGGATTTCAGCGTTATTTTTTCAAACTTGCCTTCATACCCGCGCACTAACCCATCCATATATACGTTGCCTTTTCTTTTCTTTTCTTATTTTTCTCTTATTTTTCTTAAATTCCAAAATTGGTGAAAATAAAATCTTAGAGAGAGAAAGATAGAGAGAGGATTCAAAAAGGAGGTCATGTGAAGAGAGAGAGAGAGAGAGAGAGAGAGAGAGAGAGAGACCGAGAGGAGTAATGAGATCATTTTCATTTACAGTTCCAAATGGCAGTGAGAGTTTCTAAACCAAACCAATGTTCATGAATCGTGAATGACTACAAAATCAATTTTTTAAAATTCCCTAATTTCCTCATTTCAGTTTGGGGAAAAAATCACAACTTTTTTGTTTCTTTCTACAAAATCCCTTTTCCTATTTCCGTTTCGTCCAAATTCAATCTTTGTGAATTGTGACATTAACCCAGAAGAATTCGCGAGGTATAAAAAGCAGGGTGTGTGCGAGTGATGAAAATGAGTTCCTTTTCAGAGTGATTTTATAAATAAAAATTAGGGCTTTCGATTTTCTTTTATTTTCCTGGAAAAAGTTTGGGTTTTTTTTCCGGATAAGAAAAAAAAAAGGTTGGAGGGGTCTGAGTGAGATAGAGATAGTTTTTGGGTTTTTAATAAAGGAGAAGGAGCGTCGAAGAAAAACAATAGACAAAGAATTTAACAGAAGAGAGCGTTAGAGAGAGAGAAAGAAAGAGAGATGGAAGAGACAACGAAGAAGAAGAAGATTGTTAATACCGAAGATTCCAAAAAGAAGGAGCGTCATATTGTTACTTGGACACCAGAGGTCTCTCTATATATTTATTTATATTCAATAACAGAGACGAATCTCTGTTTTATTGCTCTCTGTAATCGAACGGTTTCTGGGTTTTGCAGGAAGATGATATACTTCGAAAGCAAATCAATTTGAATGGAACTGAAAAGTGAGTCTTTTTTTCTCGGGAAAGGTTTCTGTTTTATTGGGTCGATCGATTCTGATGAAAAGATTGTTTTTTTCTTCTGTTTGATTGATATCAGTTGGGCGATCATCGCATCGAAGTTCAATGATAAAAGCACAAGGCAGTGTAGAAGAAGGTTTGGTCAAAAATCTATTGAAAATCAAAATGATTTCTGGAGTTTTTGGGTTGTATTTAATCTCCGATCATGGATTTTGATTCTGCAGATGGTATACATATTTGAACTCTGATTTCAAGAGAGGAGGCTGGTCCCCTGAAGAAGATACACTTTTGTGTGAGGTTAGATTTCTTTTCTTTTTATTACCTATAGATGAAGAGATTGTAGCGTTTGCGTCTGATCTTGTCTGTGTGTGTTTGGTTTCTTAGGCACAGAGGTTGTTTGGGAACAGGTGGACTGAGATAGCAAAAGTGGTCTCAGGAAGGTACATATAGAGAACACAAAAAGAGCTTTAATGGTGAATGGAGCTATTAGAGAATCAGTCTGGTGAAAAGTTGCTTTCTTGTTTTTTTGTTGTTGTTGTAGAACGGATAATGCAGTGAAGAACAGGTTCACAACACTGTGCAAGAAGAGAGCCAAGTATGAAGCCATGGCTAAAGAGAACAGGATTGCTTGTTGTGTGAACACAAACAACAAAAGAATGCTGTTGCCTGATGGTATTAGCACACCCCGGAAAGTTGAAAGCGAATCTCCTCTTGCTAAGAAAACGAAGTGAGTTTTGTTTTGTGGGGGTCATTACTCATTGCACTGACTCATCCAAAGAAGAAAGCTTTGCACTGTTGTATTGACATGTAATGGCCATGTTCATTGTTCAGGAGAAGTCACATTCCGGATCATACAGAGACCAGTAAGTATGGGGATAGGTCACATTTGAAGGTTGGTTCTGGTGTGAATCAGCAGATAAGACCTCCACTTTTGCTGCTAGCTCACAATGCCACAAGTATCGATGTCAAGGAGGAACAGAATCAAACAGGCAATGTGAAAGAGAGTGACGGTAAGCACAAAACTCTTCTTTCTTATGAGAGCACAGACTGAGTCTTACTCTATTTGTTTTTTTTTTCCGGTAAATAGGTGAGGATAAAGGAAATCAAGAGGTGTTTCTTAAGAAGGATGATCCAAAGGTAACAACATCTTTGATGCAACAAGCTGAGCTTCTCACTTCATTGGCTCAGAAAGTTAATGCAGACAACACAGAGCAAAGCATGGAGAATGCCTGGAAGGTGATTATGCCCGGTTTTATTTCTTGACTCATTTTGGTCATTTTGTGAGCTTTCTAGTAACACAAGCTGTTGTTTTTCCTCCTAATATGTGCAGGTCCTGCAGGATTTCTTGAACAAAAGCAAAGAGAATGATTTATTCAGATATGGACTGCCAGATATCGATTTCCAGCTTGATGAATTCAAGGATCTTGTTGAGGATTTAAAGAGTAGTAACGACGACAGTCAAACATCTTGGAGGTTCTGAAACTATACACTTGTTGAAATATGAATGATTGTGTGATTTTATACCTGAATGGTTTCTGACGTTTAATGTTCCCTTTATTAGGCAACCTGATCTCCATGATTCACCAGCAAGCTCTGAGTATAGCTCAGGATCAACCGCAATGCCGCATCCTTCTGGTGATACAACTCAACAACCCATGTCTGATCCTCAGAAAACAACTGAGAACCAAAACGGGGAGGATTCACTACAAGATAAAGAGATTGTGTCTGATGCAGCTATGGAAGTGGATGTTCTCTCAACTTTTCATGATATCCTAAAGAACCCTGATGAGACTGTGCCTATGTCTGGTGAAGAAGTGTTTAACTCGCCTGTTCAAGTCACACCATTGTTCATGATCTCTAGCTGCAGGCATCCCAAGCCCACAATTCTCTGAAAGTGTAAGCTTTTTACACCTGACTAATTTGAATTGTGGAACAGTTTTATAAAAAGAAACCTGATGAATCATTCTCTCTGCAGGAGAGGTCCTTTCTGCTAAAGACACTCGGTGTCGAGTCCCCATCTCCATATCCAAGTGCTAATCCTTCACAACCACCTCCTTGCAAACGAGTCCTTCTCGATAGCCTTTAAACCAAACTAAACCAGACCAAACAAAAGCTCTAAACCAAGAAAAACCCGTCTCTAAAACCGCGGTTATGTCCTCATGGAGTAAGGCATAACTTGCATTTTCTCTCCTCTCTTTTTGCTTAGATTTTCTTCATAGGTTTGCAGCCATATCGGCCTGAAAAGTTTTAGTGAAGCGGGCGTGCCATGATCTGCATTTTTTTTCTCAATCGATATCCACCTCCAAAACTTCACTGAGAGCTTCCCCAATACTTCTGAACGTGGGTTCAGCCCAGAAGTGAAGCGGGATCCCCATCATACGCACCCAAAATTTGATCGCAGAAGGGTAGGTTGGATCCACCACCGGTTCCCATCTCACCAGGGATACCATCCAGTAGTCAAAGTAGAAAGGTTCCAGCTTAAACACCTCGATGATATCCTCCTCATTGTCGAAGTCGAATTGGAACCTCCCCAATCCCAATTCTGCTCCGGCGACTCTCTCCTCCATCTTCCAGAAGCGAGGCATGTGTTGCAGCAACGCTTGCACGTCCTGGGCCGCCGGGTTCATACACCTTCCGATTAGAGTGCAGGAATAGCCTCTAATCAACGCTGTGTTATCAAACCGTGGAACCGTGATCTTGAGGCGGGCCCCTGGTTTCTTGTCACAGTTGTTTGACCCTCCACCACCGACTAAACTTCCTTGAGCCATCTTAGATCCTTGGACACAAGAGCGAAAGCACAGAATTGCGTTAACACAAGTGTGAAAGAAACAAAAAATGGCCAAGCAAAAATCGTAAATCCGAGCAAGTGAATGTGAATTAACACAAAGTTCGAGTATGGTTTTATAGTGGAGCCGCCCATCAATTCTCTGTATTCCGAACCCCGTAAAATCACCAATCAAATCCCTCACAATATCCGCAATCTTCCCAATAGTTTCTGAAGAAAAAACCCAAAACAAAAAGCTTGAAATAATTACCCGGAATATGATCTGTAATCGAATCGACTGGGGACCCATGGAGTCATTTCGTCGATCTTGTTTCCAAACCGTGATAGACTAGCTGTTTCCACTTTCCTTTTGTTTCTCAGGAATTACTTCCTCTTTCCCAAAATAGGATTCGTGAAATCTCATCCCCATCTCCCTAGAATCCGATTTGCAGGGATACGATACGCTTCCCAAATTCTCTTCCCGAATCAAAGCAGATCGGATCAAATCCGTAGTTTGAATCGTATCTCGTCCATCTAAACCCTCAACCCGCTTTAAACCGCCAGATCCACCAGATTTCTCACAATATCCCTCCGATCGAATTAAATCTCCATAGGAACCATCGAAATCTACTTTAGTGCACCGTCAGAGAACCGATAAAGAAAACTGAGTACCGCAATCAGACTCCGCTTCGAAAATCATCTGTAGATCTTGAAAATCGCCATCGCCGTCGCCTTAGGGTTTTTTTTGCTCTTCTTTTTCAGTGTAATCCGCAGATTAACAAAATCTATAGTCACATGCTTATTCCCTTTTAGTAAAACGTTATTGATACTTTTTTCCTTTAATTGTTTATTTTTCTCGTTCCGCTCCAATATCTTTTTCGACAAAGTGTTTTCATCTTCCACTTAACTTATTTTCAAAGAGGTCTATATTGCATGCCTAGTAATCATATTCTTATACATGAAAGGCTATTTTATCAAAAAAAAAACTCTTTTGGAAAAGATGATAAGACGTGAAACGGAACTTTGAAGATTTGTTTTTTCGTATAGGAATATTTTTTCTTACATAAGTTTCAGGTGGTAGTTTGAAGCTTTCCAACTATAATAGAATAATAATAGTATCTTATATATATATAATAGGAGAGTTGCTCTCTCCATCTAGGCTATCCACATCAGCAAAAAAATTCATTAAATTGTTTTTAAGATATTTAATACATGACTATTCATATTTCTTTACATATATTTATATTTTAAATATAAATAAAACTAAGAAAAATACACAACTAAATTACTTAATTAATATAAACTATGTGATAATTTGATGTTAAAAGTTATGAAAAAGTTTAAATATAAGTAAAAATATATTTAACTTGAAATGGTATATATTTACCTTTTTATTAAAAGGATTTATCCTATTTCTAAATGTTATAATGTGTTTACAAATTAAAAAGTTGATATAAATTAATTAAAATAATAAAAAACCAATGACAAATAGAGTTAGAGTTTGCTTTTTTAAACAAATAGAAGTCGAGTTTTTATATGTAAATTTAATTGCAGTGAAAAACATAATTTTAAGGATTGTGATATGTTTGTTTTAAAATATATTCACTTACAAAACTAACATAATAGAAAATAATCAATGGTCATGAGACTCATATGCTACCACAACAAAGTAGATATGTAAAAAAGTATATATATTATTTTTTTCATCTTATTTCGGTGCAAATGCGATTTTACATTATACTTACAAATTTTAACATTGAGTCAAATACATATGCATGTTTATAGTCTAACAGAAGTAAACAAACATAATATTTATAATATGCTAAAATGTTTAAATAGAAAACTCGAGATAAAGTGGGTGTTAACATCCTAATAAAATAAAATAAAAGGACGTGCGATGTGAGATAAAGTATAAATAAAACTAAACAGAAAACTATCGCAAACAACCCCGCCTTGCGCGGGGCTTCAAACCTAGTTTTATAAGAATCTTGGAAGTCAACACATAAATCCCATTAATTTTATTTCCTACTAATCTCAGTATCTTTTTAAAAAGATATATTTATTTTAGGTCAATATAATTTGAATAAGTATTACCATAAAAACCTAGGAATTGGACGCGTAATATTTACTTCCAAACCATTTCAATGCTTTTGTTTTTGCTATAGTTTTTTTTGTGAAAAGTTTTTATAAATGTTAGTAATGTATATTTAAGGTTTTGAAAGAATGACAATGAAAAAAAATAGAAAAGTGTTTTACCAATTTGTGAGATACGAGATAATTATCGACTCCACACCAAATAACATTTGATCAACAATTAATTTTATTACGAGGTGTGAGAAAAACACGGACGCAAACATAAATCAAATTGCGATCGTAGTATTAGGATTAAAGAAAGAGGAAATTTGGACTATTATTACATAAATTAATCATATTTTGAAAACTAACCCATTTTTTAAAGTGTTGGTAAATTAATCTTTCTAATATTTAAAATTACTAAAATACCCTCAATTTTTTAGATATTAAAATTGTTTTAATTTCGTTTATCTTATTTAAAAATTATTTAAATTGTAAAAAAATTATGTTATTCTAAAGATAATTATAAACAATTATATTTATTTCAAAAAAAAAACTTCAGTGTGGGATATTCCCATAAAATCTGAATAAATTTACAACAAGAAAACAAAAAGATATTTAGAAGATCTTATTTGAAATTTAACATGTCATAAATATAGAATATGAGTTAACTTTAACACATTCATCATTTTTTTTTTTAGAATGAAGTGTGAGTTTTTCTTTGTTCTAAAATGATATTTATGTGTATATATTTATAGAGTTTGATTCATTTTTATGATAAATATGAATATATTTTCAAAATAACATGTGTATTTTAAAATATTTATTAAAAAATATATAAATGAATTTTCGAAAATATCTTATATATATCTAAATTAAATATATATCTAAATTAAATAAGAATTTTTTTTCTCATTATTAATAAGAAATGATAATGGTTTTATTGTCTTTTCACTTATTAAAAAAGTTAGTTTTCAAAATTTTAAAAACCATGGTTAGTTTTTCAAATTATGAAAAAATTTAGTAATATTAAACCAACTCACCCTTAAAGAAAACATATTATGTGATATTAATAATGTAGCTTTTAATTCAGGATATTTTTGATACACATAGTTTCTCATTATCAAAAGCAAACAAATGATTAAGCAGGGTACAACAACAATATCCGTTTACACAATCTCCCTCTCTGTACTGAGATGACCTACAGTCCACACTGCATTCATAATATGTATATGATTTTGTACATTTGTTAAAACATTTTGTCCCTGCTTTGATCTCTGCACATAAACACACATTATGTATCTTTAGTAAGAATAATATTTGGAAAAATAAAAAAATTAACTAAGAGCAACTGCAGTTAAAAGTATGTGTATACCTGAGTCCAAAGCGTCTTGGCTAGACAACGAAACAACCAGCATAACTACGAAAAGAAGCGTTGCTAAATTTTTTGTGAAACCCTTTTTTTTTTTCTGTTTTCTTGTATAAAAGTCTATCCAAGTAAACAAAATGTTCTGCAATTTTACTGAACTATGAACAAGCCTAATTTATAGAAGTCTAAATCTTTGAATTCTTTTCTATTTTCTTGCCATATAGTCAGTCAGCAACATCGCAATTTGGGTCAAAAGAAGTTGAATAAGTATTAAAAAAATATATATCTGAAGTGAACACGTATTATTTTACTTCCAAAATAACTTCATTGTAGTTTGACCAAAAAAATTCAATTGATACAAGATAATTTTCTTTTCTCACTAGTAATTATAATTATAGCTCTCTTTATTGCATGTGATTCTTGGTAAGTGTAGTAATTTTTAGTGCCATAAACGACATCCAATAAAAGTAGGAAAATGATAGTACAACTGAAAGCTATTTTATCTTATCTTTAACTATAATAAATATTTCACTTATATCCTTTTACCAAAAAAAAACTAGTACTATAATATTTCACTTGTCACGAATGAAACAAATATACGCAGACGCCAAGGATTAAAAAAATTATCAATTATTTCTAATAAGAACATAATCTTTTGTTTGAATGTTCAATATATTAACAAAACATTATACAGGATTTAGGATGGCCAACTTCCAACAAAAAAAAAAAGTGGATGATCTCTTTTGAATCTAATCTATAAGTCACTCTTGGTTGTCCATAATTGGCGCTGCCACAATCTTTATCTGTTTGCTAAATATATTCAGCCTGACAGCAATAAAATCAAAGTTGATGCCAAGACAAAATAATTCATTTGAAAATTTCGAACAGATCAGTGACAACCCTTACAAACTAGATTTTGTGAGGTGAGCAAAATATAAGTGATACTTTCAACATTTTCTTACTTAAAGTTATTTTGGTAAGGTTGTGAGGCTGGTTTGAGGTTATATAATTTTCAAAAAAAGGGAATGACCAAAAAAGAGAGAAATGACGAAAACACCAAAATTGACCAAGAGGGTCCATTGCATTTTCCAGTAGCTCAAATGACAAAAGCATGCATTAAAAAGCCCGAGTACACACTTATATCTATCATATATGGCCTGGTCAAAGAGCTATGGCAAGAAGAATTCTAAGTCCACTAAGGATGATGAATCCTACCCATTTTAGTCTTCTTTTTTTTGCTAAGCATGCTAATATCATGTTAATGATTTAAAGGTTTTACAAGAGAATATAAAAACATATTTACAAATGGTTCCTCGGCAAAAAAGGTAAAAACAAGGAAGCACAAAGATTTACTCTACGAGAGTAATCAAGTGAGCCATAAGCCCATGAGATTCCGGAAATTCTTCCTGGATCTTCTTGCGTTGATGGAGTTAATGATCTGCCGGTCAATGTCTTTGAAGATGGTGAGCAGCGGGATTGGAATGACGTTGTGAAGGAAGTTATTTCTCTGCCTCCAGATTGCATAGATCAAAAGCCATTGAAGGGGAAGCATTACGGCTCCTAGTTGTCCAGATGATAAGGTCTTCCCATGAAGAAAATACACTGTTTGAAACAGATAGTCTCTGAAGAACTTTCCCCCAAATGACCGTACTGAAGGAGCAGCTTAGGAACAAGTGATCCCTGTTTTCCAAATGATTGGAGCATAAAACACAGAGTGGCGAGACCTGCATTCCCCAGGAGACAAGCCTGCTACGAACTGGAAGACGATCCAGAGGTGCAGTCCACATTGTGAAAGAGTTCCTAGGAGTAGCACATTTGAACCAAACTGAAGAAGCCCAAGGTTTCTCATGTTCCCTTGATCGTAGGATATCCCAAGTTTTTGCGGAATTAAAGTCCGGCAAATCGACATCACCAATACACCATCTGTAAGAGTCTTCAGTAAGAGGATCCAGAGGCAGAGTAAGTGTTGTGAGAAAGACATGAAGTGACAGTGCTCTCTCTGAACACGGGCTGGCCAGTGACCAAACCCCTGTCCCGCAAGCATCATAGATCGTTGCGCCAATGGGGATTCTGAGGTCTCTCGGACCATTTTCACCAATAAGCTAATAACAGAAGTCCCTTCGGGGACATCCGATAAAATTGGAACGATACAGAGAAGATTAGCATGGCCCCTGCGCAAGGATGACACGCACAAATCGAGAAATGGTCCAAATTTTTAAAACCAAAAAAGCTAATAACAGAAACTTTACTTCAATATCAAAATGTGACTTTGAGTGATATATAAGGGATATAAATTTAATAGATTACTGAAAAGTGGAAAGGTTTTGAATTGGGTTGTATTCATATACAGTAGAAACTCTATAAATTAATAAAGTTGAGACTTTGATATTTTATTAATTTATAGAGTTATTAAATTATCGATCTTGAATAAAATAGCTGTTTTATTTAAAAATAATTAAAATAAATATTAAATTAAATTAAAATATGAAATTTTAAAAGTTTTTTTTATATTTTCTCAGCCAAAGGGCTTACTTTTCTTCACGATGCTAAATCGCAAGTGATTTACAGAGACTTTAAAGCTGCTAACATTCTACTCGACGCTGTAATAGACCTAAACTCTCTTCAACTCCCTTTATTCAAGATTTCACTTCATTTCTAATCATATATTGATCTTAATCACAGGAGTTCAACGCTAAACTTTCAGACTTCGGTCTAGCTAAAGCAGGTCCTACCGGTGACAGGACACATGTTTCCACTCAAGTCATGGGTACTCACGGCTACGCAGCCCCTGAATATGTAGCCACAGGTGAGAGAAACTTTGGCCTTAGCTTTTAAACCTATATAGCCTCCATTTAGAAATCATTAGCCTTTGCTTCAAAAGTCTTAGCCTTTACTTCAAAAGTTTTAGCCTTTAGCTTCAAAACCTATATAGCATCCACTTAGAAATCATTAGCCTTTGCTTCAAAAGTTTTAGTCTTTGCTTCAGAAGCTTTAGCTCTTAGCTTCAAAAGTTTTAGCCTTTACTTCAAAAGTTTTAGCCTTTGCTTTGAATGCTTTTTATCCCTATGCTTCAAAAGCCTTTAAGCCCTTTGCCTTTAGTATTTTTATCCCTTTGCTTCAAAAGCTATTGCCTTTGTAAGCTCATAGTCTCATAACACTTGACTTTCTAAAACTCTGAAGCTAAAAATCTGAATATTCATGGACAGGTCGATTAACAGCTAAGAGTGATGTATACAGTTTTGGTGTGGTACTACTGGAATTACTCTCGGGAAGAAGAGCTGTGGACAAATCAAAAGTGGGAATGGAACAGAGTCTAGTGGACTGGGCAACACCGTATCTCGGTGACAAGAGAAAGCTCTTTAGAATAATGGACACGAGATTAGGCGGTCAGTATCCTCAGAAAGGAGCTTACACGGCTGCTAGTCTCGCACTGCAATGCTTAAACCCTGACGCTAAACTCAGACCGAAAATGTCAGATGTTTTGGCAAAACTTGATCAGCTTGAGTCAACTACTACTAAACCTGGAAGTGGAATTGGCACCAGACAAGCTCAAACTGATTCTCCAAGAGGTATTACTGGAACTGTAACCAGACCAGGTCAGATTGATTCTCCGAGAGTTAGTAATGGAACTGGAGCCAGACAAGCTCAGATTGATTCTCCGAGAGGTAGTACTGGAACTGGAACCGGAACCAGACCAGGTCAGATTGATTCTCCAAGAGGTAGTAATGGGACTGGAACCAGACCAGGTCAGATTGATTCTCCGAGAGGTAGTAATGGAGGTGTTGTACAGAAATCTCCAAGGAGATATAGTTATGATCGGCCTCTCTTGCACATAACTCCTATTGCTTCTCCTCTGCCTTCTTCTCACAATCAATCTCCTCGTGTAAGATAGAATCACTGTAATAGTTTTTTTCTTTCCTGTTGTATGTTGTTCTGTGTCTGTGTGTAAAATGATTATGTATCTGTTTACACTGCAAATGATTTGATGTTCTTTTTATACGGGTGGACATTTGAAATTTTTGAACATGAATTTTAAAAGTTAAAATAGTACTAACTAAAACAACAGTCATGGTTTTCTGTTGTATTCTTTAATTTGCTGTAAAATAATGTATATGTTGGTTTAGATGTTTGTTTACAAAGAGAGAATCCATGTAAAATGAAGGTTAGTTTCATCATGAATGCTGTTTCAATAGTGGGTAACTAAGTTTTAAATAAAAAACTTGCTGGAAATAATTGCAACCTCCTAAGTTTCTCTTTTAATAGTATAGATAATATATATAAAATGATATAATGATGATATCTCAAACTCCACACTCCAAAACACTATGCCTCAAATCATGTCGAGGAATCATGATCTAGCTCTGCTCCAAAGAATCAAGCGCATCGATGATAAGCATGGAAATAGTGAAAGCTAAAAGGGATAGAATAAATGCGAACCATGAAATGGTTCCCATCCAACCTAGGACATCAAACCCTACTCCTACAAGTATGCAGAGCCGGCCTTGGGAGCAAGCAAAGCAAGCAGCAGCTTGCGTCCCGGCCTAGAATAAGTTAAATTATCGGCCCTAAATTTCCAAAAGTTCCCGTAGATGAGTTGGTTATGCACATGGATGAGGAAGGAGTTGGTCGCAAGTTTGAGTCTTGGCTTCCACTTTTCTGAATTTATTTTCGGAAACAGATTTTTACAGGCTCAAAAATGTATTTTGATTGCGGCCCATTACTTATCAAAGGACGGCTCTGCTAGTATGATACACATAAAATGTGGTGCTGATTCCTATTAAAGTGATTAGCAATAAAAAATTGCATTTAAGATATTTATTTGATACATTTTTTTTAATACAATTTAGTTTTTAAACAATTTAAAAAAAATAAAATAAATCGTATTGAACTCTTGTGTGAATACATGTTCTAACGTTTCTCAATTCATATGCTTTTGATCCTTGTGGTTGTGGTTGAAAGAAATGGTGACTTAGGAAATGAAATATTGTTTAAAAACTAAATTGTATTCATTCTTAATTTATATTTTCTCACGATATGGAAAACACGATTCTCTTTGAGACTTGCAATACTCTATGGTTGTTTCTTAGCTTGTTTCAAACATGAATTTTAGAAGATGGATGGCGTGTGCTCCAAGTTAAACGATGTCTACTCTAATCACCTTGAATGCCTCTGGTTTCAATCCGTCTCTTGATGTGTTGTTGGTTTCTGTCTCCAAAGCCTTTCTGACTTTGTCACGAGCGGATTTGCGAAAAATGTACCGTTTTTGAACAATAGATTTGTGTTCTTGTAGTAATTTGCTTGTTCAGGGAACATAGACTGAAGGTGAAAGAAGAAGCTGTCGTTACTGGCTATTAATTTTGATGTGGAAGACAAGAAGCCTCCGGCTAGTCATCGGTTATAATATTAAATTGAACATTAGTAATTAACCATCCGCTTTAATTTTATGGTTATGTTAACCTTAACTCTCTAGCTTTCCTCTCTTTTGAGAGATTTCTACCATCGGTTATAGCTTTTATTTTTTATGGTACCTATTGCCATCTTGTCCCGGAACTTGATGTCAGTTCCTTTGTTTTGTGTGTAAAAAGTGTTATTATGAAGCAGATATGAGCTTGTAGTAGGCATGTTATACAAATTGGGATATTATTAACATGTAAATAAACCATTATAAACCGAAATCCATAATCTAGTATACTGCTCAACATGAAGATAAACAGTACTGTGTGGATCTTTGGATAAGCTTCTTGAATTCATTAAGCAGCTCGTGTTGGTCTGGCCAAGATATGAGCAAGCACTTTAGGCTTTTGTTATTTCCATTACGTTTTGCTCTTCAATTGTTTTCTCAGTAATTTGCTTTCATAAGCAAGACATGAACTGGCAACAGAAAACTTCGTAATGCTCTTTGTGTACCCTAAATTAGGAGCCGAAATTTTCAAATATATTGATTTTAAGTTTTAACAAAGAAAGAGTGAGAGAGTCTGTAACCAAAGTAGAGAGAGTGACGCATTATAAAAACTATCTACTAAAAACCCTTTTTTGTTTGTGGAGCAAAAGCATCTGCAAGTAAAACTACAACTCATCACACCAAACCAAACTGAAACACAGAAAAAAAAAATCCGAAAACCAAAAAATACAGTTAAGTGATTACAAAGGTTTCAGAGCTTTGTTCATCAGTGGAGTCCTTTTATCTTATGCCTCGAAATCATATCATCGTTTCCACTCTGCTTTCGCCGATTTTTCTGAAAAATAACCATGAAAGAAAATGTGTTTAAGGATGTTGATTTTATAACTAAAAGGTTGAAACTTTGAAAGAGCCTTGTGTATAAAGCTGTGTACTTTCTTACTTACCACCAATGTCCTTGGAAGACGAAAAAGATCTGTCACTGTTCATTGATCCTTTAGCAGAAGCTATGAGAAGTCTGTGAGCTCTTGGAGACATTGTGCTGAGCTTACCATTGGCTGCAGGAGGAAGAGAGTGGCGCCGTGTTGTTGTCCCGTTCTTCTCTGGCTTCTCTTGCGCAATTCTTGGAGCAGACCCTTGTCCTCTTACTCTTGCCTTTGCAGACGCAGTTGGAGCCATATAGCTTGGGATTTTCCTCCCGCTCTGTGTAAGCCCATCGTCTTGATGGTGATTCTCAATCTTTGCAGGCAGCGAAGCTCGTCTATCGCTCGGCTTTGTGTTCTCAGAAGCAGCATTTCCATTCTCAGAGCTAGTAATCTGCACGTCTGGCTCTTGTATCTCTTCTTCAGCTTTATCAATGCTCTCTGCAGTTTTGAGTTCCTCTTGCTCCACGTTATCCAGAACATGTGATGTCTCATCTTTCTCAAGATCAGCCTCTTTCGAAACATTTTCAGGAGCATCTTTCATCTTTTCTTCTTCTTCAGAAGCATCAACCTTGGCAGCAGGAGATTCTTTCTGGACTGAATCAGAACCATCTTTCTTCTTCTCAGCGGATTTGCGAGTAGCTTTCTCTAGTCCATTAGAGAGTGAAGCCTTTTTGAGACTAGCTCTAGACTTCTCATCTTTAACCTCCAATGAATACCCTTCCTTTACGGCGCTAGTACTCTTTCTCGAACTCTGCTTAGACTTGTCATTCTCGTTTCTAGAAAGTTCTTTACCAAGCGTGGAAGCCTTCCTCACACTTCGCTTAGGCTTTTCGATTTCAGCTGTAGAACGGCTACTGCCACCAGATGGTTTCTTGATACCTCTCTTGAGTTTTCCCTTTTCCGTTTCAACTGCTTGAAAGCTTCGCTTCTTTGTCTGAGATTTTGGAACCAGACTCTTAACCACTACTGGACCAGGAGTCCAAACTTGCAACTGCGTCCAGCGTTCAAGCCACACTTTGGCCGAGTTAGGATCCTCAGGAGTATACTGGATCTTCAGAGGCAATGACGTTGGTGACGAAACCAGAAGCTGAAACAAAGTCAGGAAAACAAACAATCAAGAACGTGTCACAGAATCGCATAGCAAGAATGTTTGATGTTACCTTATCAATCATGGAGAGCTTTGTGGGATTCTCCATCCAACTGTATGTGCTTCCTTGCAAAGTTTCAGAATTCTCGGTTTCCTAATAGAAGACAGAGAAAGCAAAATCAAGCAATGGTAATCAAACTGAAACTTGTAAGCTAGCAAGACGTTAAATACCGTTTTCGGAAGCTGAACTCCGGTGTCTAAAGATCTAGCTTTCTTCCCGCGAACAAGAGCTTGAAGCTTCACAATTCCCCAAATGCAAGAGTATGTAGCAACAGCTTGTCTTCTAACCAAGTGGCCGCGGATGACTGCTTGCACCTTTATGACACCTTTAAGCATTTGAAACTCTTCTCGAGCCTTCACGAGTTAAAACCAACAACCAGAGTAGTATTAGCAGAATTAAGACCAGACAAATCCAATACTAGAAATGTAGTAGAAGAAGAAGAATCAATCACCTGACGAGCTCTGAAAGCAGCTTGAACCTTTGTAGCAGCATCTTCAAGCTTGACTTCTTCAGAGTCATTCCCTGACTGATTCACACTCGAATCATCGCCGCCTTCAATGTCTGCGCTAGGCTGCTTCTCGATTACAGCGTCTGGGACTATTACAGTTTGAGTAGCTGCAACTTCTTGCGATGAAACTACTACCGGAGGAGGATCGGTAGGTAAGTTTGTGACATTATTATTATCCTTCACCTTCACCACAAGCTCTTCTTTCTTTGCAGATCTCTATCAAAAATATGCACAATGTTTACAAAATTACGTTTTTGACAGAAAAGGAAATAAAAGTCCAGAGCTTTCCACTATATTCTCACCACTTTCTCGCTTCCTTTCTCCAAACTCGACCTTGATGATGACTTCTTCCCAAGAAGAGACTTGATCCATTTACCAGGACTTGGAGTCTTCCCCATTTTTTAAATGGCTGGAATTAGAAAGTTGCTACAAAAATAGAAACCTGCATAAACAAGATCACATTTGGTTAAACAAAATTGAAACTTTCAAGTGTTACACAGCAAATCTACTACAGTGTTAAAAGCCATGGAACTTTCGCTTATACTCGAAACTGAAGCATATAGAAACCCTAGAAACACACACAAGACACGAATCAGAGAGAGATTTACCCTAACAGTACAAAATAAGATGAAGTTAGACAGACATCGACAATTAAAGCGAAAGTAGCACGAATTAAAAGAGAGAGGCGAAAAAAGTAACGAAAGCCAAAGGAACACACAGACCCATTTTCAATAAAGTGAAAAAGCAGAGATTTTGACAATAACAAACCAAAACCCATGTAGATTTGACAGAGAAACAAGCGGGAAAACGAGAAAAAAACCTAACTTTCAGAAACCCAAAACGTTTTTCGAACAAATTAGAGCTACAAAATCAACGAGAGGGAATATGTTGTAAGGAAAATCAAATAGTGAGAAGATAGAGTAACATTGAGTACTCAGATCTGGGTAGAAATCAAAAGCGGAAAGTTTTACTGTAAGATGGGTAAAGAAAATTTAAAATGTCAACCTCAAATGGAATCCCAAATGTAGCTGAAGATATCGTCTCTTTGAAGTTCTTCAAATTGTCGACTTTTTGGCTCTTCGCCGGAGCAGTGACCTAAAACACCCAAAAGTGGTTACAGTGAGAAATACACTCTCACCGTTTGTAATGTGAGAGAGAGAGAGAAGAGCAACAACTAAAAAAAAGCGGTTCCAAACGACAGCGTTTAAACTGTATAATTTTTTATAAGAATGGGCCGTGTTAATGGGCTTTAGGTGGTAGGAGTTCAAATGAGTGGGTTTTTTAACCTTCATCTTGTCGGATTGACGTTCTTTTGAAAACTCCAATTTGAGAGTTAAGGCTGTCACTATCGAAGTGGTTAATCCGACTGTAAAAGCTACTCTATTAAATGTTTGTTAATTACGTGTCTCATTCTTAAATACAGTATGTCTAAAGTCATTTCATTGTGGTTGTCCTTTCATTATCTACAAATATTTGTAATACTATTGGCTTAAAGTTGAAATGAAATTACACGTTTGAAAAAGCTAAGAAACCCCAAAATAACTTTTTTTTAATGCAAGAAACACACCAAAAAAAGATTTTAATTTTTTTATAGGAGAGAAGAGAACGAGTATATATAAAATATATATGACTGCTTTCTATTTTTTTTTTTGTGGTTCGTATATAAATGCCAGTTGTGGAATATATTAAATGACACTTTCGCAGTGACTATTGTTCCAAGAATGGTTGCATGTGCAGATGTGCTTCATCGTCTAAAATCCATAAATATTTTTACAATATAATTTCATAAATACAATAATTTGGCAACACTGTCATTAATTAAAGTAGGAATTGTGAAAAAATAAATAAAATAAAAGAGAGAAAGTACATGAACAGTTCATAAGAACAAAACAGCTCAGCCTCGACATTTGTTAGAATCTCTCAACACTTTTACAGAAAAGACACAAACGTAATGGCTTCGCTTTCTGCACAACAGAAAAACGACATCCATTTCTTGATCTCATTCTCACCGACAAGTTACCAAACATTTCTATATACTCTGATGAAATTATACAGAGGTTTTGTAATCAACAACAATATATTATAGATGTTTTATGCTAAAATCACGTGTTGCAATACAAAAAATGGTCCCTTAATTAACCAAAGCACATGATGAATTAATGAATTAGTCTACGAAAATTAACAGGATAAAGATTAGTAAGTATGTCTTGTATGATCTGGTTTAGCTGTGACCTAATATTTTATAAACTCGTTGACCTTTAGCTGAGTCTGCCGACTTCATAATTACACAACACAAGTTGAGCTAAAACTAAACCAAAATACTACTAACTAAAATCTGAAAATGGTTGATCACACAACATAATACGGAAGATTACTGCAGATATACAATGTGCACTACAAGTTAAAAAAAAAAAAAAATTAAACTAAAACCATAGACATGTTCTTCGATGCATTAAAAGTTGCAAATAAAATAAAAAATCATAGTCATGTTCTTCTTATATGCATTGAAAACAGTCTGTCAAGCTGATGTTGTGCAATGTGCAGTAATGAACAAACAAACAAACAAACAATATTGAACTTATAAGAAAATGAAACTTCTCATTTATTGCTTTCACTTAATTGGGTTTTCTCTCCTCTTTTAATTTTTACACGAAAACCTCAAGAAGTTAATAGTTTTCCTCCATTTTCTTCCCAATAGATCTCTTTCTGTGATCCCAGAATAATGACAACTTTCAACTGAGTTCTGTTTCTTTAAACCAAAACACAACTCTAAACACTGTAGATTTGTCCGAGAAAATGCAGATTTCTCTCCAAACCCAAGTATTTTCCTTCACTTTCCTTCTTCTTGTTCTTCTTCTTTTCCCACTGCTCTCCAAGTCTCAGCTAACTCCAAGTGAATCAAGAACTCTCCTTGAAATCCAGAAGCAGCTACAATATCCACAGGTTCTTCAACCATGGACCAATACAGCCAATCTCTGTCACGTTCCTCCTTCTCCTTCCTTCAGAATCACTTGCTTCAATGGTCACGTAACAGAGTTAACCGTCGCCGGAAACAGAACCAGTAGTAAGCTCTCCGTAAGACTTGACAAACTCTTCACTCTTCTTACAAAACTCTCAAGCTTAAAGACTTTGTCTCTCACCTCACTCGGAATCTCTGGTCCTCTCTCTCCTAATATCATCACCAACTTATCACCGTCTCTCGAATCTCTCAACCTCAGCTCTAATCTCATCTCCGGCAAAATCCCAAAAGAGATTTCTTCTTTGAAGAATCTGAAGAGCCTTGTTTTATCAGACAATCTGTTCGACGGTTCTGTCTCTGATCTCAGAGGTTTGTCGAATCTCCAAGAGCTGAATTTGGGAGGTAATAATCTCGGCCCTGAAGTTCCTTCACTCCCAAGTAACCTCGTCACTGTTTCATTGGCGAACAACTCATTCAGATCCAAGATTCCAGAACAGATCAAGAAGCTGAATACGCTTCAAAGTCTAGACCTTTCCACCAACAAATTCACAGGGTCGATTCAAGAGTTTCTGTTTTCGCTTCATTCTCTTCAAAATCTCAATTTGGCTCAGAATCTGTTAAGCGGGTCACTTCCAAATTCTTCTTGCAGCTCCTCAAAGGTTAAGACTTTAGACGTTTCTCACAATCTTCTAACCGGAAAGCTTCCTGCTTGCTACTCTTCCAAGAGTTTTAGGAATCAGACAGTGCTCTTCTCATTCAACTGCTTGTCTTTGACTGGGACTCCTAACGCCAAGTATCAGCGTCCGCTTTCGTTCTGTCAAAACCAAGCAAGCAAAGCAATAGCTGTGAGACCTGTCCCAAATGCTGAAGAGGAAGATTCTGCAGAAGGCAAACTCGGTTTCTTGATTTTGATCCTCATCGGCGTCGTCATCCTTGCAGGAGTTTTGGTTCTGTTGGTTATAGTTGTCCTAAGAAGAAGAAGATCAAGATCAGAAGAAGATGATACTTTTGAAGTAAACAGCTACAATAACAACGAGAGACACGGCTCTGATAAAGTCTCAGTTTCCAGCACCACAACCACCAGCTCTAAGTCACTACCAGATTCAAGTAACCAAAAGCCTATTATTACTTTGAAATCAAGAACTAGTGAGTTTTTTTCTCTATTAACATGTAAACTATTGATTGAGTGTAGGACGTGTTCCGCAGACAATGAGATCTGCAGTGATCGGTTTGCCACCGTACCGGATTTTCTCCTTGGAGGACCTAGAAGAAGCGACTAACGACTTTGATGCAGCAAGTCTCTTCTCCGAACAGGTAAAAGCATGACATGAACTATATGAAAGAAAGCCTGATTCACTGATGTTTTTTGGTATTGCAACAGTTGTACAGAGGTTGTCTCAGAGAAGGCATAGAAGTGACAGTGAGATGTATCAAGCTGAAGCACAAGAGTTTGCCACAGAGCTTGGCTCAACAGATGGAAGTTTTATCAAAGCTAAGGCATATGCATTTGGTCAGTGTTCTTGGACATTGCATTGCCAGTAACCAAGACCACAATCAACACACTGGAAACACCATCTTCATTGTCCAAGAATATTTCTCAAACGGGTCGTTGAGAGACTTCCTCACAGGTAATCTCTGAAAGAAATATATATTCAGGTTTCAAGCGAATCAAATGGTTATGCGTGGCAATTTTTTGTTTGTTTTTGATCAGATGGTAGGAAAAAAGAAGTGCTGAAATGGCCTCAGAGAATGTCAATCGCCATAGGAGTGGCTCGAGGGATACAGTTCTTGCACATGGGAGTAGCACCAGGAATCTTTGGGAACAATTTGGAGATAGAGAATATCTTGCTCGATGAAACACTCACTGTTAAAATCAGTGGCTACACCATTCCTTTACCATCCAAGGTATAAAAGCACTTTGAATTATCTTCTTTTTTACTTGGTTTAAAAATCCAATCTAAGGAAATTTCTTGGTATTTATAGGTTGGAGCAGAGAGCCCTCTTAATGCCAAAAGTCCCCGGAGGTTTGTTTGTATCTCGTAAGATTTGATAAAATGTTCTCTTCTATCACATTCTGAATGTTGTTAGCGAATTGATTGCAGCAAGGAGGAGGGGGAGAAAGAAGACGTGTACCAGTTTGGAGTGATACTACTTCAGATCATCACAGGCAAAGTAGTGGCTGCAGGATCTTCAGAGATGGGAAGTTTGAAGCTTCAGGTCTGTTCTGTTTCAGTCAGAATCTTTTTTTCATCTTTGTTATTCCCGACATGCCTCACTCACAAAATTTGGAATCTTTTTGTGTTATTTCTTTCAGCTGGAGAATGGTTTGAGAGATGAAGCATCGGTGCTGAGCAGCTTAGTAGATCCATCTGTTAAAGGATCATATGCGTATGAGTCGCTGAGGACGACAGTGGAATTTGCTATCAATTGTCTTTGTGAAGACCAGAGCAAGCGGCCGTCGATAGAAGATGTTGTATGGAATCTGCAGTATACAATTCAAGTGCAGCAAGGATGGACAACAAACAGTGGGCATCATGAATATGCCATGAAGGCAATATATGAATGAAAATTACGATCATAAGAGAGACCAAAACTGTAAAAAAGAAGAAAGTGTCAAGAAGTGAGTATGTACTAGTTTCATGGATTTGTGATCTGCTATTTCAAATAAATACATATGACAGTTATAAAGCTGAATCTTGTTACGATAATTTATGGGGAGATCAGAGATGCATAAAAACATTAAAAACAACAAATCACAAGAGTTTGAAAACAAAACACAAAGATAGAGCGATAGAGAAAGAGAGAGAAGTGTTGGTGGAATCGGAAACACAAGAGAGGAGAGAGCTTATTGTTTTTGAAGACGAATGCTACAACAAATATTATTACTAGTCTGCAGTCCAGCTTTGCTCGACAACCTCACGGACTCTTCTGTTGTACTCTCGCTTGCTTTCGCTGAACATCCTTGCAGCTTCCGAATTCGCAGGAGAGTTCGGATTAGGATCACAGAGCAATGACTGTGATATACAAAAAAAAATAAGAGATTAACACTAATCATCGATGATCTTATTGAGAAACAGCAAATGAGAAGCATTTTGATATGAATATATACCTGAATAGAGGTAAGTATAGCAGCAACATCATATATTGGACTCCACTGGTTTTGGAGAATGTCCAAGCATATACTTCCATCAGCATAAACTGCAAGAGATTGACCAAACAACGAGTATCATGAATCACATGCAATCGAGAGCTCTGGAAGAAAAGAAAATCTGATATTATGATCTCTGACTTACTGTTTGGATGGAACATCCGTGAAACAAACCGAACTATTGGTGGTTTGTTTGGATAGTCTTCTGAAAACTGCAGTGAGAGTTTGAAAGTACCTACCAATATCACACAACATAAGAACAAATATGAAAAGATTGCAGTCATAAGTCATGTTAGAATATCTGATTACAGTAACAAAACCTCACCTCCATCCCAAGGAGTATCATCAGGCCTGCAAAATCCAACAAACACAAGGCGTACTAAGTACAATAAAGACTTAAGACCAAACAAGTATCAAACTTTTTACTTGTTACATTACCCGAATATAACTGCATTCCACAGCATGATATTGTTGTCTTGTGGAGCCCCGCTAATTCCTGCAGGTGGGTCTTGCTGCAACCTCTTGAAATCCCTCATCAGTCTCTTCCTCGCTGGTGTCGACATCCTTCTCTTACTCTATCAAAACCCACATAGGCAACAAAAGATGAAATCAGGATTTTCATTGTGTTCTAAGTTGTACTTGCAATCAGCTTCAACAGCAAGCACATCCTGTTTTTAGCAACTTTGTCATACATTTGAATCAGCATATCAAGTTTATAATCTATGATCTTCAAGCTAACTAGCTTAGAACAATTGTAAATCGAAAAAGTCATTTCTTTCCAAAACAAACACTTCTCTTTAACCTACGAAGCGCTCAAGACTGGGTAAATTCAATTCCCCAAGAACAGCCAACAACTGATACGAACATATGAATATAAAGAAAAATCCACGGATCTAGCACCGAAACATCGTGGTAAAAGAGATCGGGGAACCAAATAAATCATGAGAGAGATCTCACTGTTGAGCAAAAAGGTGTAAAGATCGAGGCGAGAACGGTGGAGGTCGTCGTCAAGCGAGCATCTCTCCTTGCGGCGAGAAAAGGTCGGAAATCAAACGACGATGAGAGAAAAAATCTCCGATCGATTCGTCGATCCTCGAATTCACCGTGCGATTGAGGGAAATGATGTGGAACTTCTTCTAACGCACGCAGTGGTGTGAGCTTCTAGAAACTTCGATCTAAAACATATCTGTGCACAGTCAGACTCAGATATTCGCTCAGGCGATGTCTCTTTAGCCGAAATTAAACCGTCACAATAACCGGTTTAAACCAACCTAAACCAACAAAAGAGGAAGAGAGGCTAAAAATTAAAATTGTTAGTTTTTGATCCCTGACGACGACGACGACAATGGAGAGAGGCGTTGATGTTTGTCTTGGTGTTGGCTTTTACTTCTCTAGATGATAAACCTCACGAGGCACCGAGTCACGAATCTCGTGACCGGTGGATCTTCGCTAGATGCGGTTGTGTGGTCTTGCGCTCACTCTCCCAACAAGTTCACATTCCCGCCTCTTCTCAAATCCTGCGCGAAGCTCGGTGACGTTGTCCAAGGTCGAGCTCTGCACGCCCATGTCATAAAAACCGGGTTTTTCGTCGATTATTTCACGGCGACGGCTCTTGTGAGTATGTACATGAAGGTGAAGCAGGCGACGGATGCCCTTAACCTGCTCGACGAAATGCCTGAAAGGAGTGTCGCGAGTGTGAACGCTGCGGTTTCCGGGCTTTTGGAGAATGGGTTTTCTAGAGAAGCGTTTAGCATGTTTGGGGAAGCTAGGGTTTCTGGGTCTGGGACGAATTCGGTTACACTGGCTAGCGTTTTGGGTGGCTGCGAGGATATCGAAGGAGGGATGCAAATGCACTGTTTGGCGATGAAATCAGGTTTTGAGATGGATGTTTACGTCGGAACCTCTCTTGTTTCTATGTACTCGAGATGTGGAGAGTGGATTTTGGCTGCGAAAATGTTCGAAAAGGTGCCTTACAAGAGTGTTGTGACCTACAACGCTTTTATCTCCGGATTGATGGAGAATGGAGTTCCGCATTTGGTCCCCAGTGTCTTCAATCTCATGAGGGAGTTTTCAAGTGAAGAGCCAAATGATGTTACTTTCGTTAATGTCACATCTGCTTGCGCTAGTCTTTTGAATCTCCAGTACGGAAGGCAAATTCACGGTCTTCTTATGAAAAGAGAGTTTAGGTCTGATACAGTGGTTGGTACATCTCTCATTGACATGTATTCGAAATGCCGCTGTTGGAAATCAGCGTACGGCGTTTTCACGGAGCTGAAAGATACCAGGAACTTGATATCTTGGAACTCTGTTATCTCCGGGATGATGATTAACGGACAGCATGAGGTAGCAGTTGAGCTGTTTGAAGAGTTGGATTCCGAAGGGCTTAAACCTGATTCAGCGACATGGAATTCAATGATCAGTGGCTTTTCACAGTTAGGGAAAGTGGTTGAAGCCTTCAAGTTCTTTGAGAGGATGATATCAGTTGTTATGGTTCCTAGTTTGAAATGTCTTACTAGCCTTCTCTCGGCTTGTTCAGATACTTGGGTTTTAAAGAACGGCAAAGAGATCCATGGGCATGTCATCAAAACTGCAGCTGACAAAGATGTATTTGTTTCTACGTCTCTCATCGACATGTACATGAAATGTGGGCTCTCGTTGTGGGCACGCCGGATCTTTGATAGGTTTGAACCAAAACCCAAGGATCCTGTGTTCTGGAACGTTATGATATCCGGCTATGGTAAACATGGAGAGTGTGAATCTGCCATTGATATCTTTGATCTTCTCCGAGAAGAGAAAGTAGAACCGAGTTTGGCAACCTTTACTGCTGTTCTATCTGCGTGTAGTCACTGTGGCGATGTCGAGAAGGGATCTCAAGTATTTAGGTTGATGCAGGAAGAGTATGGATATAAACCAAGTACAGAGCACGTTGGTTGTATGGTTGATCTTTTGGGTCGGTTTGGGAGATTAAGAGAAGCCAAGGAGGTGATAGATCAAATGTCGGAACCATCATCTTCGGTTTACTCTTCTTTGCTCGGTGCATGTAGGCAACACCTGGATCCAGTGCTTGGAGAGGAAGCGGCAAAGAAGCTAGCAGAGTTAGAGCCAGAGAATCCAGCCCCATTTGTGATCTTGTCAAGCATATATGCTGCATTAGAGAGATGGCAAGATGTGGAAAGTATCAGGCAGGTTATAGATGAGAAGCAACTTGTAAAACTTCCAGGTGTTAGTTTGTCTGGTTAAGTATATGAACTGGTGATGCACATAGGTTTAATGTTAGGCAAATACAGGGTTCTCTTTTAGGGACTATTGGCATGCTCTTGATTCGGAGCTTGTAAAGCAGATATGGTTCTCTTTGGAAACTATTGGCATGCTCTCGGATTCAGGCAAGGGACCTGAGCCAATTGATATGAACCTTTGTTCACACACAAATTAAGAGGAAGATATGAAAGCTTAGCTCCCTTTTAACCCTAATTCAATCTTAGAGATTAAAGTTAATTCTTGGGTTTCTTATCTTTATATTATTAATTGAGAAGTACATTCTAATGTTTGGATACAAGAATTAGAGAAACATCTATTTGGATAGAAGAATAAATGGAAACAAAAGTTGTTTGGATATAAGAATAAGAGAAAAATCTATTTGGATAGAAGAATAAATGGAAAAAATTGTTTGGATACAAGAATAATAACTTAAAATAAACCGATGGTTTAGAAAACTTCCGTTTTCCATCTCTTAAAAATCTGCAAAAAAGAAAACTTAACATAATCTAACGATAATTCCAAATCAATAGAATATGCTTTTTGGATTTTCGGGTTTTTATAGACAAGTTCGGGTTTGGGTGAAAATCTGAGACATAATTTTATAGAGATATATATAGAGATATAGAAATTGTTCGGGTTTCTTTGAAAATTTCTGTTCGGGTTAGGTTCAATTTTTTTTTTCAGTTTAGGGTTTTCCGGATTTTTTAGATTTCTGGTTTTCGGGTTTAGATATATTAAAAAAATTGAGTATTTTAAAATTTTGATTAGGTATTGGGGTCGGGTTCCGGGTGAAAAAGTTTCCAGATTTTTTTTGTTCAGTCAGGGTTTTCGGGATTTTTTTGATTTCGGATTTTCATGTTTAGACCTATTAAAAAAGTTTGGGTTTTTAAATTTTTTGATTAGGGTTTTTTGTCGGGTTCGGATTTAGGGTTTTTCGGGATTTTTTTGATTTCAGATTTTCATGTTTAGACCTGTTAAAAAAGTTTGGGTTTTTCAATTTTAATTCAAATCATTGGCGAAGACATGGCTCAAACCCACCAACAAGACATCATTGAATATAACAAGATTGATGTCAACTTCTGCTTGTGGTTGGTCTCTGTTTTTTGGCTCCAACATCAGATTCTGTTGTGGCTCTTTCTCCTCCGCCATGTGGTTTTGTTTTTCTGGAACCATCACCAAGCTCTCCCTCAGCTCCACATGGTCTGTACAAATCTCCTCTATCTTGTGTACGTCTTCTGTTGTTGCCTTTGGTGCTTCATCGTTTAGTCTCGGTTGTTTCAGCTCCGGTACATCAAAGCTCTTCTATGGTGAATTTGACCGTTGGTCCTAGAGCTGGATTAAACCTTGCAGGTTTTCCCTTTAGAGGCCCATGTTCTCTTTCTTGAGCTGCAGTCAATGCTTCAATAGCAGCGTGGCGACTCACAGAAGCTTCCAGAAAAGAGTCAAGCTTCTCGTCGAGCTTATCGAACCTTGTCTCCATCTTGTCAAACAGTTTCTCCACCTTCTCCAAAAAGAGATTGAGCTTCGCCTGCATAGTTGTCATGTCCGTCATCGGATCGTTCGGCTCTGATACCAAATTGATATGAACCTTTGTTCACACACAAATTAAGAGGAAGATATGAAAGCTTAGTTCTTGGGACTTGGTTTCTTATTAATCATTGGAGACCTTTATATACTAGATCTTGATACAAAACCCTAATGTAAAAAGGAAAACATGAATACCTAATTAATCAATTAAAACACCAAAACCATTAATTAAAAACACTCTAACGATAGTCTCAACACCCTAACCATAGTCTTGTATCACCAACATAGAGGAACAGATCATTGTGTGGGGTATTACCACTCGGTTTAATGTCTGAGCGTGATAATCCGCACGATGATCTCTTTCTCTTTGTTGGTTCAGGTCCCTTAGAGACCAGAGTGTTAGACCCTTTGTGATCAATAGTCTTTGTAAAGCAAATATGTAAGACGAGAGGATTCTTGTATTACCAAAATTCAAACCGTTTTGCTCTAGAATCAAATACAAATTTTGTAAAACAAAATATGCGTTTCTTTTTCCTTTTTTCTCCTACACAACACATCCTCATTTGATCTAAAACTGGTCCAGTCTCCACTACTGTTCTTCTGTTGTCTCCATCAGCTCTTGCTGACTCGTTGATTTGCAGTAACAAAAAGATGGGATGGAGACAAGAACCGAATTTGCAAAAGATTGTCTGTAATATAAATCATCTACTCCATTCGTAGTCTCCTCCATACTTAGACGATGCATTGTTAAGACGGTTAGACTCTTCTGGTTTGATGGAGTTTGCAAATGCTTGCCAGCCTATAAGGTGCGGCAAGATAAACTGCGATACAATGTATAAAGTTTTAGAACAAAAGCAAAGGCTCTTCTCACATAGAGAGAACTCAACAGAGAGAGAGGGCTTACGTTGAAAGCAGAGATAAGAACAGCAAACTCTGCTTTGGTGATTGGTATGTATACATTCTCATCTACATTCAACAGCTTGTTCTGAACACCTTTATCACAGAAAAAAACAATGTAAATAAGAAGAGCTTTCAAGCCATGAATAAACCAGGAAAAAAGGAAAAGAAAGAGTCATTTTACTTACTCAGGTTAAAGAAGCGGCCAGAACCATCTGGGAGAGGTTCAACTTTCAACACTTTCCTCACTTTACCTTCGTCACTACTACAACAAACAAAGGCAACATCGATTACAAATCAAAATCTAAAAGAAGAAGAGAATCTGTGTAATCAAATAGATCTCATGGGATCCTAAACATACCCTTTTCCCTTGAATGGATCATGGAAGAATTCACATGATTCCCTCGGCCCAAGGCTAATTAAGTTACCGATTTCTGTAATCGACAAGGAGAAAACCTGCATAATTTCACATACCACAAATCATCAAAGTGAAAAAAGGTTGTTTCTTTCACCAAACCAAGTCATGATCTTTATCACAATCCAGAAAGTATTTAAGTTAAGATAAAACCAAAGCTGCATCAGAACATTATCTAAGCAGAATCATAATAGAAAAGTACAAAACGTGCTTCTTTTTCACCAAATCAAGTATCACTATCTATGAAGTAGTAAGTCAAAGATAAAAGCAGACCTGTTTCCTACTCCAATCGTATTGCCGAACACCAGCTGCAGGAGCAAACTGGAGCAAAAGGAAACCTTCCTTTGAAAGCTTGAACGCACCAGACTGATTAACGACAATAAAGATCAATCTAAGATCGACCGAGTCAGAGAGATGATTCTATAGACTTTCGAATTAAGAGACGTACTTCTAAGGCCACAAACTCTGGTGCTCGAGGCTCAATTGTAAGTGCAGCTTTCCCTTTGTATATCGAGTGGCCCACGTAAAATCGAGCAGAAGATCCTTCAGCTAATCCAAACAAACACGAATCACACATTTATTTTCAATATTTCTGGGTTTCATGCTTCCATTTTCAAAATTCAAGCAACAATAAACACCGTTTTCGATTTCTTATAAACATGTATGATGTCGCGAATGAGCCTTAATTTTCCAAAATTAGAATTCGCTTTTTCTTTGGGCATTTCACGCTTCCATTTTTCGAAATTCCTCAGATTCGAAACAAGCTTTTTAAGTGGCTTACAGTTTTGCGGAGAGTAAGGCGGCGAAGAAGACGAGTCGCCAAACCTCTGCTTCTCGAAGTAATCATCTTGCCGAGACTTCACCGATAGCTTCACCCTCGCCGTCGGTTTCGCGTTAAAGCCTTGCCGTTTCCCGAAGAACCCGACGGTGTTGAGAAAACGAGCGTCTGTAAACCGATGGTTTATGTGAATTTTCGAGTTCACCGCCGATGACGGAGAAGATAAGAGTTGCGACATCGTCTTCTTCACTGGACACGACGGAGGAAAAAGGGTTTTTAAAAATTTCAACTAAAGGAGAGACAACGTTTCTCTAATTCGATTTTTACCACATAATATTAAGAATCTTACAAAATTGGCCCAACAAGTTTACAAAGTGGACTTAGCTACTTAAATGCACGGTTAAGATTTATTTTTCTTTCTATCACCAACGGCCCAGATTAGTTTAGTGCAGGGTCAAAGAATTTTATGGAAAAAAAAATATAAAACGACAGCGTTTAACAAAAACCGACATTGAAGCTGACAGTTTTTTACGCCGGCGAGCGAAATTTCAGACATCGACGAAGAAGACGACCTTATTTTTTTCTTTGACCTGTGAGGCCTTTTGATCATGGCTATGCAAATTGGGTTATCGAAGATTTTGATTTTAGCTGGAGCAGGTAACTTGGGTTTCTCGATCATGATTGTGGAGTTTTTTTGAAGATTTAGATAACCCCTTTTTTAGCTTTATTTGTTTATCGAAATCTGAAGGTTACACTAGTACGATTCTGGTGAAGAATGGAAAAATGGCGGATATTTTGGGGGAGCTACGGGTACAATTACCTTCCTTCCGAAATTTTGAGTCAATTGTTCTTCAATTTGGATTGAGAAAGGAGTAAAAAAAGGATTTTTTTTGTTTTGTTTGTGTTCCTCGTCAAATTTGAAGGATTTGGTTAAGCGATATGAGAAATCCGGAAATCATTCAAACGACGATTCTGATGCCATGACTAGTGAGGTAATTTTTGTGTAATGGAATCTTGAGGTGAAGAAGAGTGTATGTGTGTGAATGTGAATAGAGAAAGTAACTAAGTGAGTTTTGTAGATGCAAAGGTTAGCTATGGACATTCGTCATTATGCCTCGTCGCGGCAGATAACTGTCGTTAATGGTGGTCAAGGAGGTTTGTCTCCGGCTACTTTTGAATTTTGTATCTGTTTTTTTATGTAATCTCTGACATTCTTTGCTACAAACACTTTCCAGCTGACTATACACCGTTAATAGTCCCGGCAGCGACACTGGGAGCTATAGGCTATGGCTATATGTGGTACAAGGTATGTTAAAGAGTTCCATTAGTAGAGTGTTTTGTTGGCTCGTCTTGAATTGATTTCTCTGAAAAAATGATGTTTGTTCCTGTGGCAGGGGATTTCGTTTTCTGACATCATGTGCATAACAAAGCAGAATATGGACAATGCGGTGGCGAATTTGACAAAGCACTTGGACACTGTTTCAGAAGCTATTTCTGTGGGTGCTTCTTTGATTCCGTTATTGCTTTCTTGTGTAAGGGCCTTTGGATAAGATCTTTAATTGTATGGTGCTTTTGCTTTATGGTGTTGGTTCAGAATGCTAAGAAGCACTTGTCCGACCGGCTTCAGAGGGTTGATAATAAGCTGGACTTGCAGAAGGATCTCTTGAAGGGAGTCCAAGATAATGTACGGATATTTTATTAAGCATTGTCAAGTATTTAAAGAGTTGTTATTTTGAGGTTTGTAGTAATAAGTTTCAGATCTGTGGAACAGGTTGGTTTGGCTCTTGAGGATCTTGCTAAGATTGGAGATGATTTTGAGGCAATGCATAACATGTTTGGTGGTATGGTGCGTGTACTGTTAACATAATTAAGATGATATGTGACCACCAATAGGACTCTTTCTTCTTTATTTATAATCTGATATTAACAAACTCTAGTGGTCATTATTTCTTACTGATTCGATCTAAGTTCCATTTTTTTTCAGGGTGGAAAATTGGATAGTATTGAATACAAGCAGGTATCTTCATTTCCATTCTTGTTCGTTATTATTGTTCTGAATATCAGCTTAAAGAATTTGTTAGGATCATTGGCAGCTAATTGTGGAGCTAAGTAAGTTAAAGATCAAAATTTACTCATTTGTCTTGTTTTGTTGCGTTTCTCTCGGCAGAATATTGCAAATATGGGTTTAATGTATCTATGCGACTCTTTGGGTGGAGAGAATCACAAGATGCCGGATATTCTGATTCAGGTAACAGAAACATATGAATGAAAAATTTATATGTTTCTTGGCAATCATCTGCTGGTCTTTTAGTGATATATCTTGCTCCATGTGGTCTTGCAGGAGAAGCTACGACTCTCTGGGAAGTCGAAGACATGTATAGTACTTACAAATGAAGAAACTTCAAGCTCACAGGTACTGTCTCATTAATAAATGATATCAAATAATGCCTATGCAGCAAGTAGATTCATTAAACCTCGAACGAAAACTACACCCATCTGATCTGTTTCTTGACATGTTTCAGGATTTGAAAGAAAGCGATAAGATAGAGCTACTTGAAGGCTGATTCTAGATGGTACAAAAGTATATCATCAAGGTTTGGTGATATATAATACATGTAGTATAGGATACTGAGAATAGGAGAGTGATTATTATTATTATGTATTGGTGTTTAAATTAATGACCTTTGCAGGCAAGAAAGAAAAGATTGAATAACCCAAAAAAAAAAAAATGTGCTTTTTTGTTCTCTTTCCCTTTGATTTTTTTCAACAGCCAATAAAAATTTAATGAAGCCTAATAGTTATCCGTACTGCATTATGCACAAATCGTTTTACAAACACCATCCACAACAAATACAATTTTTTTTTTCTTTTGTTTGTTTTTTTACCATAACAACACGGAAACACACACACACAAACGCACGTCAAAGGGAGATTTTCAATCAGCAGGATTTGCCAGGTTTGCAACCAAGCGTACCAGCGTCTTTTGTGAGTCTTCTTACCTTAGTTCCTGGCTGAGGCCTGATCGCAAACTGTCCTGGGATTGGATTTTTCGGGGCGGAGCTCCATGCGTTTGATCTTCCTGAATTCACAAAGTAAGCTCCGTTTAAGAAGTAATCTCTCTCTGATTGCCAGTTCCATGATTTCCATTCTGTGTAAGGTGCGTACTCTCTCTTTGTAACCTGCATTGTCAAAATTCTCTCTCAATAGTGTCTCAAGTTGATTAGAGAGAAAGAGTAGAAAGAAAGAAGTTGTTTATAATTTTACCTGCTTGGAATCTTCAAGAGGAGGAGCAATGAAACGATTTCCTTGACTTATGATGGTAGGGTTCATGTTTCCACCAATTGCATACATTTTCCAGTGAGTGTAGTCATTGTTCACCACATGGATCATACCGTATCTGCACCTTGGCATTCTTTGCACCAATCTCTTTCCGAAATGGTTAAACGCAACCGTTATCTGCATTTTCTTGTCGATCACATCCTCGTCTTTAGCCCCAAACAGCATCACCTGCAATTCCCCAAACGCCAAACACACGTTAGTAAGAGATAATTAGGCCTCATTGTTTTTGCATCTAGTGTCAAAATGAATCCACAACTTTAAACACAAATATTTGTTAATTGGAAACGCCAAACGCAAAAACAGGTTCTCCTTCAAAACACGTTTCAGTTTGGTTTTATGACAAGTCTTGTTTATACCTCGTCGTGGTCGGTAAAATGGGAATTGGAGATGGTAATGGCGGTGGATCCCATGATGGCATCGATCATACCATCAGAACAATGCGTCATGGAGACATGATCGATCCAAATGTTGGACGATCCGAAAATGTTAATACCATCACCATCACTCTTTGTCCGGAGCCCAAAATGAGTCTCGGAGTCTCTAATCATCCCACCAAACCCACGACCAATGTTTTTGATATGAATGTTGTGTATGATCACATTCTTCACGAACTGTAACGTAAAACCCGCACCTCCGGTTATATGAATGTTGGCTCCACGACCGTCGATCGTTTTGTCGTGCGTCACGATCAGTTCTTGCTGCAGCTTAATGACCATGCTTCTAGCGAAAATGATCCAGAGCGGTCTGTCGCGAGTCACGGCGTATCTTAGAGTTCCTGGCTTGGGGTCCAAGAGACTGATGTCCGACGCGTCGGTGACTGTGTAGAACTCTCCGGCTTTGCCTCCGGTTGTTTTCCGACCAAATCCCAGGACGCAGTCCGCTAGTTTCTTCCGGTTTTTGGCCCAGTTTTTGTCTCCACGCCAACATTTGTCGATTGCATTAAGGGATTGGTACCTCCCGCCACGTTTCAGTATTTTCCGACCGCTTCCAATCTGTCGGAGATCCCTCCTTGTCCCGTTGCCCATCCCCGTTTCCTCCATTGCTCTGAGAACACAAAACAAATCAGTGTAAACATTAGCTACTTCCTGAAGAAGTTAGGTTTTCAAAACAAATAAAAAACCCTAATTCTGAAAACGTACAATGCGTTATGGTAGTTGAAATGGTCGGTGACATTTAACGGGTTCGGGTCATAAGCCTCCAAAGTTCGTCGCATGGCATCGGTTTGACGCTGCGTCCAGTATTCATCGAAGGCGGCGATGTGGGCTTGAACCGATGGAGCTAGAACGGCGAGAGACAAGGAGACGAAGGCGAAAACGTAGCTCCCAAGATTCAAATGAGCAACCGCCATTATGAATCGACGGTGAGAGATTTTTTTTTTTTTTTTTAATTTTTTTATGTTTTTGTCCGGTGAAGAAGAACCCTTGAAACTTGGGTCGTCCAAAAAGTTTTCTGGTCGGCCCAGGGTTAGAAATATAAGGACGGATTCATCGTTTACTTAAATAACAAGGAATTGAAAGAGAGAGGGAAGATAAAAGACATTAGTGGAGGATTAACGATTAACAGAGTAATTATTATTAGGTAACCATTGGTTTTTGTTAAAAACTCTCTGTTTGTTTTCTTGGAAAAACCAATTATAGTTTGGCTGGTTTTTATTGTTCCTTCTTTGTTTTATCCTTCTTTTGTGGAATGTATTCGGTTATTTTTGTCTTTAAACCTAATATTACTTTTAAGTAGGTTATTTATTAGTTTTTTGTCGGATTTATATTGAAATCAATGAAATGAGTTCAGTAAAAATTATTATTTGAAAAAAATGAACTTAGTTTTTGATACAGAAATACTCAAATTTTGTTAATGTTTCTCAAAACGTTAAAAATATTAAAATACGGGATGTTGATTGTTGAGAACAATATACTGTTTAGAATAAAGTGCTAGTGAAATACCTTTGAGGTTTAAAGTGTTAGTAGCTGTCACTTTGAAGGTTTAAAATGTGATTTTCCCGTTAAAAATTTATAGTCAATATTTTTATAAAAAAATGACAAAGATTTCCTATGGAGATTATTATCGAATGCATTGGCTATTGGTACCATTTTGGTCCATCGGAGAATCACTACGGAGGCAGAATGTCGGAGATGTTGCTCTGCAGATGAGAGCCCGGAACATCTCTTTTTCAATTGTAGCTATGCACAAGCGATTTGGCGTGGAACACAGGTCTCACCTAATATCATTCTCAATCCAGCTATTTCTTTTGATGTGAAGTTTCAAGCTCTTCTTGATTGGCATAATAATGCTCAGTTGACTCCCTTAATGCGGCAAATACCACTATGGACACTTTGGGCGGATTTGGAAAAGTAGAAATATGCTTCTATATCAGCGTAAGAGTGGGACTTGGTTGCAAGATGTTCAAAGGATATTTAATGAAGCAACGGAGTGTACATCTTGTTTTTTTTCAGGAGATTCGGCCTCATCTTTCCATCGGAATACTCGGGTTAAATCAATGTGGAAGAGACCAAGTGTTGGTTACGTCAAATGTAATTTCGACTGTAGCTTTCGGAATGATGATCTGCCTGTAAAATCTGCATGGATACTAAGAGATTCAGAGGGATATTATCTTGGAGCTGGACAGAGTTTGGGATCTTCGTGTCATTCAATATTGGAAGCGGAACTTCAAAGCTTACTAGTTGGTATACAGCAATGTTGGATTAGGGGATACACTCATGTAGTGTTTGAAGGTGACAACAGAACCGTTCCAAAGTTGATTAGTGGAGAAAAGAAGCATTTTCAGCTGCATAATTTGGTAAGAGAAATAAGGTTCTGGTTACAGAAAATCTCGAGTACGGAAGTTCTTTGGATTCCTCGATGGAGTAATCAAGTTGCTGATACGTTGGCTAAGGATATCACTTTTAATTCTTTTAAGTACTTTTCATTATTATGTGCCACACTTGATTGTACATCTCCTCCATGAGGATTACTCTGTTTCTTCATAATAAATGAAGGGAAATATAAGTGAATAACAATAAAAAAACATAATATTAACAAACTAACCATAATAAGACCATGGATAGAATATAGACCGTGTAACATATAATATTACCAAATTTAACACTGTCCAAAACCGTGAGTTTCTAATCCATCTTTATATTTTCACGCCATCGCCGCCTTATCATTTTTTCCGGTGGCGAGTTTGCCGTCGGCGAAATCAAAATGGTTTCTGTAATAGATCTGATTAGCGGTGTTGCCTTATGCGCAGTTGGCCTTCTCTCTTTGATTGATGGAAGGCGGATTTCGTTCTAGAGAGATGCTCCATTGATTTCACGGTGGTTTCTGGTTATTTTATCTGTAACGATTCTACAGAGATCTGGTAGCGGTTGGGTTCTCCGTGAAAGTAAGGTGTACATATTGCTTCTTCTCCGTCTCTGGAGAATGGCAATCGATTTTCTTCTCGCCGTGTTTGATGGAAGACGGGTCATCTGCTCACGGGCAGTAAATTTCCACCCCCTTCATTAAGGGTATTTTCGTCAGAAATCATCCCAATCGGCTATTCTCTTAAATTAATTTCAATATGGTTATATCTTTCATTTTCTTCCTCAATATGGTTATTTACCTAATTCACCATAAATGAATGTTTGATGTTAAAAAAAAAAAAAAAATGACAAAGATTTCTAGACTAAATGCCTAAAAAAGACTAGATACTGATATATTTCAAAAAGATTTAAAATTTTCATTTCTTAATTGAGTTCACAATTGTTTTTCGAGAGAAATAATTACTAAATGGATCGAGATACAGTGGTGCCCAATGGGCCGAGTTAAGCTATTAGTCCAGTCCATAATAAGCGAAGAGTGAATGACACGTGTTATGATGTTGATAGGCTAGCCGCTAGTGTATAGCGTTATTTGCCACGTAAGTAAGGTTGCTTTGATTTGATACTCAAAGTTGGACACGGGAAATAGATAAGTATGGACAGTCAGATTTTGTCGTTTTCATGCTTTTGTTTACGTGGAATCTCGGTTTGTAGGACCCGCACTCCCCAAATATGTGAGGTGAGTAAATTAGCCGAAATATCTTGTCTGGTTTTAAACATTAAAATCATCCTACTCTACTAAAATTTTAAATTTAGGTGGTTCTTATATAAACAAAAGGTAGAATTTTAGTTTCTATTTTACAGACACAGAAATTAAGAAATGTTAAAATACTTACTTACTCTCTCCGTTTCAAATTAGTTGTCGTTTTGACAAAATGTATCTGCAAATATTTGGACGTATCTGGATGTGTTTTGCATTGCAGATACGTCCAAATATTTGCAGGTACATTTTGCCAAAACGACAACTATTTGAAACGGAGGGAGTATTATTTTTTCAACTTATAAGTACACTTATCTGTATTTGTACCTACACAAAACTTGCACTTATCCTTAATCATTTTGTGGTCCTTGTGGATAATTGTTGAAATGCAATTTAGTAAAAAAATTTAACGAAATTAGAAAACAAAAATTACTTTCTAATTTTATTTGATAACTCGAAGTACAGAGAGACTCGACAAAACCAATCGTCCTCTTCCGGTAGCCACAGAAAAGTTACGAAAGAAGCAAACAAAATCAGGCAAAGAAGAGAAAGAAGAAAAGATTCGCTGCAATCGCTTGCTCTTTCTTTCTTTCCCTCTCTCCCTCTCTATAGTCCCTATTTGGAAAGTTGCGAATCCCTCCATGAAAACATCTGATTTCTCTTGACTCTCGATTCAATTTTCGTAATCTGGTGAAGGGTTCGTGTTTCGGATTCACTCGAAGAAGAGAAAAAGTCTTCAGTTTCGCCTCAAAACCCACATGGGATTGGCACTGAACAGTAGACTGAGAAGAAGAAGAAGAGAAGTCATCGAGTGTTTGCTACGATTATGTCCATAACAGAATCTTCAGAATCGGCTTTCACTGAGGAAGAAGACTCCTTCAACACTCGTTACTCGTTATGGATCAAAGAAGCTCTAGACGAGCTCCCTCACAGTTTCACGATCACCGACCCGTTTATCTCGGGCCACCCGATCGTTTTCGCCAGCCCGGGGTTCCTGAAAATGTCCGGGTACTCGCGGGAAGAAGTCATCGGAAGAAACGGGAGGGCTTTTCAGGGGCCTAAGACCAATCGGAGATCGATCATGGAGATTCGCGAGGCGATTCGCGAGGAGAGGCCGATTCAATTGAGCCTTTTGAATTACCGGAAATCGGGATCTCCGTTTTGGATGCTGTTTCATATGAGTCCGGTTTTCGCGAAAACCGACGGGAAAGTGATCCATTTCGTGGCGGTTCAGGTTCCGATCTCGGGGCGAGGACATCACCGGAAGGTGAGAAACGGGTCGGGTCTGACCGGAGATGTGTCGGATCGTTCCGAATTGGTGTTTGGTTCGTGTCGAAGAGAGGTTCGTTTGGGTAATTTCGTGCATCAGAGTCGAGCTCTACCAGTGGAATGTGATGAACAAGGTTATTGCCTATTACTTGCTCGATGAAACTCCTCACAGAGATTTAAATCAGCCATAAAAACTTAAACTTTATGCTATAGCAAATTATTTAAGGATTGGAAATTAGGTTTTTGATTCGTTGTTACACTGCAGGATTAGAGAAATGGGAACACTGTGAAGCGAGTGAGTCTGAGAAGCTGAGAGCTGGAGAAGCAATTAACAGTGTGTTGTCTATTTTGATGCGTTACAGCGAGTTGAGTGGAAGATTAGTCTGTGGAAAGAGGCATTGCTTGCGTGGTGCGGAGTGTTTAAGCTCGTCGTTGGTTATTTCTCTCGGTAGAATCAAACAAAGTTTCGTATTGTGAGTTTTGTTTATATTAGTACTTGTTCTTGGTTTTGTCATAGAGTTGGTTACACTGTCCTACTATAGATTTGCTTATGGCATTATTATGGTAACTTTTTGCAGGACCAATCCATGTTTACCTGACATGCCTATTGTTTACGCGAGTGATGCCTTTTTGACATTGACTGGTGAGTGTTTGTTTTGTGTTTTGATTTAGAACCATACCATTTGTGGGTTTTGAAAAATAAACAACCTAATGTTTGTAGGGTACAAGAGACAAGAAGTGTTGGGACAAAACTGTAGATTTCTGAGTGGGGTTGATACAGATTCCTCTGTTCTATACGAGGTAGTGCTTTTGTTTTTAATTTTTTTAACTTTTTTTATCACATGGGATTGAAATTGTGAGTTTATTTATGTGATAAAAGTTGTTAATTGTTTTTTTTTGGTACAGATGAAAGATTGCATTTTAAAGGGACAATCATGCACAGTTCAAATATTAAACTACAGGTAAGATTTTATTTCCTCAAAACATGTCACAGTTTCTTTTGATTTGGTTTTGTCTGATCATTTATGTTTTTATCAGCAACAGAAAAGATAAGAGCACATTCTGGAATCTTCTTCACATATCACCAGTTCGTAATGCTTCAGGCAAGGTAACCTAAAATTGGGATTACTTTTTGAAATAAGCAATAAACACCTCTTATGAAATTTTGAGAATACGGTGAACTGATTCGTCTGTGTTTTGTATATGGTATCAGACAGCATATTTTGTGGGTGTTCAGGTGGAAGCCAGTTGCAGAGGTACTGAAAGTAAAGAAGTGAGACCAGAGACAAGGCAGCTGAGTGTGGTCGGTGCGGTTAGAGTTGCGGTCAGGAGCTCATTCATGGTAACATGCTAATATACGCCAGAAATGAAAATGCATCTTAGAAACAAACAAGTAGAAGAGTATGATATGAATTGTACATGCATCTATCTTCATTCACTACATGTATCACATCACTGTACATGAATAAAGTCTCTATTGTGATCATAAAAACTCCATATACTATTCATTTTCTAAAGGAAGAAACATAAAACCATACTTCTTTGTTACGTCATATTATCCTCAGAAAGAAGAAACCAAAAACCAGCAATATACATTACAAACTTATACAATATCACAACTTCCATATGATTTATATTTACAAAAAAAAAAAAAAAAAAAAAGGTGAAAATTAAGCTGAAAACATCAACAAATCACGAAACCAAAGGGTAATTACATTTTTATTTTTTAAAGAGAATACATAACCTAATGGGTATCGTAGCTAGGGTTTCCGTACACGTTTTCAGAAGTAACATCCACATGATACCCTTGTTCTAAATACAAAAAATATTGGATCGGGACAATGCCTATGACAGTAAAAGCAAATTGGTCGAGAAGGATAAGTGTTGGCATGAATAAGCATCACATCTCTTCCGAGTTTGATAGTACCACCTGACTTCAGATATTGCCCTGGACCAAGTAAGCAAAGTATATGAAGCGTGGTGCAGCAATCGTCGCATTTATAGAACCCTCTTCTCCCTCCATAATCTGCTAGTTTGCTCTCGCATAGCTCACACCAATCTGAGTCACTTGCCTCATCTCCATGACAAAACGTGAGGCAATGATCGTCATGCTTATACCTTGCCGTGTAGGGTAAGGTAGCACATCCGAAACATATAACAAAGTCACATTCGATGCAGTTCAATACTCTTAGCTTCTCATCATCATCCGTTGACTTGCAAACGTGGCACATTGGCTTTTCTTTTGGGTCTAAAGCGAGGAATAAGGGGTGTTGATGACCTTGATTTGTAAATGGCTCAGAGACCAAGGCACATCGTATATCTATTCGGAAGTAAGAGTCACAGTCCTCGTTGTAACACCAATAGACGAAACCATTACTAAAGAGACCACACAAGGTGCAACTGAATGCATCTCCATCGTAGACCTCTAGTTGAAGTGGATGGGGATGTAAAGGATGGAGCTTCTTGCGTGGAGCATTTGCACATGTTTCGTGTAAGATGAAGTTACATTCCACTTCCACACATACATAAAATTCACCATCGTAGATCGGGAGGATACAGGCTTGACAAAACTTCTTTTCGTCATAAACTCTACTTGTCTCGACTCTTAGATTATGGCCATGAGAAAAATGGAGTATCATTCCATCGGCTATCCTCACGAACGGCTCAACATCGTCGTATACATCATCTTCTTCTGGTACTCCTTCCAGCTCCTTTCCGTCCCATATATCCTTTCGCAATGCACAATTTGTGTGAACAGCGTAGCCACTACACGTAGTCGCAGTGCAAACGTATGCACCATAATGACTAACAACCTCTCGCCGGCAAACTCCGCAAGACCGTTTTGCCGATGGGAGAGAAGAAACGAAAGAAACGCGGTGGTGGTGACGAGATATTCTTATGGTTTGTGGGTTATATATACAATCATTGTGGACGACAAAATCACACATCAAACAGACGTAGGTGAGATCAAGTTTGTTTACCAAACCACAAACGTTGCAGGTTAAGGAAGCTTGTCTAGGGAAAAAGGTGAGGGTATGGTCAGTCTTTTTGGATGGTCTATAAAATAGGGTATCTTCGTCGCTTGAACACAAAGGACATGCATATAAATGTCGCAGACAACACAATAATAAACCGTAAATGCTGCTCTGTCTCCACAGCATATGCAATAGTTAGTTTCATTACTAATAATGTCTGAATAGAAAAGTTGGAGAGAGTGTTTGAAGTGGGAAGGATGATTGATCTCAAGTGGAGACTCGACACATTCTTTGTGAAACCTTTTACCACACTTGTCACAGAAGTAATAACAAGTGCCGACTTTTGCATGGTGACAAGCATCGCAATCATCGTATACTTCGGCTTCCTTATTGTTGCACCAAAACAGAGGGAGTACAGGATGATTATACCTGGTGCCATCAGAGAGAGGGGAAGTTGTGAACTTGATCATTTTTTCTTCAAAATCGATACCACGGAAGCGGAATGCGAAATACTGTCGTACTCTAGGGCATATGAAATGAGGTTGAAGAGGGAGGTCTTGGCCGGAACCAATGGCTGATTTGGGGATGTCTAACTGTGGTAATGGATATTGAACGTTGTGGTATACGAGGTTTAGTTTCCCATCGATTTCCAACTTGTGAAATTCTCCGACCAAGTCCATGGCTACTCCACCGGAGATTATTTATTTTCTATGGTTTATGGTTTAGGATATTGTTCTTCTCCTTCTCGCCCATTCCTATATATACATACGTACGGTACATACATACACGTAGAGACATGAGTTTTTTTTGTCCTTTTTCCATTTCTTGTCTTTCCCGACAGGCTTAAACTAGTCCCATTTGCAATATGTTTAAAATTTCTTTAATAAATTTATTTTATCAGACAAAAACGCCAAACAAGAACGTAAGATTTGATTTGTGTTTGACGCGCATCTTACTATAACATCTATATTTGTTTTTGAAAATATGATTCTTTTGGATTATTTTTCTTGTATAGCAACGCCAACACACATTTTACGTTTGAAACAATCGACAGCTTAACCATAGTCTCGTATGGTTGCTTGTTTTGTCAAATACCATAGTTGTTAGGCTGTCCCAAGGAAACACTTATAATACTTTAGACAGGTAAGCTTAGTTGGTATGTCTATATCATTACGTATTGATCATTATTATAAGTTTATAACTAGGTCTTTTACCCGCGCGCACGCGCAGGTCTGTATTAATACTTTGATTAAATATTTTTTATCTATAATTTTTTGTTGTCAGTAGCATGTCATGCTGATAATTGAACTAATATTAATTATTCTTCGTCATTTTTTTATTTTTCATTGTTCTATTCTCCTTTATTCGGTTTCTTTTTCTTTGGTTTCTTCGTTATCTTTATTCTCCTCATTTTCCTCTTATGTTTCTTCGTCATTGCAGTTTTTATTCCGTTATTTGATATACTTCTTCATCTTTGTTCATCTTCTGATTATTTTTTGTATTTATTCTTTAATATCTTTGTCTCCACATTTTTTTTTATGTTCCTTGTTATTATTTGTGCTCGTCCTTGCTTATCATTCTTCTGTTTTTTCTATGGTTATTTTAGAGGATCGAATTGTTAGGATTTTTCTATAATTTTCTTGATTATCTATGATGGAGTTTCTCACGATTTTATCCCTTTTAGAAATAATTTTATTATAATTCTCTTTAGTTTAATTTTATGTAGAATAAATTTTTCACTAAATGATACAGTTAACCAAACTTAAATATGTAAAAGATTCATAAAAATATAATGAAGTTAGAGACGTACAACTACATATTCACACATGTAATGAAAAATGTCTAACAATAATATAAATAACTAAATTTATGAGATCATAAAAAATATAGTTAAACATAGCTTTCAATTTCATATTCTTCGATTTTTTCTTTTTATTTGGTTTTCTGGTTTAGCCTTATATAGTTTTTTCCGTTCTTTGCTATCTTCGTCTTCACTTTTTTTCATTTATTTATTTATTTTTATTTTTTTTGCTTTTCTTGGTTCTTATTCTTCTATTTCTTCTATGATTATTCATACCATAAAAATTATAGGTTTCGCTATATTTTGTATCTTTCATCTTCCTCTTCTTCTATATATTTTCTTCTTTACTCTAGTTTCTATGTTTTTTTTTTAATTCTTTTTCAATTTTTCCAACTTTGATTTCTTCTTTGTTCTTATTTGTTTTCTTATTTATCTTCACTCATTTTCACTTATGCTCTTATTTGTCTTCGCTCTTCTTTATTTCTCCTTTGTGTTATTGTTTGGTTTCTACTTTTCTTCGTCTTCACTTTTCTTTATTCTTTCTTTGTGTTCTTATTTGGTTTCATTTCCTTCTTCACTCTTCTTTCAATGTTTTTAAATTCCTTTTATTTATTACTTCTTCAATTTCTGCTATTTTGATTTATTTTTTGTTCTTATTTGGTTTCTTATTGATCTTCACTCATCTTTGTTACTGCTCTTCTTTATTCCTCCTTTGTGTTCTTTTTTTGGTTTCATGTTTTTCGTTCTTATCTTAGCAAAATTTTACATTTTAGAAAAAAATTAATGTTAAATAAGCTTATGTGTACTAATAATATTAGTTGTTTTAAGTTTATATTACTAATTTACATGACACAGTTTTAATTTTATTGTAAATGGGAAATATACTTTATTTTTTTTCTAAACTATTTAGTTAATAAAAATTTCTGAAATATGAAAAATAAAAAAATAATTAGTTTTAGTGATACTGTGGGATGATACTGTTTGTTGTTTAAAATCATATATACTTAATTTTCTTATTTCTTACATATTTAAAAATTATAATTTTTCTTAATCATGTAAATGCTTATTTGGACCAATCAAAATTAAGATCATAGTAAATTTTACATAATAATGTTGAATAAGACTATTGGTTGTTTAAAATTTAGAAAATTAATTAATCTTTTTAAGATAATTATTTTGACCAATAAAATCATTTTTCTAAATTCTATGTGGATTATATGATGATGTAGACTGATACTATTAGTTGTCTAAAATTCAAAAAAAATCTTATTTTTGAAGGTACTTATGTGGACAAGTAAAATCGCGTTATTAAATCTTATGTGAACGCTTTTAGAGACATTTAGCCTCAATTTTTATATAGTATAAAATATGGTTATATTATTATTGTTGTCTTATATATTAGAGTTAATAAAAAAACTTATTCATGTTAAGTTATTTTCTTTGTTGTTGGTATTAATTTTTAAAAAAAAAATTATAAACTCTTTAATACAAAAAATCTATACTATTCTTGAATTAGGTAACTTTCTTAAACAATGAAAAGGAAATTAACTAATTTTATATGATGATGTGTCTATACTATTCTTGAATTATGAAACTTTCTTGAACAATGAAAAGGAAATTAACTAATTTTATATGATGATGTGGAATGATACTATTGATTGTTTAAATTCGGAAATTTTCTTAATTTTGAACATGCTCACGTGGATACTAAATCTTTTATATAGTATAGATTTTTTGGACTAAATCTTTTAATACTATTTTTCTATAAATCATTACTCATTTGTCTTCACTAGACAATATTTATATCAATCAATCTTATATATAATTAGGGAGTTGCTCTCTCCATTTGAGAGTGTCCACATCAGCAAAAACATTAAATTGTATTTAAAATATTTAATAAATATATGACTATTCATATTTCTTTACATTTATTCATATTTAATAAAAATATACAAATAAATTGATTAATTAATAGAAAGTATGTGATAATTTGATGTTCAAAGTTATCAAAAAGTTGGAATATAAAATAGAGATGGAGTAAAGAAATATTCAACTTCAAATAGTATATATTTACTTTATTATTCAAAGGTTTATCCTACTTAAAAATGTTAGAATGTGTTTACAAGTTAAAAAGTTGAATATAAATTAATTAAGACAATAGAAAGCTAATGAAACATTAGAGTTAGAGTTTGTTTTTCTAAACAAATAGAAATAGAGTTTTATATGTAAATTTAATTGTAGTGAAAAACAAGAATATGTTTACAAATTTTAACCTTCAGTCAAATGCATATACATATTTATAAATTTTAACCTTCAATCAAATACATATACATGTTTACCGTCTAATAGAAGTAAACATAATACTTATAACATGATAAAATTTTAGAAATAGAAAACTCAAGATAAAGCAGAGTGTTAATATCCTAATAAATTAAAATAAAAACAAATTATTCATATTTTTTAGTGTTAGTGGTTTAGTTAACTCAAAACATAACAAAAACATGAAAGTTAACACAAAACCATCATATTTCAAATCAACGAGTATAAATAAAATTAAACAGAAAAACTATCGTAAACAACCCCGCGCTTGCGCGGGGCTTCAAACCTAGTATATTATATTATATAGCAATATTACAGTAACTGGTGGTAGGCTGGTAGCCAGTTACAGCCTTAAATTATAATCTTTCAGGTCTTAACGATCAAAGAGTGCATCTTTCAGCCTATATTATGATTTTAATAGATGATACACAATAAAGAACAGTATACATTTGCTTCATTTTGAAAATATATCCGATACTGACAACGGTCTGTGCAGGTCGTGCAAACCGGCCGAGAAGAAGAGATGTTGCGAAGAATACGAAACCAGACCTCTGTTCCCGCGGGTTTGATAGTAACACCAGGTTTGAGATAAGGGTCTTCCCCGAGTAAGCAATCAACGTGAAGCGTGACGCCGCAGCTGTTGCACTTGTAGAACCCTTCTTTATTACCTCCAACTGCTACTTGTCCCTCGCACAACTCACACCAGTCTGACTCACTCACCTCATTTCCATGAGAGAAGGTGAGGTAATCTTTATGATGCTTATACATTGCCTTGTACGGCAAGGTAGCGCACTCGAAACATATAATATAGTCACATTCAAGGCAGTTTAATACCTTACGATCATATGAAGATGTTGACTTGCAAAGGTTGCACATTGCCTTCTCCTTTGGGTCTAAAGCGAGGAATAAAGGGTGTCGATGGCCGTGATAATTAAACGGCTCCGAAACCATGGCACACCTTAAATCTACTTGGTAGTCACAGTCCCCATTGGAGCACCTATAGAAGAAACCGTTGCTTCTGCGACCACATACACGACAATAGAAGAAACCTTGTGGATGGACTGTCTCTAGTTTTAGTGGATGGGGATGTAAAGGATAGATCTTTTTACGCGGAGCACTTGCGCATGCTTCATGTAGGATGAAGTCACATTCCAAGCAGTCATAGAAATGTCCCTCATAGATTGGAAGTGCACACGCTTGACAAAGCTTGTTTTCATCAAAAATTCTACTCGTCTCGAAGCTCAGGGGATGGCCATGAGAAAAGTAGAGTATAACTTGATCAGCTACCATCTCGAACGGGTCAACATCTTCGTCTTCTTCTTCTGGTATTCCCTCGAGTTCTATTCCATCCCATACATCATAGCGCAATGCACACCGTGTGTGAACAGCGTAGCCACGACACACATCGCAAGTGTATGCACCATAATCACAGTCGACCTCTCGACGACATACTCCGCAAGACCAACCTCCTAATGGAAGAGAAGAAACGAAAGAGATACGGTGGTGGTGGCGAGATATTCTTATAGTTTGTGGGATAAAGATACAATCACTATGTGCTACGAAGTCGCATATAGAACGACAAACGTAGGTTAAATGGAGTTTGTTTATCAGACCACAAATATTGCAGGTTAAAGAAGCTTGTCTAGGGAAAAGAGTGAGGGTATGATCATGTCTTTTTGGATGGTCAATGAAAATGGGTATCGTCTTCTGAGCACAAACCACATGCATGTAAACGTCGGAGCGAGAACAATGATAAACCATGATATCTGCTTTTCCTCTACAGAGGAGGCAATACTGGTTAGATCTGTCTTCAGAAAGATAAAGTTTGAGAGGATGTTTGAGGTGGCAAGGATAATAGATCTCAACCGGAGATTCGACACATTCTTTGTGGTACCTTTTATCACACGCAACACAGAAATAATAGTCTGTGCCGGGTGTTTGGAAAGAGCAAGCAGAACACTCGCCTTGTGGACCGGCTTCTTTGTTGTTGCACCAAAAGAGAGGGAATACATGATGACCATAGCTGTCATTATCAAAGAGAGGAGAAGTCGTGAACATGGAAAAGCCTTCGGTCCTGACCCTCCAACGGTCAAAAAACAAAGTCTCGTGACTCCCAGAAGTTTCTTGGATTCGTACTGAAGGGCACAAGAAGAGAGGTTCAAGAGGGAGGTCGTCGTCGGAATCAGTGGCTTCTTCATCGGCGGAGTTTGATTCATCGGAGGATTTTTCTTGTTCGGACGAGTTTGCTTCATCGGAGGAGTTTTCTTGGTCGGACGAGTTTGCTTCATCGGAGGAGTTTTCTTGGTCGGATGAGTTTGCTTCATCGGAGGAGTTTTCTTGGTCGGACGAGTTTGGGCTGTGTGGTTGTAATACTGGATATCTAGGGTTGTTGAATATGAGATATGGTATTTTCTTCTTTTTGATTCTTTTCTTGAAAAAATATGTGAGGTATGGTTTCCCATTGATTTCCACCTTATGAAATTCTCCGACCAAGTTCATGGCTGCTCAATCGGAGATTTTATTCTTTTCAGGGTTCTGGAATATTGAAAATGTTTTTGAGGATTTTGTATCAAATTGAAAAGATAACGGATGGACGCAAATCTAATAGTATATATTTTGCCCACGCTTAATGATGTGTTTAGAAATTGTCAAACAAAAATGTGCCAATTGATAATGTTAAAAGAAAAACAGAAACATTAAGAACTCCCACTACAACAATTTGACTTAAAAAAAATGGAATGTAGTGCGGTACCACGATTTTAGTTTTTTGAATATTGATAAACAATGAAACTGACTAGTAGCAACGAATTAGCTTAGCTTGGGTCGTTGTTTAGTATCCAGCATCCTAGATCGTTGAGATGAGAACGATTATTATATAATGTGGAGTTCAAGGCACATGGACCAATTTACGTATTGTTTGTTTTATTTAAAAGTTGAATTGTTTATTTTGGTGTTGATAGGACTATCTGTTGTGTTGATGTTATATAAGCTTTGGTCCTAAATCTTGTAAAAAATGCTAACATGGCAAAAAGAATTATGGTAAAAGAAGTGGAGATGCGGGGTATCGATCCCCGTACCTCTCGCATGCTAAGCGAGCGCTCTACCATCTGAGCTACATCCCCACTGATGTTACTATGGCGGTATTACGAGTTAATTTCATAATTAATCCAGGTTTCTCAGCTTATTATGATGATCTTACTATTATTAATTTATTATGATGATGATTTTACTATTATTATGATGATGATCTTACAATTCTACGCTTATTATTATGATGATCCAGGTTTCCATAATAATAAATTACACATTCTGTGTGATGTGTATCAGTAAGATATATTTCTATTTTAAGTTTTGAGAAGTAAAAAAAGCAAAAGCAAGAGATAATTGGGGGAAAAAAATAAGAAGAAAGAATTGGGGGAAATTAGGACGGACAAATTTCGTAAGACATCATTATTAGTAGATGAAGGAAAATAAAAAGGAACTCCAATATGGCACAATTCAAGGCAAAGATGGTCTTATAGATTTTTTAATGTTTCTAAGAACACTCCACATAACTGTAGACACAAAGAAGAGAGCAACACCAGCCGCAATGGCTTGTTTCAAACCAAGATTCACCAGCAAGTTCACCAAAAGTCCAGCCAACACCACGCCGCAGAAATTAGAGGAAACAGCAGACCAAAACGGCATGTCGAGGATCGATGCTATTATAGCTCCTGTCCAAGCACCGGTTCCAGGGAAGGGAACAGCTACAAAGAGCATCAGCCCTAGCCACTGGAACTCTTCCACTGGTCCAGCCTTCTCTTTCGCTCTTTTGAATAAGATCTCGAGTAGTTTAGATGCCGTTTGGCTCTTCCCCGCCACGAAAGATGCAAACTTTTCGAGGTAAAGTATGATGAATGGAACCGGAACCATATTGCTGCAAAAACCCAAAATGAGTCACTTCTTGCTGAGTATATCAATGGAATCGTATTAATATGGACTGAAATGTCATTCATTCAGCTAAATATGTTCCTCAAACAAGACAAATTGCATTTGTCACACAACTCACAACAATTCATCATAGATTCAAAGAACACTTGTCAAACTTATTATAGATTCAACTAAACAACAGACATGTGTAACCTCAAACATAAGAGAACATTTCAGAGACAAATGTATGGGCTCAAAGTTCAAATTTTTATCACCATAATCAACACTAATGAGACATTTGCAAACTCTGGTCTAAGAAGAGATCAACAGCAATATCAAGATCAATCCAAACTAATTCTGTTTCTATTGTTTTGCAGATTTAAGAGACTAACCCAAGAACAGAGAAGAATGTGAGAACCGTGGGTTTAAGCTGCATCCAATAACCGACGGGAATAGCACCACGGAGCTCAATAACCGGAAGTGTGGCTAAAGCAAACACCACAGCTTCGTCTGGCCAACCGAAGCGGCGGAGAGTGGCGGCGATTCTGAGACCAACGCTCGATGATTTGATGGAATCGGCCGCCGCTTTCGCATCGCCGGACCTAGCAAACCAAAGCAAAGAGCAAGAAGCCCAGAACACAACGCATATCGCGAATTTCAATGGGTTTACGCCGATAGACGGAATTAGCCGGACGATTTCTTCTTCTCCTTCTTCGGTTTTTCTGAGAAACCCATCTGGAGAAGAACAGAGTCTGGTGGAATTACGGGGTAATGGGTGGAGAAGACTGGAACTTTGACTCTCTGTAAAACGATTTTGCTTCAATTTTGGAGAAATCGAAGATGAAAAAACCCGACTGGGTATTGAAGTTAGGAGAAGGGTTTTGCTGGATGAGGAAGCGAGAGTGAAAGGAGAGACTGAGACTAATGCAGAAATCGCCATTTTCGAATTCAGCTTTGATGCTTATTCATCTGATTGTTGTTGTTGGCTCAATAAATGGGATTTTGATTTTCTTCAGAAGCAAAATTCTTGAAATATCGAATTTTTGTAAACTACAGTCACAGTCGGCTCTAAATTCAGGGGTATTATTTATATAAAACATTTAGTCTTGGTACAATGTATAAGATTTGTAAAGTATAGGGGTTATTGTTGAAATTAAAGAAACGCGCCGCGTTTGTGTAATATATACACATCGAGACGGTGCAAAAACGGCGTGCAGTTTTCTTTTAGAAAAAGCTTCTTCTGTTTTGGTTTCTCTAAAATATCTTGGCGACAGAGAAACGAACATTAGAGAGGAGGAAGATCAGTGTAGAGCTATCGGGAGAATTATCTGAAGAGACAATTGGAATCGAGTTTCAATTTTGAGAAGATATGGAAGGAGGAGAAGAAGAAGTGAGTATTCAGGAGCTAGCTTCGAATCTCTCTACGTACAAAGAGCAGCTCGAAACGGTGCGAACGATTTCTTCTCTTCCTTTAAGAATTTCGTGTATTGTTCCTAGTCTATTTGAATTATAGAATCGAGGAGGCTTGAGAATTGAAATTGAATATCGGCTCCTGAATTTGAGCATTATAGGGTTCTATATGGTTGCTCCCGAGTTAGGGTTCGTAAGGATGCTTATTTAAGGATTCGTTGATTGAACAAGTGTTGTTAAGTATTATTTTTCCTTTGGAATTCAGTCAGTCGATTATAACTGCACATTAGAGGTTTCGAGCTCGGATTATGACTGCAATTGCTTCTTCTCTGGGTTATCTGATAGATTTTACACTCTTTGTTCTCAGGTTAGGCAGCTTCTATCCGACGACCCTAGAAACTCTGAATATGCAGACATGGAAAAAGAGCTTAAAGAGGTGAGCCATCTTTGTGAATGTTGCTTTCAGAAAATCAGTTAATTGTGTGATCAAATCTTTACATCTTTGTCGTGGATGTCATTGTGCTAGTGTGAGTGAAAACACACTAAACTAGATTAGGTTTTTCGTATCATGCCCTTTATGTTACTATTCCCTCCCTCTTTTGAAGGAATCAGCATGTTGCTCGAAATAGCAACATCGTTTAACAGCTAGCGGATACAGTGGTGTTTTGATAAGGTGAGTACATATTTGAGTGCCATGTAACTCCGGAAGTGGAGTTGTTGGAGCATACATGAAAGCAGGAGAAGTAGCAAAGAGTTCATCATTTCTATGTTGGTTATTTGTGCAGGTGTGCTAATATGGGTCATGGAGGCTATATCCTGCTTCTGTCTCCTTGATTTCTCGCGTTCGATCCCTGAAGTTCTACTTTTGAAAAATCTTGATAGATATGTATTTTGTGTGAAATTTTGTTAAAATCATCAATTCTCTGACACTTATTTTGCACCACGTAGGTGATTGCGTTGACAGAGGAACTTCTTGCAACTGCAAAGCAGAATGAGATATCTCTATCAGATGCTGGAGCTAGTGCCGTAGAAACTGCTGATATACCTGATGATGAACTAGAGGCTGCTTGGGGGAAAAAGGTATGTCGTTTCCTGTCATCTTACCTCAAAATGCTGCTAAGTTATTAGATTGGTCACTTCTTCTTGGGAGGAACAAAGTTGATTATGTGATATGTAAACCTGAATTTGGTGGCTTACACGCGGTTGTATTCTATTTTGTTGTTTAGAGTTCAAGGAATGACCCAGTTCATGAGGGTAAGTTCCCCGTTGGAACAAAAGTTCAAGCTGTCTTTAGTGACGATGGCGAATGGTATGTCGAATGTATTTACTGTATTCTTTAAGTTTTCTTCCCCAGTTTTTTTTCCTTTGTTTGATTAGTTAAATGTTCAGGTATGATGCGACCGTTGAGGCACATACTGTAAATGGCTATTATGTTTCCTATGATGAGTGGGGAAACAAGGAAGAGGTAATGCTTATATTCCCGTTTCTTTATTTTATTTCTTCAAGAAACTAATGTTGAGATTGCTTTGTTACAATAATTCAGGTTGATCCAGATAATGTGAGAGCGATAGAGAACAATGCTCTCTTGGAAGCTGAGAGACTAGCTGAAGCTACCAAGAATGCTCTCAAAAGAAAGATTGAGCAATCTGCGAGTTCTGATTATCAGTCTCGAACTTTACCAGCAAAGCTTAAAATTGACCCTAATGATCCCGAGGATGTGGTAAGTCAAGATCGATTCATAAGTAATTCGTTTTCACCTTTTTGGCTTTTTGGTCGTGTTTATGAGGTTTCACTTGTTTATACAGAAAATTGCAAAGCGTAAGAAGATACATGCTTTCAAGTCAAAGGAGAGGCAGGAGAAACTCGAGGTTGCACAGAACAAGAAACAGAATGCGTGGCAACAGTTTCAGACGACAAAAGCCAAAACTAAAAAGGTCTGAAACATCGGCAATTTTGATTGCTCTTTTCTTGCTGTGAATCTGAAATGGGTTTTGGTTTCTTCGTCTTTTGCAGGTAGGGTTCTTCACAGGGAGGAAGAAAGAGAGTATTTTCAAATCTCCAGAAGATCCGTTTGGAAAAGTGGGTGTGACTGGAAGTGGTAAAGGTTTGACCGATTTCCAAAAGCGAGAGAAGCATCTTCATCTCAAGTCTGGTAACGGTGAGGGCACTGATGAATGAGAGATTTTTTTTATGTTCCTAAGCTTTTTTCAGCTACTTTAAAAGTCTCTCCTGTTTCCATCAACCTTCAAAAAACAAAAAGATCTAAAACCCACAAATTTCTGTGGATTTCTGCTCTTTTGTAAGTTGAATTAAAAGATAGTTTTCTTGTTCTATAACTTTGTTTCTTTGTCGTTGAGAAATGACAATAGAGTAGAGCCGACGAATCAAATGCGTTTTACAGTTTTGACTACGCAGAGATACAATGCGTTTTGATGCACGGGCCCGTCACTGTTTGGATTTTACTTTTCTTGCCGTTTCTCTTTTGTATGGCAAAATGGGTGCCGCCAGGAGAAACATTCAAGCCGCATTTAGGCTAGAGAACTGCGCTTAGTCTAAACGTGATGAACATGCCGTGCCGTGTGTAATTTGCGCATAGATATATGTAACATGTTGGTAGAATTTAAAATGACACGAACATGTTTTGACGGTTTTAAGAATTTTTTTTCATATAAATAGACCTGCATGTCTCTTTCTATGTTCATTCCATGGACATTGCGACAAAATTAGTGCTAAACTGCTTGCTGTTTGGTCAACTTAGTCTGCACAAAAATTCACAATGTCCAAAGCTTTTGGGGAGTGTTCAGTGTTTCGTATACTGTCTCACTCTGAGAGAGGCGACCACGCCGACCAGTTGTTTCGAAGTCTCTAACACAACCGGGGAAATTTCAAAACTACACCTCTTGAGGTGCAAATTTTCAAAAATACACCTCTATGGTGCCAATTTTCAAAACTACACTTTTTTCATTTAGTAAAAAAACTCTAAACCCTAAAATATAAATCCAAAACCCTAAAATCTAACATTGAACCCTTAAATCTAAACCCTAAACCCCAAAATCTAAACCCTAATATAGGATTAGTGAACCCAGACATATATATTAAAATTGGGAAAAATATATTTTCGAAAATTTTCACACTATAGATGTAGTTTTGAAAATTTGCACCTCAAGAGATGTATTTCATAAAATTTCTCTAACACAATACGACTACTAATTTTTTTTAATTGTTCGTCTCAAATTTTATTAAAACTTTTAGGGTAAGACTACAAAAGGCGGCGGAAGATGTGATGTAGGAGATATTTAAAAGATTTTCACAAAATTTCATTTTTCTTAATTATGTTTTTTAGGGCTTTTGATATTTTCTTAGGGTTTTTTTTGCTATTTAAACACTTTTAAGTTGTAGTCATGAGGCATATCTTATTATTCTAATTAATCAAAGCAGAACTTTTCTCTAATCTGGTGGATTTCCAGAGTTTTCTCTTCAAGTTCATGCTTGTGAACTTGAATTCAATCTAGGTTTAGTGCTTGCTATTCCTAGTTTTCCGACTGCGTCAAGTGGTATCATAGCTATGCAAGATCAACCGTTGACCAAAGCAGATTTTCAGGGTTTTACCGTGGCTATAACCTCGGCCCTAACTGCTTTGACTAATCAGATGAAGTTTTAACCAATCAGACGGAAGCTTTAACCAATAAGGTTATCAAAGCTGGACAAAGAGAAAGGAGAGGAGAACGAATTAGGGTTCTACATGTTCAAGACAATAGTGCGGCAATTGATTTTAGCAATCACATGAAATGCTAATAGATAGATTGAAGATAGCCGGCAAAATCAGCAAAAAACAAAGAAGGAGATTCAATTAGGGTTCCAAGAGATGAAAACAATTGTGTTGTTGTTATTGAAAACCCTAGTTCTCTTGAAGAAGACTTCATAGAGAAAGAGATTGATCAACATAATCTACATAATAATGCTTTTCACATTAAAGCAGATATTTCATTATCCTATGAAATCCCAGAAGTGGAGAAGACAGAAATTACAGAAGGAGTGCTAGTAATCTACAAAGATTTTAAGAAACGATTGTAGATGAACAAGGAAGAAAAAGAATGATGTTGGCAAGCAGAAGAGAACCAAAGTTTTCAAAGAGGATGATGATGTAATTGTGTTCCTCCATAAAAAGAAGGTTTCAAGTTGTTACATACAACAAAGCACAACCTAGCAACTATGGTCAGCCTTTTAAGAGGATGTGATTATTTATCCAGAAAAGAACTTGAGGAATAATAACCAACCTAGCAAATATGGTCCTTTCAAGGTGTTGCGGAAGATCAATGATGATGTTTATGTTGTGGCTCTAGAGTCATGAAGATTTCTTATATTCAATGTGGTTGACATTCATGAGTACCATGCATATGAGATTCTTAATCTAGAAGAGAACTCGAGGTCGAGTTCTTTAGAGGTGGAGGAGACTGATGTAGGAGATATTTAGGAGATTTTCACAAATTTCTTTTTCTCTAATTATGTTTTTCTTTTGGGTTTTGGATATTTTCTAGGGTTTTGTTTTCTATATAAACACTTTTAAGTTGTAGTCATGAGGCATATCTTATTATTCTAATTAATCAAAGTAGAGAGCTTTTCTCTAATCTGGTGGATTTCCAGAGTTTTCTCTTCAAGTTCATGCTTGTGAACTTGAATTCAATCTAGATTTAGTGGTTGCTATTCATAGGGTTTTTCGACTGTGTTAAGATGAATTAACTTTTAGCTGTTGATTGGTTCACCCACTGCTACCCGCAAACGCAGCTTTTGCGGGTAGTAGCGATTATTGGCGTTTGACAACAATCACCACAAACGCTTCAAACCGCTCCAGATCCTTCAAAAGCTCCTTCCCAGCAGCGTTTGCGGTTGCGGGTTGATAATTAAAAAAAAAAAACACAAACTTATATAAAATCCGAAAAAAATAATATTTATTAAAAAATAAGATTTGGATAATAAAATCACAATATAAATAAAAAAATTAGTACTTTTAGTCAATATTCATTAAAATCATATCATACTTATATATTTATAAGTTCTACAAATCAAAATTCTCTTGATAAATATTCTTTTCATACTAATACATATATATCTAATAAATAAAATTGTAATATAAATTTAATTTTCACATTAAATATATATTTTGAAAATAAAATCACATTTTTATTTAAATTATAGAAATTAAAAGATAGACGTAAGTATTATACACATATTATTCTTTATAAAAAAATTATTTTTAATTATGTTGAACCATAAATTTAAAATTTTCATTATAATATAGTTTTGATATTTTTATAATTATATAATGTGTTTATATTATTAATTTATTGTTTAACCGCTATTGCATCGCAAGTGAACCAGTCATAAGTATCCCGCAAACGCATCCATTTTCAATTGTTATGCCAGTCGTACAAACCGCTTAATAACGCTACTAATCACAACCGCCCGCTTCCGCAAACTCCGCACCCGCAACGCAGCGGTTAAACCAGTCAGGCCCTAAAGCCCAAAAAAGGTAATCAAATCATAAGTGAACATAAACTGAAGAGATAATGATTAAAACAATCTCTTATTATGATTAAATGACTAGAATAACTCTTTGACAGATTGAATCTTAAAAAAGTTTTGAAAAGTCATTTTTTTATGGTTCGTTTTATTTACAAGTGTGCTATTTTGAAAGGGAAAAAATATATTTCATTTTCTCTTTATTAAAAAATTACACATGCCATTTCGATTTAACTTTAGTTTGTATTTCTTTCAAATCTCATTTCATTTTCGGAGTTTAAGAAAACCTTCCGCCGAGAAACCCTAAAACCACTGAGCATACTTCTTCTTCTTTCTTTTTCGGCGACAAAACCCCTTCTTCATTCTTCCTCCCCAAGGAAATCTCCATTTCTTCCTTGTTCTGCGAGAAAACCTTCAGTCGATGAGGAGAACATCATATCCGTTTATTGTGTGACTATAAAAGAGATCTCCTGTAATTTCCGGGATTTCTGTTATAGATATGATAGCCATAGATGTGATTTGTTGGTGGTGAATTTCTTAGTATATGTGATGTTATTCATTGATGGTATATTTGTTTATATTGGCAGTTTTATTTATTTGGTGGTAGATTTATTTGTTTAAATTTGATTTCAATAATTGATTTTTGCAGATACCATGGATCCCAACAATCCTAATGTTTATGAGGGTAAGAAAATAAGGAAGCACATCCAGATGTTTGAATTGTGGACTGATGGTGACTTTTTTCTTTTAACACTAATTGACTAATTGAATACAAATTATGAGAATTGTTACAAGACAATTCTATAACATACAATTTTACCGTCTTCAAAGCTCCACGACCGAAGGTTCCACGTGCACAAACCTCTTGTAAGCTTGTCTCTATTAATCTGCATAATTATTAGCAAATGGTACTCGTCGAGACTCGAAACCCAGATTTGAAGTATTAATTTCCTTAATCAACCATTATGCTAGGACCGGTGATTATGATAAAGCCATGGTGTCCTTACGGTGAGGCATTGAAAGTCATCAATGGTAGAAAATACAACACCTACAAGCAATACAAGGTATGATTACATAGTATTTTTAAAGCTTATATTAAATATTATTGGAATTGGAATTGGAATTTATACGATGATGTGGTGTATATGCATCCAACTTCTTTCATGTTTGGAAGAGGTGGGATAAAGGCTATTGGGAAAGAGGTGGTTAAGCTAAAGGAGGAAAATGCCGAGCAGAGCAGATTTGTAACCTCGGTTATCAACAGGAGGTTGCAAAGCTGTGGTACACGGTCAGGTAATAAACATTTCATAAGTTTTCTGAATAAGGTTTTCTGAATAAAGGTTTCTTCCTCTAGAAATAGTAGTTGATAAGTATACGACTACTAATCATCGAATAGCAAAAAAAGGCTAAAATTCCTTAGTCACAACTCACAATTGTTAAAAAAAGGATAGCTACAACACATTTAAAAGTAAAAAAAAGGCCTCAACTATTGCCAAAAAGAAAAAAGAAAAAAAGAAAAACACAAGTTTCATAAGAGCTGAACAAATAAAACCCCTTTTCGCCAAATTCCGAAATTTAGTTTTCCTGTACCCTCTTGAAAATAGTTCCATCTCAATGCCAGAGATATTAATCGATCGCTTTTCTAATTTTCCGGTATGTAATAACACAACATACACACAAAAACTTTACTCGCTGCGGATCGCCTGATACTTCTCCCACAATGGTGAAGACCTCTTCATGTCAGCCATTAAGCTCTTGAACTTGTGGCTATAATCCACTCCACTGTTGAAAATATTGCCAACAATACAAAGATAAGAGACTTTGGATCTTTCATAAGCAAAACAAAATTAAAAACACACATGAATCATCATTATCTAAAGAAAAAGGGAGAGTACCTGTTACGATCCAACGATGATATAGCACGAAGAGCGCTTCTGATCATGTCTTCATTTCGGTCATGCTCTTGCTTCACTGCATCTGGCTTTGGCTTGAAGCTTATCGTCTTTTGCAGTGGCTCCACGAGAGAATCCAGTACTGCAGAATCATCATAAGGAATAGAGAGAGAGATGAGCAAAATTACTTTTATTTCTTTCGGTATGAAATAATGGATTTTGGAAAAAAGCTCTAACATACCAGCTAGTACCGCTGAGGGGCATTTATCCGCTAGTAGAGAGACTATAAGATGACAAAGCATCTTCAGATCATAATGGTCTGCACAAACAGAGATTGTGTTATTAAGATTTCTAAAGAAAAATGGCGTTAATGTAGGTTAACTAACATAAGAGAGAGGGAGAGATAGAGATAGACACACTCACCTTCTAGTCCGGATTTGAGGAAAGGGATAATGAAAGAAGACGGATTCACTTGGTCAAGACAGCTATCGAGAAGAGTAAATACACACTCGAAAGCTGCTTTCCTCAGCTCAAGCCCATCGTCAACGACGTGCTTGAATGGTCCTAGATCAACCGTTCTTATCAAATCTTTCTGCAAAACAGAAGTGTTGCAAGCGATGAGAAAATGAAACCTTCCAAATTGTTATGATTAGGGACAACTAGTGTGGTGTAGCACAAAAAAATTACCTTAATAACGGTTTGATCATAAAGAAGCGGTAGCAATTCGGGGAGGAGTCCTTTAATAAGGTTTGGTTTATAATGAGCAAAAGTACTCAAAGCTGAGACAGCTGCACGCCTGACATGCTGCATAAACCATGGAACGTATAAAAAAAGTTAGGATTACACAGCAAAATCATTATTCTGCAACGCCATGATAACGTTCTTTGTTGTTATCATCAGATGAAGTTAGTTTTATTTGACTTACCCTGTCACCATCCTTGATCAGCATGAGGAATGAAGAAATCTCAGGGTAGATGATTTCATCTAATTTCTCCGGCCTTTCCACAACAGAATATTTCACCGCTGTAACAACAGTTGCACGAGTAAAAGCCGCTGGACTCGTCGTCCTTACCTATAATATTCAGCAAATATTATTCGTCGCTAAGCATGACAGCAAAGATCAGATATAATGCAGATAGTGAGATTGTTCTGTAGCTCTTCTCTAGTTACCTTAAGTGCAGGAACCAGTTTCTTAGGTTCTATCAACGCCATTTTTCCCAAGCATTCAGCAACAACATTCCTTACACCCTCTTCCTCGCTTTCACAGTGGTTAAACAGTAAATTAAGTATTTTCTCAACACTGGAATTCTGGAAATCCGCTTTATCAACAGACTGTCTCACAATAACCTGAAAAAAAAAGTAGGAACAAGATATGAAATCCGTATATGTAGTCTAACACTATAACATGGATACTTGTTCCGGAAAACATACCTCCTTGAGCGAATGAAGGAGAATATATTGCTTTTTCTGTTGATTATCAATCTGGTCCAAGATGAAAGGTAAATAATTGGATAGATTGCCAACAGCAATATTTCCCAGAGCATAAGAAGCTGCAGACTTTATTTCTTCAAACGGAGACTGGAAAGACTCGATGATGATTGTTTCAATGCCAGTGTGCGCACTCAGATCTTTCCTCCTCCCAATCTCACCAAGAGATAACAGGGCGAGATGTTGTTTTGCCTGCACGAGAAACCATCATTGTAAAAACACAAAAATAATTCTTCAAATAGCTGCAGATCTACGAAGGAAAATAAGCCTCGTCTATTCCCTAATGGCTCGAATACTAATAAAAGATCAGAGAGCTTACGGAGTTTGTGCCGCTGTCATCTTTAAGGATTTCCCTAAGCATTTTAACTGTAGACGAACAATTCTGATCACCCGCCGCGAGGCAAAGAACCGCCACACACTGTGCAATGGAATATAATGCCTGCTTTGGGACACCTCCAGACTGAGGAGACGGCTTAGCACAAGAAAGTAATGAGTCCAGCAAGGTGTAGAAACTCGTATTCGCATGATACACCAGAGCTTCAAAGAATCCTTGCAGAGCCTGTGACAAGCATCCAATATATCATTGCCGTCTTATCTTTAATATCAGGTGAAGTATAAAAAAATTCCAGCAAAGATAAAATTACCGAAAGTGCTTGACCCTGGAGCAATGGGCTTTTAACTAAAGTGAGTGCCTGCGGAAGAACTTTGTTGCGAACCGCCAAACTTATATTTTCACTACAACTCTTTCCAGTCATCAGAGTGCAGCAGAGTTCAAGTGCAAGAGCTGTCATGTGCAGGTCCGAAACACTGAGAAAGACAGACCTTTTATTAATCACCAACCAAAAAGTTATCAAACGATCAGAAAAAAAAAAAATCACTAGATTAGCAAACCAACCTTATCAAAGATGAGAGCTCCACAAGAATAACTTCATAAGCATCTGAACCAATCTTATCACCGTAGGCAGTTACCAAGGTATTCATAGTAATAAGTGTTGCTTGCCTTAGAACCCGATTAGCCTGTTTGACAAAACATTAATAAACATTGCTTAAGTACCAGATATTGTATTCAGGGATTTGTTTTACTGATTGTGAGACAGTAAGCGAAAGTACATATTTAATGCCTTTTAGATTTGGTAGTAAACCCATATACCTTCCTTAAGAATCCAGTTAGTTCAGCAATCAAATGGTGCAAGACACATGAGAGATCAATGTGCAGCGGAGAAGTGGCAATGACAGCAAATGCCTGCACGCACCCACACAGTTACACATGAGCTAAACCATTAAAGAAAAAAAATCTTCAACAGGAGCACAACAACCACCTTTACTGCTGTGAGGCGAGTGATTTCATTTCCCATTCGGTCAACAAGCACAGGAAGGCATGAAGGTAGCTCTGCTCTGAGTTGATCGCCAAATGTTGAAATAACTAGAGCCATGCAGGTAATAGCACACTCCTTGACCTCCTGTTGAAAGAAAGAGAGATTAAGAAACATAAATAGTACAAATACAAACACAGCAATCTGCTTGAATATCATACTGAGAAATTAAAAGAGTTACAAAAGAAAATGTATTGCCCCAAAGAAGTATGGATTTTCAAAAACAAAAATTGAAAGGGGATTCATGCCACAAACCTGGTCCTGATCTTGATTTGTCAAGCGAGACATTATTGCACTGTAGATTGGATGAACAAATGGCTTAAAATCAAAGCCCATACCCTAAACCACATAAAAAAAAGTATTAGTGAATGCAAAAATCAGTAGGCCTATAGGTAAAAGTGTGTTTTGTACATGATGTCCAAATCTAATGAGATACTCACCTCAGTACTTGGACGTACTACTCTGACAAGTTCCCCACAAACCCTTAATGCCTCAGCAGTCACCTTGTAATAGCGTTCACCAACAGCAGCTAAAACAGGACTAGAAAGTGCCTGGATTGACAAAAAGTTCAAGAGTCAGTCAAACCAACCTTCATCAGCCGTTAATGTCCATTTGCTTTTGAAAACAGAGTTTTGAAGTCTATGGACTCAACACAAGTCATTGAACATTTGGTCAATATTTTAATGCATAAAATGTTTCCAACCTTGATGTAAGGATGAAAAACAGGAGGCGCATGTGATGCCAAGACTAATTTTGTGAAGACAAGAGCTTCGATTTTCAAGTTTGAAGTAGACGATTTATCCTGGAGGGATAAAAAAAGGGGGAAAAACATGAGAAAATGTACAAAGACGAACATTGAGAGTACATAAATAAGTATACGGAATATCCCCACTTACATTTAGCGCTCTTTCAATTCCAGGAACAAGTGAACCAATATGATCAGCAAGGCAGTCAGGCAGGACAACCACAAGTTCCCTCAACACAGAGAATGCACCAACCTACAGATAGGTAAGAAGTTAAAAGAATATCAAATAGGAACCGAACCGAACCAAAACGAGGGATAAACACATACCTTAGTCTTAACAGACTTTTCGCGCAGTTGCCTATTTATGGATTTCACAATTTTTGAGACTTCTTGCTTCAGTAACCACTTTGCACTGCATCCATCAAAGGTATGTATACAGTTAGCAGGTATTCATTAGTAAGTGACAGACCGTTCATACTAATGGAGTAAAAGGATGCAAGAAATGTACCTTGATTCATCGGTGTCAGCTTGACCTTTTGTCACATTTCCTGTTTGCCGTAACAGATCAATGAATGTGTTGAAAATATCCATCTGTAACAACAGTACCTCAGATTAGTGACCATACAGCAATGCAGGATAAAGCATTTATTTATTTTCCATACCTTCACATTTTCCTCCCTTTCCTTAAATCTATCAATCAGTTTCGGGCATGCCTGCACAAGAAGAGACTATTACTAAATTTCTCAACAACAAAGACCTGTAAATCATCTGGATCATTGTTAAAAAAAGATATACCTCTTGATATACTTTAGAGATCATCTCAGAACGAGAAACTATTAGTCCTGCTAAGCATTTTGCCGCTGCTCTCCTAACTTTCCAGCTGGCATCCTCATCATCCGTGTATTCATTTGCACTTTCCCTGTGAGAAACAAAGACATTTGTCACTGAGATAATGGTGCACCACAAGGGGTTAGGTAACGGTCCTAATGCTTATATCAGAACTTACTCATCGTCTTCATCTTCAAGAGTCTCATTATCAGTATCTTCATCCATGTTGTCGGTGAAATTCGGGTCATAGCTTATATATTCCAAAGTGAGATTTAAAATTTCATCACAATATGGTGAGATGTCCCTTGGACACCGAAGCAGGAAACTCTCAAGTGCCTGCAGTAAAATTTCAGAACAGACTTAGCAATCGCCTACATTTTTCATATCACTTTCATGGAAGCTTAAAGTTGAAACCCCAATTTAATAAGACAAAGTAAAAGAACAGAGACTACAAGCACACCTAATTAATTGTCCGATTAAGAAATTAGATAAGCAAACCTAAAATGCAAGCGTAGTGAGAAAGTAGATTATAGGGAATCTTGCGTGAGACCTGTAAGCTATACTCGCGAAGCTCCTCATCGTTTTCTGAAGCGCTGGTACAGTACTTGATCAATATTGGAACAGTGTTTCCAAGATGAGTCCCAAACCGGTATCCAACGGCACGACTGAAACAAACAAAAAACGCATTAAATACCATCACACCAATGGCAAGCCGACTCGTCGATGTGTAAGTTAAAGAAAAATAGCACACAAAAGGATAGGCAGGAAGTACCTTAAAGCTCCAATCATTTGAATATTGGTGCGAGTAATCTCCGATTTCGCATTCTTTTTCCTCAAATTTTTTATAACTTCAGCCGTTGCCTTCGCGAGCAAATCATCAGACAGGCTGGAAGCAAGAGATGCTGAAACCCGAAAAAATTGAAACTTAAAAGAGGATATCTACCATCGAATTAAGAGTTCTATATAAGTTTGGGGAAAAGAAATTGGAGTAGAAAAAAATCAATTATTTAAACCCGCGTTGGTATCAAAAGAATTGACACCAACAGCAGAGATTCATACTCCAAAGTTAATACTGGGCTGAGGAACGCTGTCACTCAACCCGTGCGATTAGAACCTAGTTTCAACAATTCAACTATGGACAGAACTAGCCAGCAATCTTATTCACTCAAATTTTTAACTTACCAATGCATGTGACAGCCTTCTTCCTGACTGTGGCTTGGTTACAGCCCAATTGCGATAACAATGTGTTCAGTAGCTTCTCGTGATCATCTGCCATTAAAGTTCCATATTTTTGAACAACATCACACATGATCTCGAGACATTCACACTTTATCCCCGTGCTCATTCCCTTCAGCAACAAGGCAGCAGAAAATTAGTTACTTGCAAACAAGAAGATAGTACCTCATATTTCATAGGAATGACAAATGATTATATGCGGTAGTACTTATGGTCTACTAAGAGTTATGCAGAAGTGTTTAATAAACTGTATCAGCTCCAACAAAACTTTAATGTAAATCAATTCAATTATAGATATCAATTAATCTAAAGTATTGTTCTATGATCTACTAAGAGTTATTCAGAAATAGTTTATAAACTGTAACAGCTGACTTTTTCTTTGAATTGTAATTTTGCTGGCATCCTAAAATTGTCTCAGACCCTAAGCACTATGGCATACACAATCACAAAAAAAAAGGCCTCCCAACAACTAACCTGGCCACTTATCCCTCCGATCATTTGTGGGGTTAAAGTAACAAGAATAGATGGAGCAAGCGAAGGAGCAACTTGAGCGACAACAGTCCTGAGAGCTATGCTTGCGGTATCACGATGTTGGTCTTTCCCACGCACCAGTTTATCACATAACTTGTTGGTCATCTCCACAATTCGTTCTTCTCCTACCTTCTTCACCAATGGAGCAAGACTGGAACAAATCATCCATTAACGGTCAAAGATAATTCAGTTAATTTTGAAAAGCTCAAGACCAAAAAAGCAAAAGCCGCAATATAGATGTAACAAGACCGACACAGAACAATAGAATGCAGATGATATAACATCAGCATGGGCCATAAGTTTCCAAAGAGAAGAAATCTAACCATTTAACAGCCAATGCAGAAACATCACCAGCCACATCATCAAGCTGTTGCAGTATGATGCTCGACAATCTTATCTCCAAGTCCGTGTCGAGTTTAAAGGAATCCTTATTCAACTCATTGAGCAAATCAGAGGTTGCCATATATCTATAGTCTTTATCTTTCCCAGTCATCTGATCATAAGAAAACACAGAAATAAGAATAGTGAATTTAATTAAAAAAAAAATTGAGCTTAATTCGATATAGATGATGAAAAGACCTTTTCAATAATCCCAGAAACTTGTAAGTTCGCCATCTTTGCTTGATCTGATCAAATCACCAATTCAAACTGCAATCAAACGAGGATCTCAAATTAAATTAACTCAGCCGAATAAAATTTATGAATACAAAACGAATCAAACATTCATTGGACTAAAACACTAATCCAGATATCGAATCAGCAGAGTAATGCCACTCTAACATGCTGCACACAGAGGGCAAAACGTCTGAAACACAGTCAGAAAATCAAAGGAGAAGCACCGAGCGTGAACTTAATTCTTTCTCGGCAAACAAAACCTAATCAAATTTCCATAAGAGAACTTCTGATTGATCGAAGTTCGGTTCGATGAATCAAAGTCCCGTCACACCAAAACCCTAAGACTACGAGTACGACTACGAAGATGCTATCATCAGACTTCTCGATGTCGCACAGAAAAGAAAACAATACAGCAGAAGAGGAGGAAACCCTAACCTTAGAAGGCGAAATCGCCGGGAGAGAACGCCGGAGGACGGAAACGGAACGCCGAGAGGTCCGATTATCTGATGAGTTGTCGAGCGGAAACTCTCCAGACGAAAGTAAAAAAAGATGGAGGAGACACTGTAAATTCCCTTGCTCGTTAAGCTTGATTTAAGTAAAGCCCTTCTCTATTAAAAAGGGAAATCTAATAAATTACTAAATGGGCCGTTGAATAACTAATTGGGCCCGGACTGCTATTTACAGTAATGTAATTGTTTAGCATCGTCGGTTGAAACTAAATGGGCTTGAATTGGGCCATAGGCTGGAGTTCTTCCACATAAGCAACCAACAATAAACTCCTGATGATCCTTTTTGGAATACCGGATTACGTCATTTGACTAAACTTTCCATAACTTGCATCCATAATGATTTCTGGTTTTAAACATGGAAGTGATTTGTCTTCATATCTCCTTATTTATCCGCCAAAACTTGTTCTCATATTGGAGGTACAAGCTGGATTTATAAGTAACGGTGAAGTGGCTTTTGGCGAGACCACAATGTGTTTTGGGTCTAGAGTGCTTTCAGATATAGGTCTTTGGAGACTAAGAGACTATAGAGTTGATCTTCGTTGTATCGATAACAAGATTCTCTGTTTGACATAGTTTAATACTTTGTGTTGTTTTTTTTTTTTTTTTTTGCTTTTTCTGAAAATGACAACAGAAAGTTGTTCTGTAGTTCAATATAGTGGTCAAAAGTTTGATATTTTTACAGTAATCGGATGTTTGATAGTTGGAGAATACATTTTTGTAGATTATGAATGCAAAGTTTATTGTTCAACGTCTTGCATGTGAAACTGTTCATTGTAATATAGTGTTTTTTAGATAAAGCTGTTTATTATGAATGTGTGCATGTAAAATTGTTTATAATCTAGTATATTAAAGTTGAACGGTTCGCGTAATCTTGTATGTAATCGGATGATTTTTACTTGTAATAGGACAAGATTAGATATATCTTTGATGAAAATATAACTAACAGTCAGATGCATAACAAAAACTGAGTGATGACTATCTCGTTTCTTTGAGTTTGGGGTTTTGAATTGCAAGATTTTCTGTATAGATACTCGTGTTGTTTAACTCTACCAATCAAAGTGAATTATCTCTTTATAAAATATCAAATTTCTTTTCCAAAAGAACAAAAAAAGGAAATTTTTTTAATAAATGAGCTCACTTGTGATACACCAACCAAACATTTACTCAACCTAATACGTCACACATAATAGGACTTGACTTGCACTCACCAGGATAATCTTCAACTCTCCATTAATAGACATAATAATTTATTGCTTCCTTTGTTTTCCGTGCAACATGTCTGAGATAAAACATACTACAGTCCAATTTTTTAAAACTTAAACAAAATAGTTTTCAAATTTATGTATATCCCAAGAGAATTAACAAATGTATCAGCTGATGTATTAGCTAAATCTGCTAGAACAACTCTTATTAGTAATTACAAACAACTCTTAGATATCACATGCATGTTTATATCATAAACTACAAAGTTGAATGTTCAAAATAAATAATACTAATAGTGAAAATCCCAATGCATTGATCAGATCGCCAATCTCATACCCTAATAGAACACACATAATATATGTTTGTAAATTAAGCTACGTGGATAAATGATTAATTAACCGCAAAATAAAAATTAAAACATTGTCCATATGATAATTTAGTACTTAATTAAGTAATCACAAGAGATTAGATATAACAGCAATCTTAACTTAATTAAGGACTAGAAGCAAGTTTTTCAGTAGTGGATTTGATGTCGTTATTACCAGCAGAAAGCTCGACATTGTCATTAACGTTGTTGCTCTTCTTGGATAGATTGTGTTTGTTGTTATGCATCCAAACTTTGAGAACTCTTCTCCTAACTCCAAGCTCTTGACAAAACTGCTGAACAACAGATTCCTCTTGTCTCTGCATCTTCCAACCAACTCTCTCCGCAAAACTCAGCATCTTCTCCTTCTGTTCTTGAGTAAATTTTGTCCTAAACCTCTTCTTCTGATTATGTACACCATATGGAGGTGGTGGTGGTGGAGGCTGCCGGAATGTTAAGCCTCCTCCACCGTCTTCCTCCATGAGATCTTCTGATTCCGAGTTGGATCCAGCTGCGGTTGCAACGCCGATTGGCATTATCATTTGTTGTGGTAATGGTGATTTGACCATCTTGTGGTGGTGGTGGAACATGAGTTTCCTCTGCAGCGGAGGCGGTTGGTGATGATTGTAAGTGGGAAAGAAGGTTTTTTCTTCGCCTTCAATTTCTCTTCTGTGGAAGTTTCTATGGCAGTTACAAACTGAGCAAGTGAGTGCATCAATGGAGCCCTCTTCACCAGTTGGCATAAACTCTCCACAACCATCAACAGCATTGCCTCCAATGGAAGCTGCATGATTCTTAAGGCATTCCTTGTATTTGACCACCACAGGCTTCTCCTTCTTGTTGTTGATGTTGCTGATCATGATGTTGTAACCCACATGATGATGATGATGAGGAGGAGGAGGATGGTCATGATTTTTGCCAAGACCATTACCATTTGAGGGGACTGTGAGTGGGTGTGAAGGAGCAGAAATGGCAGGATGATAATGATGATGATTCATGTGTGCATGTCCACCACCGTTAACATAAGTAGTGTTTATTGGGCTAGGCATGTCATGATCTTCTCGACTTGCAATTTCCATTCTTTGAATCCCCCTAATATAGAAGACAATTACAATGATTATTCAGAATTTTTGTTGGGTTTTGTTTTGCAAAGTGTTTCTTGGTTTGGAGACAAAGACACTTAGGAAAGAAAAAAACAAGAGTAAAGATAACTAATGAGTAAGATCAAATGATTAAGCTACAAAGAGGCAAGAGCTTTCTTCACTACTCATTAAACCCATTTAAAATTAATTTCCTCCAAACAAAAAAAAAAGCTAATCCTGGAAAGTCCAAAAAGATATAGACCAAACGAAAAAATACAAAAGAAAAACAAAACTTATTGCAAGCCTGCTCAAGCAAAAGCTGACAAACCCACTTGGAAAAGAAAAGTCTTAGTTTCAATTGAGAGGTTGATGATAAATCAAGAAGAGATCCACCCAACAAATAATATATCATAGGATAGAAGTCTCTTCAAATCTAATTAACATATCTGAGATAAAGACTAAAGAAAGAACACATACCCTCACAACCAGCAAGTAGCAAACTTTCTCTTATATATGCTTCGGATGATAATCAAATTTTTTATTGTGGATAATAAGCAAGAAGTATCTAAACCGCAATGTCTGAGAAAATAGAGGGATGCTGAAAAGTTTAGAGCTTTAATTAGGTTTTGTAAAATGAAACGAGTTTGGAGAAAGAAAGCAAAGAGAGAGAGAGAGAGACAGAGAGAGACAGAGAGACTTGCAGGTGGGTTTTGGATGTGAAGGCACTGCTTAAACTAAGGACTTAGAGTATTAGTACTGAAAGCCTAAAGCCTAAAAAGCAAGAGAGACAAAGCGATCAAAACCAGAGCTAATTATGTCCTCTCTTTTTTCTTATAGACAAGATAAAAAAAAAACGAAACATCATTAGTAAGTAATTACATCACTTTGACCTAGTTTTCATTTAGTTAAAGGGTGTGTTGAGCAACAAACGAAATAAATCAATAATTTACACTAGGATTTTTTAAATTGTCGTTGTTTTTGTCTTTTTATTTTCATTTTCCACCGGGACGTCGTATTATGCTTTAAAGTTAATATTCATACAGGAGGACTGACAAAAGGATAATACACGTATATTAAAGTTATGAAGAGAGGGGTGGAAACAATTGTGAATTAAAGATTATGGGAGCTTGCTTGGCTTGCACTATCAGACATCAAATTTACAACAGTTTAGAAACGTGTCAGGTAATTAGTGGGACGAATACTGAAGCAGATATACAAACAAAAGTCATAATAGATTACAATATCTCATTTTGGTTATAAATTATCAACACTATTTATATTAGGTTTTCAACATTAGAGTATTATTATCACTACTACATAGTTACAACGATTAATGAAAAACAAAAAAACTAGTTATCGTTTAGTTGCTGGTATGGTGGAAAAGTTAAAACTGATTGAAGTGACGTTAAACGCTGACAATCAATAGTTTGTCCATAAAAGATGTTAAAACTGTTGACAATAGAAAAGTAGTTTAGCTTGTGGCAAACAAAACAAAGACAAAAATTATTTTTCAATATGAGAACACTTAATCATCAATAAAATCACAAAAAATGGAGCTAATTATGGCATTTAACTCAAGAAAACCCATTATATAAAAATGAATGCCTGAAGCTAGTAAAAAATACATATTGTTTCTTACTTTCTTTACTCAATATCTCATCGATAGTCCCCATTAAATACGTCACGTATGATAATAGCTTCTAGAGGTTCTCATGTCATGCATGTGAATTTGTATATTATTCACTTGAAGTTAGTATTAGTTATGGTCCTACAGAATATGTGCTATTTATATGAGGATATATATATATATATATATTTTTTTTTATTATTATTATTATTAGTATTATTATTATTATTTTTTTTTATTTTTTTTTATATATATGAGGATCTTCTCTTCTTCTTTTTTCTTGAACATAAAATTATATAGAAAATATAACAACCTATGGGAAAATATCGTAGTTAACTGATAATTTAGTTTTTTTTTTAATAAAGACTGATAATTTAGTTGTTTCTGTGAACTGTATTTATATTTATATGCCGTATATGTGGAAATCTCTTTGATTCATAGGTTCACCAAAAGATTAATTCTTTCGAAAATGTCAGATTAATTTGTGTTTACGTTTCCATTAACTTGTATAAATACAGTTTTATCATATACTCTTTGCCGATCTCCTACATATTTTTTTATTATCATTTTGGTTTCATATCATCATTTCCAAAACTAAAACTAATTTGTACTAGTACTGACCATTCAAGTCATAAGAAGAAATTGGTGCAGTTCTCTTTCTTCTTTTATCATCTGGTGTGGGCTGTGTGCTTTTATGCTATAGTAATAAAACAAAATGAAATTTAAATACTTCACAATTTTTTTTTCTTTTGTTTCCTTCTTGTTTCTATTTGTTCTTCTGGTAAATTCCTTCCACTGTGGCAGCTTTTTGTAATCTTCTTTATTTTACTGTGTACCTAATAAAATATCTTCAAAACCATGGCACATATTCAAATACATAGATCTTTTTATTTCCTGTCTTCCATACTACTATGTATTTATTCACACGCTAAGTGACTTTTATTTGAGGTAAGAAACAAATTAAATAAAAGGGACCACGAGAATAAATGACGTTAGGTTAGATGGTCCAGAAAATGGATCACAATTTTCAAGATGGTCGTGCCTTTCGTAATTACTCAACTTCTTTTTGTATAAGTATAAGTGTATTTTAAATATGCTTAATTCAAATATGTAAAAAGAAAACAGAATAAAGAGAAAATATGGTGATGCTCAATAATGTAATATCCCTTCTACGATTCACATACTGTAATGAGTTTCTCTTTATATAACAGTTTCTTTCTTTTACAGTGAATATATGTGGATATTCGATGGTCTAATGTGTGGTATGGTATCTAATAATGAAAAGTTTAATGTGTACACGACTACACGTTAACGACTACACAAGTTAAAATAAAGAAACGGGAATTTTTATCTATATATAATAATTTGAGGTGCGAGCATTTTGACTTAAAAGTATATCCTTGTTATAAAAAAAATTAAACGTTTTTCATGTATATAAGAGTTTATGTATTTGTTAGATGAAAATTTATATTGTTTGCTCATATAATACTGTTTTACTAGAAACGATAAGACATACTAGGACCATCGACTCGCTAAGTCATAACCCATTTGCATGGGAATAATCTACTTTGAAATCGAAACCAAATTTGACAAATATTCACTGTATATACATGTCTACGGGGAATATTTTATTTGCTATCTAAAACAAAAAGAAATTTTGTTTTCTTCTTCTTTATTCTGTTCCCATTAATTATCCAGCAATGCAAAAAAAAAATAAGAGCGCATAAGTCACCTTTTTATCCAAAAACAAATTCCACGAAGAATCTAAATATATCTCCGTAAATACACGAGGATAATTTGTCTAAAGATGAAGAGTGATAACTAGTGATATGCTACGTTGCATTGCATTGCATGCAAACGGAAACGGAAACGCGGAAGCAAAATATTTCGGAAATAGAAAACATGTATTTTCAAATATATAAGTTTGGAAACGTTTTGGAAACGTGTATAAATATAAATAAATAATATATATATTATATTAGATATTAAATAGTTAAACTAAAGATAAATATTATAATGTCTCATGTCAAAATTAAAAATATTTTCTATTATTGTTATTATTATATATTTCATAAATCAAACTATCTTCAACTATTTTCATCAAGAGGAAGATTTTAAATAATCAAACTCAATATTTAATGATAAGACTAGTTTTCATCTAATGTATCAAATTAATTAATTAATTCTCTTAAACAATTAAAATAATCCATTAATAATAATATTTTTATGTAATTATATAATTATTGTATTTTAAAAAAACAAGCAGTTAATTTCTCTCAATTAGGGAAATGCAAGTTTCCAAAATGGAAACGCGAGTTTCCATCAAGTTTCCAAATTGCAAATTTTAGGAAACGTGGGAAAACGAGTTTCCGACAAGTTTCCGAAACGGAAAACGCGACTCGGACGGAGTTTCCATGCAGGTGATATGGCATATACTAGCAGACTATATGTTTGACGGATAACAGAAGCGAAAAGTGTGATAATGGAAATAAAACTTATTGGAGTCACAAAATGAATGAACTTGAAAACCTTCGAGTGCAGAAAAATACTGTATGATTCAGTAAAAACGTATAGATCACCATTTACGTACACTACTTTTTGTGTGCTAAATAGTTGTGGTTGTGGTGGGTGTATAATATAGAAATATACAGTGTCAACAATTTTTCATTCTGTAATAAAATTGTTAGTGGGGTAAGGCAATTTAATTTTGAATATAATAAAATGATTGTAGTTACCAAATAAAGAACTAAAAACATAGGGAACAATGTGCATTTGAATTTGCAATGCAAGTAAAGGAAACGTTTGCCTTTTAGTGATCCCATGAACGATAAAAGCTAAAGAGCGCATGCTTAAGCTAAAGTCTATCGTTCTTTAAAGTTTAATTTGTTTTATGAAAAAACAACATTCAATCTTTTGCTATGTCAGTGAAATAATTCCATGCATGTTGCTAATAACTTTTTTTATAAGAATTATTCTTTTTAAAAAATTGTACCTGTGAAACAACGTCGACTTATGAAAAGGAAAGAGAAGATGACCATGCATGTTGCTAATAACTTTTTTTATAAGAATTATTCTTTTTAAAAAATTGTACCTGTGAAACAACGTCGACTTATGAAAAGGAAAGAGAAGATGAGTGAGTTCATCAGTATGTAATGGGACTTGAGAAATTGCATTTTGGCCATGTTATCACAGCAGTAATTTAAGCTGATGTTTTCCCTGACCTTGAGAAAGTTTATTCTAAAGTAATTTGTGAGGAGGATAGACTTAATTCTACTAAAACTCGTGAGCAACAACAAGAAGCACTCAAATTGCTTTGTATTCTTCACTAATACTTTGTGTGTTTTAGAGAGAATAGCAGAATACTAAGAACTATTTCAAAAATTATATAAATACGATTTAGTGATCAGTATGTTTAGTTACATTTATATTGTATACAATAGTTAATATCGTCATCGTCCACTTAGATACAGTACGTTGTTATCTAGTTAGTGTGGAGACTTAACCATGTATATAAAAATAGAGTTGATGTACATTCGATAGTAAAAACACACATTAATTCTTCTTCTTCATTCACAACTGCCATCAATTTATATTGCTTTAAGTTTCCAAGTAGGAAACATTTACAGTTTTTCATAAAAGACAAAAATTCTGAGATTTTTTTGTTTCTTGTCATAAATTTTCAGTTTCAAACTGTTCTCCAAATTCAAAGCAACAGAAAATATAATTTATCCCCAAAAAAACAACATAAAATTTTTACCACCAAGCAAATGCATCTACTTTCTTGCTTTAGTTTAAAACCTTGTCTGAAACATATGAACGACCCAGCCCAGAATCCTACTGGCATCGATTCAGGTGGCGTAGATCTGTATCTGTCACAGATCTCCTCGATGTGGTAAGTTTACTTCTTGAGTGTAATCTTTTGAGAACAACAGAAAGCATCTTGGACTCCTATTGACTTTTTGTTTTTGTTTTAACTCTGTTGTGTTCTTTATAGCTTTGGTGCGAGAAGCAAATGATGTTCAGATTTCTTCATTGTGGCGAGAGAACGGGGGGTGACCGATGCCATGAAAGAGTTTACCATTGGTAGCGAAATACATGCTAAGTTTGATAAGGTAACATTGTTATTTACCTACAAAAGAGTTACAATATGCCCACAAATCTGATCCTGGCCAGCCTCGGCGCTATCAACTTTATCTAACTATGAAATAATATACTGCAATTGTTTTGTTTCTCTTTTGCTAATTATGGGTAGGTAGCTGATAGTCATTCACAAGAAGCATATTGGGTAAAAGAGCTATCCAAATACATCAAAAATATTGTCGAACTGAGCAGGGGTCGGAAGTCAAATGATGTGGAACCCTCTGTGCCTTGCAACAAATCTAAAAAAGGCTCAAACACTCTTTCTCTGAAATGAAGCTGTGAGTTCTTATTAAACCTCTAATGTGGATTATGTTAAGTTGGTCTGCCATAGTTTGCTCAATCCATTTGTTTCAATCTCGTTATTGTCATTTACTTACGCACACTACTTTCGTGTGTAACCAACTGATTCATTCATTGGATTGTATCATTAGCTTAGCATGTGTTGAAGGCCAATGGATCACAGGAGCTATGGACTTAATTATAATGAACGATAGGCGATAGGCATCTTGGATTTGAACCACAGTTGGAAGATCTTGAGAGTGTAAGCAGTGGAAAACCCTCATATGGAGAGAGGCAAGAGTAAGTTCTTGGTAGATAGAATATAGAAAATGCCCTTGTTTTTTGTTTATGTTTGGTAGATAGAATATAGAAACTGTTATCCTCTCATTATATATAAGATTGATAGATTTTGAAGTTAAAGTAATTTATGCCATTATCATGAGTGCTGTAGAGACTTTAGAAAATTTATAAAGTCATATAATCCAATCACATTTTTGCAGTTCTAAAGCCTTAAATTTCTCTTAGTTTTTCCTTGCATTTATCTTTCACAATCGTTAATTGTTTTTAAAAGCCATGTTTTACTTTTAAAGTTTTCAACCTTCCTTAAAGCCCACGCTGGTTTTTATTTAAAGGAGTAAAAGCTTTGAAAACCCTAATCGACACGACAAGCTTTGAAAACCCTAATCGAAATGTATCTGTTTCTCCGCCGAGTCTCGAAGCTTTCTGTAAGATACTCACCCTCCCATATTACAGTTTTGATTCTTCATGCTCAACAATGTTTTGAAATTCATGTCTGTCCATGGAAACTGACAGGCACGCAGAGACGACTCTCGTTTCTTCTCAACATTGCCTCTGTCCCCCTATTTTCGGTTAAGCGATAGCTTCTTTGGGCAGTCTTCGGAGGGCTACGTTGTGAGTCATAGGTACTTCGACCCGAAAACAGCAAAGAAAGAGTGTATCAGTGAAAGGACAGTGCCTAATGCACCACAGTTTTTACTGGGAGCATCCAAGGGCTGGGTCGTTGGTCTCCAGGACGAAGACAATAAAGTATCGATATCGGATCTGTACAAGCCATGGGTTTCATCTCCAAGTGTCATATCATTGCCTTCAATCGGATCTGTAATGCTTCATCACCTTGGCAGCGTCTATTTCTACTTGTGATCCTGTTCTGGACGACAATTTTTATGTGGATGCAAACTTCAGAAGAGATAGATTGAGTTTATGCCGGTCTACGGAGTCTAGGTGGACTCACGTTGAGTCCCAACATTTACCAGCCTCTTCGATCACTTATTCTAAGAGAGACAAAGTCTTCTACTTTACCAGTCCAAATGGTATCTTCCTGGGTGTATTGGATCTCATACACAGGGAGATAAAGTATTACCGCGTTCGTTTACGAAACACGCCTAAGTTGTCACCGGCACGGTGGAGGTATCTGAACAGAGAATGTATGTTGACCAAGCACTTGGTGGAGTCTCCCTCTGGTCAACTTTACTTCATCATGTGGTAAGTGTTCCGTATCTCTCTTTAAATTTTTTTTTTTTTTTTTTTTTTTTACGCTTCAGTTTATTCTGGTTTTGGCAATTTAAATAGAGTTTTATTGGCTTGTTGAAAAGCTTTTACTAGAGTTACTAAACTTTTTATCCTAATTTGATTTGCCGGTTTTTTTACAGAAAAATCTTGTTAGTCAAATCCTTCAGCTACTTTTATGTAATCGTTGTTTTTTCTTCTCTCTGTCTAGGTACACATGCACAGTGCAAAACGTATACCACGGAGGGTGGATTTGAAATTGGCCCCTTTAAACCTAAGCGGTTTCTGGTATTTAGGGAAGATGAGAAGAGAGAAGTGTTTAACTACACAGAAGATATTGGAGATCTCTGCATCTTCCTTGGCAAAAGTGAAGCCTTTTCTGTCTCGGCAAGCTTGTACCCAGGACTCATTCCTAACTCCATCTATTATTGTAGAGGTCCGGGACTTGGTCGTTACGATATAGCTTCTGCCAAGCCCCGTGCCCTTTCTTCATTAGATGGCAATTACTGGATTGAGCCCGTCGCTTAACAATGTTCCTTTCTGGATCCTCTAAGTTTTAGTAGGCTTTTCATTTTTGATTAACTCATCTATGTAATCCTAAACATTTTCATTTTCAATGAATAATTACGTTCTTAGCAGAAAATAAAATAAATACCAGCTTCGATTGAAAAGACGTGGCCCATTTTCAGAAACAATACCAGCTTCGATTGAAACGACGTAGTACATTTTTCAGCCTTACAAGTCTAAAAGAGGCAATTTTGTTCCTCCAATGCCAATGCCAATGCCATGTTAGAAGAGCTCTTATTAACCAAAGTCAACACATAACAACCCATATTGCAAACTGTCATACAAACATTTAACATTCAACAGAGAGATCAAAGTCTTTTGTCTTTCTTTCATCAACATCTTATTGAGACAATCCAATAATAAAACGGCACATTGAGAATCCCTCAATTCTCTATCTGCCACGGAGCAATCTGCAACAAGTTGAGTAATTTCCTTTAGTTTTACAATCTTTTACTCAATAGATTCATAGCCAAACCCAAGAGCGTCTCATACAAGATAAGATACAAATGAAAAAGAAGAAGCTAAAGACAGCAATTCACACAGACACTTAGCGTTTTCTACTGATTTGGAAGTGTTTATTCCGACTTGCATACACTAACGAAAACTAAAGTCACGAAGGAGACGAATGCTTCAAAGTTATAATCTATCTCTGAATCAAAGAACAAATCAGCAATTGCCAAAAAACTAACATTTAAATTGTCAAATTTTTGTGTTATACTTTCATTTGTATTGAAAGTGTTTACTAAGCTTTACTTAAATACATGCTCCAAGAAATGGATCCACCTCTAAGATCAAGAACAAATTAGCAATTGTCAATAGTTTGACATTAAAAGATGTCAACATTTACAGTTTTTTTCACAAAGATAGATACTGAAATTGGAGAAAACATGTACTAATCAATACAATCCACATTACTTAATTCATGAATCTAAAAGCCTTAACCATTTTCAATGCTATGCACAATAGTTACTACAGAGATCTCTATCAATCGCCAATGGTATTAACCTGAAGCATATCCATTTCTAAGGTTTGGTTTCCCTAATCAAAATTTCTGAGTAAACGAAATTAAAATTCCAATGAAACTTGAAAATTCGATTAAGGTCGTGGAGATTTACCTTATCGACCTCAGTGAGACGGAGCGGGTTGTTTCTGGTGAGATGATTGAGAAGGAACCATGAGTTTGCTATAGATCTGCTCACCGACGAGGTAAACGCAGAAGGCGCCAACACCGATTCCGAGACCAGGCAGTGCGTGCCTCATTTGATTCGAAAGCATCGGATGCTTCCTCCACTCGTCCCTTCGTCGGAAAAACTCTCCGGTGGTACCCAACGGTTTCGCCATTTTTTCCTCCGGTCTTCGTCGATTTCTCTCTCTTGTCGAGATATCTGCGAGCCTTCGATGGTGAGCTGTTTTTGCTGTGTTGACTTATGGGCCTAATTTCATTAAAGGGCCTATTGAGATTATTGGGCTTAATGTTATAGTTGGCCCTTTATTTCTCTTGTTTTCGCCGGTGAACGGAGGGAGATATCTCTTGTTAATTTCTCTCCGGCGAGATAGAAAAAAACATGGCGATGCTTCAAGCGAATCTTGGCTTCGTTAAATCTCCGACATTTCCGTTTACTTCGAATTCTTCGTGTCCGAGGCTTGCACTCAAATCGACCTCAGTATCTCTGGGCTTTAGTTACCGTTCTCAAGGCAAAATCTCTCATACTCTTTTTGTTGTTGTTTACGAATCAATAAATCTCTCTTCCGGGGAGGCGAGTTTTGACTGATTCGAATGTTGTTTCAGTTCAAAAACTGGATTTTTCGAAAAGGGTTAATAGAAGCTACACAAAGGACGCTCTTTCATTCTCAATCAAGTGTTCTTCCTCAGCTGAATTTGATAATGTAAGTTCAAAATCTGAAATAAACTCACTTTTGAAGCTTTTTCTCTAGTTTAATTAGAATATGTTTCCTTTTTTCTTGCTTGTAATTTAGAGCAATACCATTGTGAAGGAGAGAAGTGTCTCAGTGATTCTCTTAGCTGGAGGTCAAGGGAAGAGAATGAAAGTGAGCTTATGTGTCTTAAAGTTTCAAACTTTATGCTGAAGATTAATTGTTTCTTCTGTTGAGTTTCTTCATTCTTGAGTTGTTGGCTTTTCTATGGAATCTTATTTGTCACCATATTTTTTGGGTTGATGATCTGTTAATGTGAATAGATGAGCATGCCAAAACAGTATATACCACTCCTTGGTCAGCCAATTGCTTTGTATAGGTAACAAAATCTTACTTAAAAGTCAAATTTTGTGTGTGTATAAATTCTTTGTGAAACTGTGTCGCTGAAATGAGCCGTCTTAGGACTTATTACAGTCAAATTTGTTGATGGAAGTATTGTATCAATCTGTGGAATCTACTTCTCTCAGTTCTTATTGTACCATCTAAAGCATAAGAATGTTTGGATTTCTTGTAAAAAGATAAACTTTTGCTTTGTCTTAGTTAATTTTAGTATGCCTTGTTGTTTGCAGCTTCTTCACGTTTTCTCGCATGCCTGAAGTGAAGGAAATTATAGTTGTTTGCGATCCATTCTTCCGAGATATATTTGAAGGTGTAGTCTCTGTCTCTCTTTAACTAATTATAGTTCTTGTTTAGAGATCTCTGAAAGATTTCACTTAGCCTCTCTTGTGTTGTTGTTGTTCTTGTCTTATAGAATACGAAGATTCAATTGATGTTGATCTTAAATTCGCTCTTCCTGGTAAAGAAAGACAAGATTCTGTTCACAGTGGACTTCAGGTTAATACCTCTTTTGTTTTTTCACTGCGTTAGAAGAAACTCTTCCAAAGTGTATCGATTGTTCTTGTTCATATGAAGCTTATAGTGTATTTATTCGCAGGAAATAGATGTGAACTCTGAGCTTGTTTGCATCCATGACTCTGCCAGACCATTGGTGGACACTGAAGATGTCGAGAAGGTTAGTCACCAGTTATCTTTATATGCAAAAGTAGCAAAAGAAAAACAAATTTCTCTATGTCCCTTAAGAATTGGTTTTGCACGGTTTTGTTTATTTAAGGTACTTAAAGATGGTTGCGCCGTTGGAGCAGCCGTACTTGGTGTCCCAGCAAAAGCTACAATCAAAGAGGTACAAATCCTTACAAGCAAACTTGTTAAGTCATTTGTCATCATCTTGGTTTCGGTTATAGACTTGTTGCATTGCTACATGCAGGTCAATTCTGATTCGCTCGTGGTGAAAACTCTCGACAGAAAAACTCTTTGGGAAATGCAGACACCACAGGTTTTGAGATCATTTTTTTCATGCTTTCATTTGAGATCGAATGTTTTAGTTTCAAATCCAATTTGATGCATGCTTTCTTCTTTATAGGTGATCAAACCGGAGCTGTTGAGGAGAGGTTTTGAGCTTGTGAAAAGGTTTGTGAACATTAATAATGATTGAGGTCTTGATTAAAAAAATCAAACAAGACTGATTATTATTTTTCTGGATATATCTGAAACAGAGAAGGTCTAGAGGTAACAGATGATGTTTCGATTGTTGAACACCTCAAGCATCCTGTTTATGTCACTCAAGGATCTTATACAAACATCAAGGTAAAAAAGAACACTGATTTGAATTTTCCCGAGGTGATTCAATAACAAAGATTGGATCTTTTTGATTGCTAAAGTTGTCCTTTTTTTGTAGGTTACAACACCTGATGATTTATTGCTTGCCGAGAGAATCTTGAGCATGAATTCATGAGGTATCAGTGAAAGTTTCTTTTTGTTTAATAACAAATTTTGACATGGAAATGTTCGAGTTTTCAGATTGTGAAAACTTTTTTTTTTGTTTCTTATGTGTGTAGGATCAAGTACAGCTTCATACTTTGTTTGTTTTTTTTGTTTAATAACAAATGTTGACATGGAATTGTTCGAGTTTTCAGATTGTGAAAACTTTTTTTTTATGTTTCTTATGTGTGTAGGATCAAGTACGGCTTCATACTTTGTTTGTCCGTGTCAATTCGGGATGGACATTTTCGATTTTTTTGGCTCACCGATTTTTTGTTGTTGTTGTTGTTTATTTTTGATTTGACATAAGAACAAATGCATCAATATATAGTAAACTAGGATGCGCGAGAATTTATATTATTGTGTTAATTTTACTGTTTTTCCGCAAATTTAATTTATTTCTATGATTTATTATTGTTTCAAAAATATTATACATATTAATTAAAATAATTAAGGTTAGGCAAAATTAATGTACCGTCTTGTCCCGTCGTGTCCGATTTCGTGTACGTTCTTTCCCGTCCCATCCGTCCTGTCTGTCCCGTCCCATCCTATCCCGTTATGTTCATTTTGGATTTTGTCATGTCCCATTATGTTCCTTCCGTGTTTTCTCGTCCCGTTCCCTAAATATAACTAAAGATAGGCAAAATTCCTGTCTAGTCTCATCACGTCCCATTTCATTCCTTTTCTTCTTGTCTCTTTCTTTCCACATCATGTTCTGTCCGCCCTATCGAGTCCCATCTAATCATGTTATGTTTTTTTTTTCCGTTTTGTCGTGTCTCTGTCCTGTCCCTAAATATAATTAGGGGTAGGTGAATTTTATGTCTTGTACCTTCTTGTCCCATCCAATCCCGTTTCATTCCGTTTTTTTCATCTCGTCATGTCCAAGATGTCCATCTCGTCCCGTCCAATCTTATCCTCTTCCATTATGTTTCTTTCCGCTTTTTCCTATTTCGTCTCTAATTATAATTTAAAGTAGGCAAAATTATGTGGTATGTCATCCCTTTCCGTTCTTTTACATCTCGTCTCGTCATTTAATACAATAAGAAGTGGACAAAATTCATTTTTTCTCTCGTTATGTTTTTCTTCGTCTCATCATGTCTGGTCTCATCTCATTTCATCCCAAAATATTTTAAAAAATCAGTGTTCTTTATATAATATCTTGACATGAATGTAAATTATATAATCTGACAAAAATAAATTACTAAATAATAGTTTTATAGATCTATACATAATTTTTCTCTTTTTTCTAGCAATGACTTTTCATATATTATTGTTAAACTTATTATAATAATGAATGCTAATTATTATGAAATTAAAATATTAAAAAGAGAAACTATAATAAATTAAATAGAGTGCTGACGTGGCAAATTGATGAATTGAGAAGAATCTTCTTTTGCTGACATGGCACACCAAAATAAATTTGTATAAACTTTATATATATAGATATATCAGTTCAATGTTAATTTCGATGATTTGTGTTAAGTGATATATATCGATTCATTGTTAATTCGTAGACAATAATGTTCTGCTTCATGGTCAAAGTAAAAACTAAAATCAAAGAGAACACGCCCTTTTATTATTATAGATTTATGATAATAAGCACAATGATACAAACTATGTTTTATGAAATCATTTGACGTATATATAGTTTTAGGATCTTGGTGGAGGGCATCCAGGAGTACCCGGAGGGCAAAAGATTGGAATTGGGGCCTGTTCAACTGATTTCTTCGCATCACGTTTTGGTGGAGGAGGTAATGGTTCGGTTGGCCATGGTCTGGGTCTATATGGCCTTGGTGGAAGATCCAAGTTCATGACCCTAGCCGAGGCAAGACCAGATGCAAGAAGAAACAATGTGACCATCATTGTTACTGTAGAGAGCTTCATGATCATCTTTTTCATTTTATGTTGTGATTGAAAAATGTTTAGCCTTGTTTGCTTATTTATATTGTTGTTGTATTGTGAGTTTTGACCAAAAAAAAGCAACATAATTAATTATGTTATTAAATTTGTTGGATATATAATAAATAGTGTTTGAATATTGACCAAATTTAAATAATTATATGATTGAATATTGACCAAATTTATGTGTTTTATAATAAGTGTCATTTAAACAAAATATATCTAGACAGTAATTAGATATATCTGGACAATAATAATTTAATAACTATTATTTTGTGTTTAACACATACAGATACATTGAATTCTCATTTTGCTTGAATGACATAGAAGAGAGAGTGCCACGTGTCATAGGCTAAAACTCATTCTCATGTTTGTTACTACGACGAGAAACTCTCTGTCTTATTCCCGCACTTCCTGAACTGAGTTATCCGATAGAGCCATACATCTTCTTCCGACTTCTTAAATCGTCAGTTACACCTTAAAATAGATCATATAATCCCCCTTCGTCATTCCTCTTTCCTCCTTCAATTATTCTTTTCAACATCTCTTCCTCTCCACTTCTCCTTTCTTCGCCGCTTTTCAGATCTACTACTACATCTCGAGCTTCAAACCTACATCACTACATGACATCAGATGCTATACAACGGCATGCCATCACGATGGAAACGTCCTGAATCATTTCGGAGTTACAATGTTAAAAGGCCTTCTCCCATGAGGTTTCTTCCTTATTTCCCTCATGCTTCTTCCGAAACTGGTCCCAGTTTCAAGAACTACTCTACTATTTCAAATGTCTTTGTTCTTGGTGTGGACCCAAACGCAAAAATGGATAGCTAAGCGCGAAACTCGGCTGGAGAAGCAGGTTTATATACCGCATAATTCAGGTTCATTCAGTTATATATACAAGTATGTCATCATTGATCCTTCTTGACATCGTTTGATGCCGCATTTCCTGTTAATCTAATGTCGCAGAATCTAGACCATTAGAAGACAACATTGTGCTGTCAATTTCAGGACCTATATGTGTTGCATATGATCCATCTCTAACTTATTTACTTAAGGTATATCTCTTCTCTCCTCCCGTGTTATACTTTCATATACAAAACATATTTACGTGCATATGGTTAGGGATTTCTTTGCACTCAGAACATGAGTTCATGTACAAAAGCTAACACATGTTGCTTAGCCTCATACAAATGTTTAGCAATTACGGCACACTAGAAGACATCGGATTTATGGATCTTTCATTCCATTTTTCATATATTTTGTAAGCTCCATAACGTTTCCTGTTATCCTCACATTTTTAAACTAAAGATATATTGCAACTTTACCAAGTTTGAACTTTTGTTTTCATTTATATATTTTACAGACATCAATTCTTCGTGAGGCAAGAGATTATTAAAATAATCTATTATGCATGTCTTATTCTTCGTGAAACATACCTGTTTTGATTATGACCAGAGTTACGAAAAAGCTACTTCACTTACCTATATAGGCTGGCCTGCGAGAGTACAAAGCCTCATTTCTGGGTGATTGTTATAGTTAGAGGATTTTGAGATGGTCTTCTATTCAAATTGAGAAGTTGAAAAGACATTGGGGGTTCTTGGTATCATTCAAGATCAATTGATGGATCATTTTTGCATCAGAAGGAAGCATCGGAGAAGATGCCATGGAGAAAGATTCAGAAGATAAGATATGAAGGATGCATGGTAATAAAACGAGAGGGGGTGGTGATGGAGTCAGGAGTCTGCAATTTTCTCTCCATCGTTGTTCTGATGTTGTAAAGAGTGATCTGACCTTGGTGGGGTCGATGGAAAGCGTCAGTTGTGGAATTAGGTTCATATCCATAACTTTGTAATTTTGAATGTCTCATCTATCTTATCTATCACGGAAACAATGTAATTTTGAATATCATTTTCTGACACATTTTTTTTTAATGCATCTTTCTCTTCTGAAGTCCATCACCGTGTTCATGTTTTCCTTGTGAAGTCCATCACAGTGTTCAAGTGAAACATGTGATGATTTCTCTTACTCAAAAAAGGGTCACAGTGCTACTCCAAGAAGTCTTCACTCTTTGCAAATATTATTTTGATTAAACCCAATGCTGGTAAGAATACTCTTTCTTTCTTTGATCCATGTGATTATGGTTAGTTTCTTTCTTTCTTTTTTTTTTTGTGTGGTTAGTTTCCAACGATGTTGGATTATAACTACTACTATGTCTACCATCCAGAAAATTGTAAAACTGGAGGTGTATATATGCGCCCGTATTTCATTGATGATTTACCAATTTACAGTATAAGCGTAGTCAATAGCAACTCCATTGGAGAGTTTGTGGCTTTGTATAACTTACATATTTAATACAACGAGAATTGCAAAACTGGAGGTGTTTCCAAACTCATGAACCCCCCCTTCCTCGATTCATCTCCAACCATTATTCTTTTTTTTTTGTTTTTTTTTTTATCGCAGTATTTTCACTCAATGTAACCAAATCAACCAAATTCCACACTATTTCAAATCTTCGATAGTGATTGTTGGCAACTTAGCTTTTTTAATGCTGGCAAATCTTCCAGATTCAACTCAACTGTGATCATCAAGCGAAGCCAAAGCTAATCGCCATCGTGTGAATCAAGACCATGGCAACCACCAAAACTATATCTGAAACAACCAACACCTTCTCTCTTTTTTTTTTTTTTTTTAATTTTAGCGAAGTCTTTAAAATAAATAAATAAATAAATATCAATAACAAATAAATCAGTTCAGCGGAAGCAAATAATAATTAAACAAGTCTAGCAAAACAATGCAAAATAAATAAAAATAAACATCCTATCATCCCCCTCTTCAGCCTTGATTCCGCGATCACACAAATCTTTTACCTGCAACACATTGGAATGGAGTTGCATAAGTATTTAATAAATACTTAGTGAGGCAATCACTCTGCCTACGAGCCATTTACGCAATTTACTAGATATTTAATAATATTTATAAACTCCAATAATTATTAAATACCATTTTCCAATTATTAAATAATTATTAATAATTAAAACTCATTTCTCAATTATTAAATAATTCTTATAATTAAATAATAATTTTCCATATTTTAAAATAATTAAAATAATTATTTTAAATAATTATTAATTAAATCAATTAATTAATTAAATTAACCATTAATTAATTAAATCCGAAAATAAATCAAATTGAATTAAAACATTTTAATTCAATTACACCAATTAACCAGAATCAAATCAATTTAAACCAAGATAAACCAATAAATCAACTAATTCAATTAAACCAAGATAAATCAATTAAATTCAATTAAACCAGATTAAACCACACAAACACACAATTCATCACAGAAACAACCAAAATACATAAAATAACAATTAAACACATAAACTCATCAAGAACAACCACAAACCAAATCTAATCTAGCAAATGCGGACCCACAGTCATGCACTCACCTTGACAATGATTGAAACTGAAGGAAAGACAATGAACAGTGCGAATCCCGACGATGAACAGTACCCCCGATGAACAGTACCCCGATAAACAGTCCGATGAACAGTACCCAATGAACAGTAACGAAATCTGCTCCAAAATCTCAGAATTTCTCCTTGAAATCCCTCTCTTTTCTGTTACTGTTCACCCATGAAAATTACAAAAAGGAGGCAGCTCCTCACTTTTATTTCACAAACTATGACTTTCTCCACTAAACCAGCTCAAACCAAATCACTTAAATTGAACCGATGAAATTCCCAATTTTTTGGTTTATGGATATTACAATATCATTGTTACGTAAATGGCAAGTGATGACTATTGTGGTAATATATAAAACGAAATCAAGTCAAAAGAAACAGTTGACAGATGAGATTGTCTAAGAGGTTTAATCTTCATTGATAGAGACTGGATAGCTAAAGACTACTAAATTTGGAACTGATTCAGCATCGCAAGCTATAATATTTTGATACAATATGCACCAAATTATGTATTCTCATATATTCATTTTAAAATTTGGACGTGTCAATTAAAAACTATATATTTTAATATTTTGACTAAACTATTTTAAAAAATTTGATAAAATTAAAATGATAGTTTGTTTAGATCAATATATAAACTACTTTTTGTAAATAAATATATTTTCAATTCCAGTTAAAACTGTCATATTAATTAATATGAATGCCATTTATGATGAAATTAAAGTATAAAATCTATAAATTAAATTATTAATTTAAATTAGTAAATGAATTGCTGACGTGTCGCGTTTTGAAGATACATGTTTGCTGACATGTCACGTTAAGAAGAGAGCCCCAACTCAACTTTTTATATATAGAATTTTGGTCTTGTTCTCTCTTGTCGCATTTCTTCCCCTCTCGTTCTGCCCCATTTATTTCCATGCCATTTTGCCTCATCCTCTTCATTTCCTTGCTGTTTGCCTCATCATGTTCATTTCTTTTTCGTTCTTCCTCCTCCGTCCCGTTCCACCTTGTCCCATTCTTTTTGTTTCCCGTTCGGCCATCAATATTCGCCTTATAATATTTTGATATAATATGTACCAATATTATGTATTCTCATATATTCATTTTAAATTGTGGACTTGTCAATTAAAACTATATATTTTAATATTTTTACTAATCTATTTAAACAAATTTGATAAAATTAAAATTATAGTTTGTTTAGATCAATATATAAACTAATTTTTATAAATAAATATATTTTCAATTCCAGTTAAAATGAATTGCTGACATGTCGCGTTTTGAAGGTACCTGCTGATGTGTCATGTTGAGAAGAAAGTCCCAATTCAACTTTATATATATAGAAGATAGATAGCTCACCAACGAAACTACGACATATATTCAACTAATATAACCAGTGGCGGAGTTAGGAAAATGTTTCACAAGGGTCATATCAGTATTTATCATAAATTACATGGGTCATTAAGTATATTTTTTTCACATTTTCTATTTATTATAAAGGAATTTTTTTTCTTTTCTAAATTTTACATGGGTCAGCTATTCCATGTAGTAGCATGCTGGCTCCGCCACTGAATATAACTATATTTTTTTGGGGTGTAATACTATAACTACTATATTGCTATCATCTAAATAAGCAAACTAGTTTTAATCATACACACAGAGATCAAGAAGATCATGAAGCTCTGTACAATAACAATGGTGGTTGCTCTACTTCTTGCATTGTCTGGTATTGCCCATGCTAGGACGAGCCTATTCCTCCTCCACCAAATGCAAACTTCCAAACTGGCTCTAACTTGATGCATAAACCACCGGTTTTCTCAACCGAGCCAACTCCTCCACCAAACCAGGATGCAAAGAAATCAGTGGAACAGTTCCCAATCCCAATTATCTACCTTTCGAGTTTCGGCCATTGCATTCCTCCAAGATTAGACTAATGGTTATCACTTACCATAAACTCAGATGTTTCTTTTTCCTAACGTTAAACGCTTACAGAAAAATTATTAAATGACAAAAAAAAGATATGTTGTGTCATTGTGATGCATGATTGTGGTGGATCTACAGCTAAGGTAGGTGTGGCACGTGCCCTATACTAATCTAAATATTTGTACAAGAGAACACCAAAAATAAGAATCCCATAGCCTTGTTGCTAAAGAGTGCCCCACGTTTGTCCTTAAGTGCATGGTTCGAATTCTGTTGAAAACTGTATATTTACTTTTATAATTTTTGCTAGTTATTTGTGCCCCATACAATTTCCCACCCCCCCCCCCATGAATCTGTAGACTATAATGTGTTATGATTTTAAACTTCAATATTGTTCAGACTGTCAAACTCTACTTTGATAATGAATTACGTGGAGAAATTTAAATTAAATTGTTCACTCAATATACAAAGAAAGATGATTCTTAAGATTTTAATTTTTTTTGTTTATAAAAAAAAAGATTCAAAGCTATTTAATGACCAAACACAAAGTGTAACACGAATACTGAATTTATCTACAATAATATTCTAGTAACATTTTTTTCTCACAACAGAACAAAAACGTCACTAATCACTATCATCTTCAAATAATCCCCAAGGTCACAATAAAATCGGTTCGAACCAACTCGAATCTTAACAGAATGTTCGGAACTAAAATTCCGTCGAAATCTGAAATCTCCATGCATGGTACATACTTACATGGACTTTTATAAATTACGATTTTATTTGAAATGGTAAAATGTATGTGTAAATTTGTGATACATGTCCCTTATGTTATGTCAACGTTAGCTTTTACCAAGAAAACATTGATAGAAACTGCAACACGTGTTATTTCTTCCATAAGTTATGTAATCTCGTCAAACACACGTCCATCTACAAACGCGTCCCAATCTTCTAATCATTCAACGTTATACTATAAAATTTAGTATTAGCGTTTAAAATAATGATACTTTGATCTTAACGTATGCTAACATAAATGAATATTATTCCATTTCCGTTGTAGAAACTGGAATCGGCACAATAATTTCAAAAGGATGTGTTTAAGAGAGGACCTAGAAATTCTAAATGTAAAACAAACAAAGATCTAAATATGGTAATTTTATTGATGTAAAGTTTAAAGTATTGGGTGATGCGTAGCAAAGGAAAAGTGATCTCTAAACTCATTTGGTTCAATCTTTATTTATACAAGATGTGGAACCGACTTTCCGAGATTATCAAATATACTCTCAAGATTCGTTGTTATCTCTTGCGGCGCCTCTAACTTGATGCTTGCAATCTAGGGCAAATTGTGGATCGTCGTCATGGGCCTCTGATTGTTAGAGGTAGATGTTGGTTCGGCCCAAGAACGGTTCGGCCCATATTTGATGTCGCATGGTTCGCAGCTCGTCGGCATGATGATAACTCTGTTTCGTTGCAGGTTTGTCAACGTGGATTGCTGTCGTCAATGCATAGTTCGCCGTAGTACTTTCGCATAGCTCGTTGGCGAAAAGACTTGGTTCTTGTTCGAGCTCAGCGCACAGTTCGTAGTTCTCCATGACGCAGCTTGCCGTTGCTCGCGTAAATTCTCCATAGTTCGTCACGACCGTAGCTCGTCATAGCTTGGATCGCCGGATTCACAGTTTTCCATGATTTGTGGACGTTGAGCTCGTAGGGAGGATTCCGACCCCAACAGTTAGCCCCCAGCTCATTAGATTTAGGATAAGAGTGATGAGCTAAAAAGAACATAGCCGAGATCGATGTTAAAGTGTAACTGGCGCCTAGACCTGAGCTATGACCGCGGTTAAAACATTTTCTGCGGGAGAAATTGTCACAGTGAGCAGCGAGATCAGTTCGTTTCTGAGGTAGCTTGATGGGAGTGGCAGTTCACCATCACATGAAGATTTGCAGCGAGCCGTAGTTTGCCGACTACGATTTGCACTGAGGCGAGCTCCCTTGCATTTCTCGCGGACAGTGGTTCACGCGCTTAAGGTTGGTTGGGTTGATCATTTGCGATCTGCAGAGTTGGGATCTCGTTGAGCGAGTTGGTCTGGGGCGAACTGACGGACCGGCGGTTCTGATCCTCCGTGAGTGTTTTGGCTCGCAATCTTTGGTTCATAGATCGTTCCGGTTTGAGCTGTCTGGCGGCTTTGACTTGCGAGCTATTCCGTCGCGAGCTGTCGGTGGATTTATTTCGCAAATCATGAGACGTGACCGGATCCAACTCTCTTCCTTCCTTAAGCGAGCTCCGGGATCAGTTTGTCTAGTCGGACTGACGAGCTGTGGAGTTGACGGCAGTGGAATCGGCGAGATGACGGTCTTGATCTTCTTCTCAATTTAGTGAGCTTTACCTCCAGCAACTACAGTTTTGCGGGCACGAGCTCTCGTTGGTCTAAGCTTCTGATATTTTTTCTTTTGCGAGCTAGTGTCTTCAATCTTTCTTTATATTCTGTTTGATATCCTGTTTGTTGAGTTCATTTGGGCCGAGCTGTTACTAGCCTCAGTTCCAATTCTGTTTGCGCGCGAGTTGGGACTCTAAGTCTTCAGGGCCACAGTTTGGTTTCACGGTCGAGCTATTGAATCTTGACCTATTGCGGTTCTTCAGGTCCGGTTTCTTCTTTCGAGCGAGTTGTGGGTGCTTCTTGGACCGAGCTGCGGGTTCATTTTGGAGCAAGCTCGTGAGTTTGTCGTGACTTGAACCGCGAGCTACTGCCTCCAAGGCTCCTATTCGGACTTGTTTCACGTCACGCAAATTGAAGAGAGAAGTTGTAGCGAGCACGAGCTGTTGTGGTGAGAAGAAGATCCAATCTTTCTCTTCGCTGGATCTTGCGACGAGCTTCCATCGACTCTGGCTTCGCGGTGATCCGTTGCTTGCTGTGTGGCGAGCTGCTGAGTCCGCATTTTTGAGACATCACTGCGCTTGCTGAAGAGCTTGTCATGTGTGAAACCAAGCTAATCGGTTTAGTTGGTCGCCATCTTCTTCGGCAAGTTACAACGCGAGTGACACGACAATTCTAGTACAGGAGTAGAGAGGCCTGCTGTGAGCTTCTTGAAACACCCTAGCTCGGATTTTATTTAACTTTTCTATACTTAGTCAAATTTCAGGCCAGTTCAGTGAGGTTCGATTGGACAAGCCGTTTTATGCATAAGTAAAGCAAGCAGAACATTGAATTAGCATTAGGTTCAGCAGAAACTTGAAATAACAATCGGTTCCAGCAACAATGAAGGTTCGCTAATAGGCTATTGCATTGTTAAACTAGACCGTAGCTACCCAACAACCTAAACATCCTTCCTTCCCTCCTCGTCCCGCGATCACTCATCATCCATACCACGGTCAGACTCAAAACCTGCATCCAAAAAGAGGCATAAGCAACATGAATTGCTTAGTGAGGCGGTCATCTTGTCCCACTTAGCCACAGTACATAAATCGTATTCAGACAGTCAATTCACATAATCAGTATTACTTATCAGACAGTCACAGTCACTTATCGTGCATGAATATTCAAGGAAAGGTCGATCACACTATCAACCGCATGAATCATTCATCACGGCTAAGCCAGTCAGGTCGTTATAACGCTTACACACTTTCCTTTACCACGACAAGCAATCGGTTCCAATCAATCAAGCAATCACGGACTAAGTGAATCTAAGCAAGAAAACGATCGCAATACAGTAACTAACGGTCACGCACTCACCTTGTTACTTTCGTTCGGTTTTGATCAGTGAAATCACTTTCAAGTCGGTGAACTATCGGTCGCGGATGATCTTGGCCGACAAACTCTCGGTCGATCAGCCACAGAACTCTCGGTCGATTCTTCTATCGGATCCGCTCGGTCAAATCTCGCTTTCTGACGATCGGATCAGACTTTCTCTCGGTTGTTCTTCGGAATCGCTTATAACCGCTCTTCTCTCTCGATGAACTTGTGTTTTTCGGACAGAATGATCAGAAATGATCATTTCCCGTGTTTGTACGCGAGAAACCGTTCCATAACCGTCAAATTACTGAAACGCGCGCGTTTGGTCGATCGGATAACCGTTCCCGCGCATTTTGGCCGAAGCGCTCAAACGTTTGGCCGATAATTGTTCCCGCCAAAGCACTTAGCCGAATTTCATCGATCAATCTTTCATTCCCTTCGACCAAATCTACCATGTTCGGACCAGTAACTGTCCTGTCCGAACACCAACCATACTTGTCTGAATTCTGACCGGACAAACTCAACTGTCTCGGCCATAAACTGTGCCAGCTCGACCATAGTCTATCTCTCTCGGCCACTTAACTGGTTCAGTTTAACTGATTTGACCAACTGACTGATCCAGCTCAAAACTCTCGACACTTAGTCTTTTCAGCTCAATTATCTTTGTACGTTCGGATTCAACCCAATCTCTCGGCCAAACTTAACGTTCTGAACCATTTTCTCTCGGCCAAAACTTTACCCTTGGTCCGCGGGCGTTACAAATCTCCCCCACTAACTTAGATTCGTCCTCGAATCTTTGCCTTTCCTTGGCTTATCCGAACACTTAGGCTGCTTCTCAAACCACTTAGAGAATTTCTCTTCCATTCTTGATTCCGGTTCCCAAGTTGTCTCTTCTTCACCTTCACAATCCCAAACGACTTGGATCATCTTAACTCTCTTTCGGCCAATTGCCTTAACCCTTCTCCCAATTATCCGTACCGGTCTTCCCTCAACGGTCAGATTATCCTGTAAGTCAGAAGGTGGTTCGGCCACCACATTTTCTCCATTCGTCACACACCTCTTCATTAAGGAAACATGGAAGACTGGATGAAATGCCACTAAGGCTGGTGGCAATTCGAGCTTGTAAGCAACCAATCCGATCCTCTCCAGGATCTTATACGGTCCCATGTACCTTGGTTTCAACTTCCCAGTCGCGGCAGCCTTGTCCTTACCCTTAAACGTGATCAGCTTGAGATAGACCAAATCCCCAACTTGAAATTCCAACTCTCTGCGATGCTTATCCGCATAACTCTTCTGTCTATCTTGGGCCTCTTTCATCTTAAGTTTCAAAACTCGGATTCTTTCAGTTGTCTCTTCCACAAAGTCTCGGCCAAACAGACTTCGCTCCCCCACTTGGGTCCAACATAGTGGTGTTCGGCAAGGCCGGCCATACAATGCCTCATACGGCGACATTCCGATACTCGCCTGAAAACTGTTGTTATAGGAAAACTCGGCCAAAGGCAAGTAATCCTTCCACTTACCACCCCAATCCAGTACACAAGCTCGCAACAAATCCTCAAGTGTTCGGATTGTCCTTTCCAACTGTCCATCCGTCTGTGGGTGGTAAGCCGTACTCATGTGTACCTTTGTACTGAATCGTTTCTGAAGTGCCTTCCAGAAAGCAGAACTGAACCGCGCATCTCTATCCAACACTATGCTGGCCGGTACGCCATGTAGCTTAACGATCTCTTCCACATAGATCTTAGCCAATGCGTCCGCCTTATCATGCTTGTTGATAGCCAAGAAGTGCGCAGACTTGGTCAGTCTATCGACTATTACCCAAATCGAGTCCACCTTTCCGCACATAGGCAATCCGGTCACAAAGTCCATAGTTATCATGTCCCATTTCCATTATGGGATTGGTAAACTCTGTAGTAAACCGCCCGGCACCTGATGTTCTGACTTCACCATTTGACAAGTCTGACACCCGGCTATCCACTTAGCCACATCCCGCTTCATCCCGACCCAATGATAATACCGTTTAAGGTCGCGGTACATCTTAGTCGACCCTGGATGAATCGAAAACTTTGAATGGTGAGCTTCCTTAAGGATTTCTTCCCGCAATTCCTTATCATTCGGTACACACACTCGACCATTCGCCACTATGGTCCCGTTCTTTGAAGTCTTATACTCTGTGTCCTCATTCTTTGATGCCTTAATCAGATTCTCATCCAGTTCCTGAGCTAACCGCACTCTAGTCAACAAGTCGGCTTGATCCGCTGCACCAAGTCCCAACGGTTCCACCTCATCAGTCAGCGCAGCCAAACGCAAGGAACCGACCATCTCAACCAACCCTCCCATATCCTTGGCCGAATCAACAGCCACTCTTTTCCGGCTCAAGGCATCAGCAACAAGGTTTGCCTTACCCGGATGATAGGAGATCTCCACATCAAAGTCGGCTATTGATTCCATCCATCTCTGCTGTCTCATTCCGCATATTGTCATATCTAGGATTTACATATATAACATTTATTACTGTCAAGAGTGATTTTATTATTATTTTAATATTGAATATTTCGATTTATAAAAAGTCAAAGATTCAAAACTTGAAAAACAAGTATTAGGTTGCGCTATACATATGAAAGAATATACAATAATGATGTATTTGGCGAATCAAATATCATGGTCTAATAAAGAATCATTCTGATTAGTTGATAATTGTGTGAAAGATTCCTGTGCAAAAGGTTAATTAAATCTATTCATAATTTATGTCGAGTAGACCTTGTTGTTTTAGGTTGAGTGAAGATGTACTTCAAACTCTTATGATCCGTGAAGACTTGCACTTTCGCACCATACAGATACGGTTTCCAAATCTTTAATGCAAACACCACCCGCCCATCTCTAAATCATGAGTCGGATAGTTGAACTCATGCTTCCGCAGTTGCCTCGAGCCGTAAGCAATCACAGTCCCGTGTTGCATCAATACGCATCCCAGTCCAGTTTTCGATGCATCCGTATACACCCCGTACGGCTCATCAGGTGTTGGCAAGGCCAAAACCGGAGTAGTTGTAAGCATTTCCTTAAGCTTAGCAAAACTCTTCTCGCAGTCCGCGGACCACACGAACTGAGTGTCCTTCCGAGTCAGCCGGGTCATTGGCTGAGCCATGCTCGCGAATCTCTTAACAAACCGTCTATAGTATCCGGCCAAACCCAAAAAAGCTCCGAATCTCAGTTGCATTCCGCGGTCTAGGCCATTCAGCAATAGACTTGATCTTTTCCGGATCGACAGACACTCTTTTATCCGAGACCACATGGCCTAAGAAACTGATTTCCCTTTGCCAGAAGCTGCACTTACTGAGCTTAACATACAACTGATGTTCCCTTAACCGCTTCAAGACCGTACTCAAATGGACTGTATGCTCCTCTGGGCTCTTAGAGTAGATCAGGATATCATCTATGAAGATGATCACGAACTCATCCAAACAGTCTCTGAACACGTTGTTCATGAGTTTCATGAATGCGGCCGGTGCATTAGTCAGTCCGAAGGGCATGACCACGAACTCATAGTGTCCATACCTTGTTCTAAAGGCGGTCTTCCTCACATCCGACTCAGCTATAGGAATCTGATGATATCCAGAAGCCAAATCGATTTTAGAGAACCAAGTAGCGCCTCGGAGTTGGTCCAACTCCGATATATATATTTTATAACCTTTCATGATACTTCATGAATCCATTCTCAAGGTTCTCTAAATGAGCAGTAACACGTCATATGTTTCAACCACGATCCAAAATTTGAAACTGTTTAGAGGAGATTAGTTTCCGATAGAATGCCATTGATATATTCTTGTTTGGCTTTCACATTTTTCGCGACAGCCGGAAAGGGTATCAACTTTGGTGTCTTATTTTGTTATACAACAAAATCTCGTATAAACGTGTAAATGAACATATGTAAATATTAATCAACTACATGATTTTTATCGTTAAATATATAAAAATTTCAGTATGTGTTACTTTCTAAGAAAATAAAAATATTTCGTTTAATGACTGAATTAACGTTATTTTTTTGAAACAATAAATGTTAGAAAAAAAAAGTAACATAGTTTTTTGGATGTAAATCCCCGTTTTGTTTGGAATAATAACATATTACATCAAATGTAGATGAACTAAGATATACTCATGTCATGTCATGTAAGCTTTTAACCAGAAAAATATTATTACAAACCAGAATACATGTTATTTGTTTCACAAAGTTATATAATCTCGTCAAACACACATTAATTCCATTAGATTGAAAGAGTAAAGATCCACGTAATCATAGGGTTTTTTGTGGGTTATAGAAACCTTAAAATCCATATTCCTTATTCTTAGTTCACGAAAAAAACAAAAACAAATCTACAAAAGATAATAAAAAAAAGTCCAGTCTGACTCTAATCAAGATGCTAGGACCGAGTCTTACTATCCTCCACCAACTCCAAGAGTCCAATCCGACTCTAACCAAGATGCTAGGACCAAGTCTTACTATCCTCCACCAACTCCAAGAGTTCAGCCGGACTCTAACCAAGATGCTAGGATCGAGTCTTACTATCCTCCACCAACTCCAAGAGTCCAGTCCGACTCTAACCAAAATACTAGGACTGAGTCTTACTATCCTCCACCAACTCCAAGAGTCCAGTCCGACTCTAACACATATGTTAGGACCGAGTCACGCTTCTAAGACTATGTATAATAATACATGACAATATAAAATCTTGTTTGGATTATTGTATGTTTTACCATCAACCTATAATAATAATAGTTTTCTGTTACATATTTAAATTAAACTGTTCAGATGCTACCTTGGTTACAATACTATTGCAATGTCATTTGTTCTCACGAACATAATGGAGACATCATGCGTCTACAAAAAAATTCGAGCAGAATAACCAAATTATAATTGAGTTATGCGACAATTCGTCAACGGTCATTATAGTATTAATTAAAGAGCTAAACAGTTTACCCAACTATTAAAACTTCCAAAAGCTTCAGATATGAATATTTTCATGTCATAAAATTATATATATATATATATATATATATATATATATTTTATAACCTTTCATGATACTTCATGAATCCATTCTCAAGGTTCTCTAAATGAGCAGTAACACGTCATATGTTTCAACCACGATCCAAAATTTGAAACTGTTTAGAGGAGATTAGTTTCAGATAGAATGCCATTGATATATTCTTGTTTGGCTTGTCTCTAGGACAAGTCACAGTTTTCGCGACAGCCGGAAAAGGTATCAACTTTGGTGTCTTATTTTGTTATATAACAAAATCTCGTATAAATGTGTAAATGAACACTTGTAAATACTAATCAACTACATGATTTTTATCGTTAAATATATAAACATTTCAGTTTGTGTTTCTTTCTAAGAAAAATAAAATTTCGTTTGATGATTGAATTAACGTTATTTCTTTGAAACAACAAAATGTTAGAGAAAAAAAAGTAACATAGTTTTTTGGATGTAAATCCCCATTTTGTTTGGAATAATAACATATTACATCAAATGTAGATGAACTAAGATATACTCATGTCATGTCATGTAAGCTTTTAACCAGGAAAATATTATTACAAACCAGAATACATGTTATTTGTTTCACAGAGTTATATAATCTCGTCAAACACACATCCATTCCATTAGATTGAAAGAGTAAACATCCACGTAATCATAGAGTTTTTTGTGGGTTATAGAAACCTTAAAATCCATATTCCTTATTCTTAGTTCATGAAAAAAAAAAAAAAACAAATTTACAAAAAATAATAAAAAAAAGTTTGGTGACTATTAGATTTCCAAATTAATATTCCTAGATTTGGTCCTTTACAAAAATAAATGTATGAGTTATCCATATAGCACATCAGTTAAAACCAACTAACATAACTTATTCTTATATGTTGGTCAAAACTCAAATGATATAATTATTGCACAATACACTATTTACTACAAATTCAACAAAAATAATAATAAACATAATTACATTGCTTTCTTTTGATCAAAACTCACAACACAATAACAATATTAAAAAGCAAACTAGACTAAACAATTTTCAATCACATCATAAAATGAATAGGATGATCATGAAGCTCTTTGCAATAACAATGTTGGTCACATTTCTTGCCTTAGCTAGGGCCATGAAATTGGATCTTCCACCAACTTCAAGAATCCAATCCGACTCTAACTAAGATGCTAGGACTGAGTCTTGGTATTTCCCACCAACTCCAAGAATCCAATCCGACTCTAACCAAGATGCTAGGACCGAGTCTTGGTATCCTCCACCAACTCCAAGAGTCCAAACTGACTCTAACCAAGATGTTAGGACCGGGATTTGGTATCCTCTCCCAAGTCCAAGATTCCAATCCGACTCTTACCATGGGGTGGCCCAACATCGGATGGCTCTGATTCTATTTCATCATTAACACCCCTCCTTATGTTAAGAAATCATCATCTGAAGAGTGGGCAATTGTGGGAACAACATTCACGGGGTGGCCCAGAATCAACTGCTCTGATATTATGTCAAATTCGGGTTAAATATGGGAATCCAACCTAAAATTAATTGATAATAGGTGAAAAGGCTCTAACTTTTTATATTCCAATTTCCGATGTGGGACTTTCGTAATGATGCATCTCACCAAATTACTTTATGAGCAACTAAATCTTTGCCCCGACAAATGTCGTTACAGTAAAAAACTAAAAAGTCCCAAGTCTCTATGTGTTGGCTGTTTTTAATGTTTGGTTCCATTGGATTTTGTTTTGTTAAAGATGTTTGGTCCGTTGGTTACGCCGAAGAAAATGAAAACATCACATGATTTTCTGTAGCCATTTTTTGTAACCTATGTGTAACTATTATTAGTATTTATTATTGATTTTATCTTCTGATTACAGTTGTTGACTTGTTGTTATCATCAAATATCTTCTTATATCATGATAGCTACGTGCATAAAGACATATAGTGTATTAAGGAACATCTTTTATAGTGTAAATTTGGAATCATCCAAAACATAATATTTTAACTATGGACTGTAATTGAGTAAACTTTCAATGATTTGGTCAAACATGTAACAAAGTGTCAAAGTCAAAACTTGAAAGAAAGGGATGACACTGGGACATCATGTGGACACATTGAAAAAATTCACCACTTTTAAACCATGTCTTATATCCAGTTATTGCAAATATAATTATAACAAAACTTTCTTTTTGTCAACTCTTCAAGGATAATGCGCCGTAAAACACTATTATATATCTAGTGTTTTCAATTTGATAGCAACATAATACGTTAAATGTATACCCACTAAAATGTGGTTCGACGGATTCGATTTGGTAACTAGGTAATTTAAAAGACATTCCAATTGTGGCTTTCATCATTCAAATAAAATGAATATGTTAAAAAAAAAAAATGAATATGTTGAAATACTGATCGATCGGATTGATCCAGTGACTTTGCGTTGAATGTTTACTACCAAAAACATATATATATATATATATCAACAACGCAAATATGTATTTACGTGGATGACAAGTTTCTGTACTTATTCGACTTCTTTTTTAGTTTGCAAACAAAGCTTGTGGTTACTTATATGTACGTTGGATTCTTCAAATAATGCAATAATAGTAAAAAAAAAAAAAAAAAAAAAAAAAAAAAGCACATGCAACTTGTTAGATATTTGGAGGCCCCTGTCCTTATGGCCCTTATATTTGATTGTCATTTACTCCATGTAATTTGGCCCTATTTTGTTAAGGGTCCAATCTATATCATCAGTTTTGTGACACATAATTGACAGAAAAAAACATTAACCAAAATATGCAAAAGAGACAATACAAATCATATGACAGAAAAATCATATATGTAACGCAACGAGTTTATAACTTTATATTAGTAATGTCCTTATGTCATCACTTGCATTCAAATTTGATGTAAATAGTAGCCAAGTAAGCATGACATAATTTTTTATGGAAATTGAACAAATGGAAGAGCAAGTTTAAGCATATTATCAATTAGAACTAGGATTCGTCGTAGCATTGACATTAACAAAAGAAAGAGAAAAAAAATCCAAGATAGAAAAAGAAAGACATCACCAAATTGTAAATAGTCTCAATCCCAAAAACAAAACAAAAAACTAAGCAATAAAAAAAAAGCTTCTTACATCTTCTAAATCCTTTTTCTGGCATTTCTTTTTTTTTTTGTTCAGTGACCCTTCTTCTTCTTCTTCTTCTTCTTCTTTCACACAAGTTTCCTCCTAACTCTTTTACCTTTTGCTTTCTTCTGGTTATTTAACTTCAAGGTCTAGCTCTCTTGTTACTGCAACTTGGGCATTTGTAGTGCTTGATGTGCTCTGCTTTCGCTGGCGTTATCTTCACACACTTTCCATGGAACCATTTCTCACAAGCGTCGCAGCAAATCCAGAACTCGTCAGTGCCGTAGCTGTCTCCACAAGCGCCACAAACCGCACCTTGCTCATCGTCTTCGTCCTCATCATCACTCTCGTCCTCGTCTTTAGGCGGTGGAGATGACATCTTTGGAACCTTTGTGAGAGATTCAGATTGGCGAGACTGCTTGCAATTGAAAATTTACAAAGAGATTATAAGAGCTTAAGCAGAGATGACGAATGAAAAAGAGAGGAATATGAAATGGAGAAGACAGAAGATAGATACCTTGACGCCGCTAGTTTTGGTTCTGCTAATGTTGTTGTTACCAGAATGATCCTTGGATTGCTTTGCATTGCCAGTCACAACCTCGAATATGGTTGGGAGCTCGTTTATCATCTGGAAGAGTCTCTTCCTGAAAAGAGCCGATTCATAGAGGATTTTGATAAGATTACCAAGAAAATTCTTAATTTCAATCAGCAAAGAACTACACATACAAAAAGAGTTTGCTTCACAACACAATGCCCAATCCAAACCCTAGAAAATTCCAGAATCACCGATTTGTTGCTGAGCTGTAAGCATAGCTATAATCCAGTGGAAACAGCCTAGGCTAATAAGAATGATCCTGCACTAGACTAATCAAAGTAGATGCACATATCACAGTTATGAACCTGAATCCTATATGTATCTCAACAAAATTGGTCTATTGTGGTGATTCATTACACTTATGGCTTCGATTCTGTTTCATGAAGCAAAAAAAAAAATAAAACTGAAAACAGTTACTAAAAGAGTTTAACAGAATTTGACCAACTGAACAAAAGTAAGTTACACAGAGATTGTTGATATCAACACAAGAAGAATGCTAGAATGGTCATTACCACATTACCAAACATGAGCGCACATTTTTTTAAACGCAAAAGGGTGAGAAGGAACTTTACCTCTCATTCTTACCAAACCCAAAGCGTGCACCAAAGTAGAACGCAACGGAAAGCAGCCACGAATCACTGTGAACAGCGACGAGAGACACCCAGTCCTTTTCTTGCATCCCGTCTCTCGCGAAGTTGATGCCTAGAGCCGGTTCGGGGAGCTCGGGAGGGACTTCCTCGACAGGAAGATTAACCTCCCACGTCTCATTTGGAAGTCCGTACAGGCACAAGTTCTCTTTCTCTGCATACAAACAACCAAGAAAGAACTTAGACACTCACAATCAACAAATTAACTACTCAAAAAGGTTCAAACAGAGAGAAAAAAATATCATGATAAAGCTTTTAACAGAGGAGAAAACTAAAACTTTTACTTTTAACTGAGATCTGAACTCGAATCTGTTACATAAAAATCTAGAAACCATTGATCAGCGAACGAGATTCATGAACGAGAGAGAGAGATTGAGGCTAAATCGACAACTGAAAACATGCAATCTCAGTAACTTCCGACATACTGTGCAACTAGAAACCGTAAACTGGAAAGCCGACAAAACTAAAAACACCCAGAAAACGAAAGCTGGCGTTTTGATATTGAAGATAAAGCAAGACTAGTTTACACTTGTCGAAGAAATAACTCACCAGGATCGCAAGTTTGGTAAAACTTCACCATATCTGCATCAAAAACAAAAAAACAAAAAAAACAAAAAAAAAATCGTCAAATCTCAGAAAAGTAAAAAAAAATAAAACCTGTAAATCTATAAACGCTTATCCTTCTGCTTCGCCGGCGAAAATTTCTCGGAGAGACTAAATAGCCCAGAATTGGACAAAGAACGAGAGGACAGAGACAGAGGAGAGAGAAGACCAAACTCACCGTTTGTGAGAGCCTTAATCAGACCAGCTCGTCGACCTCTGAAGTCGCTAAAGACCTCTTCGACAGTTCGAGGTATAGGATGAGTGATACCTTCCATTGTCTTAACTACAGACGAGACGATGCCGCCGGAGAATAATTTTAGCCTCACAATCGCCGGCGAAGGTGAGTGTTCCGGTGACGAATGCTTCAAGAGATTAGAGAAGCAGGGAAACAGAAGAAGGACCCAAAAGTAAGAAATTTCAGTATGGGTTGGGATTTGGGGAGATGAAATTTATAAATCTCTGTGAGCAGAATTTAATTTGGGGGAAATTGGAAAAATGAAAAATAGAGAGGAGCTAGAAACCCTAAAACGAATAAAAAGGAACCGATCAAAGACAATTTTGGGGGCTTGGACATATGTCCTACTGTATTTATATAATTATTTTTTACGTCATATATAAATTAACAAGGACAACATGTGTATTTTTTATATATTAATTAATCTGTATTATATTATTCAATTATTTATTCCGGTCTTACACACCTTGCTTTTTTCTCGGCTGCATCCCAAATGAATCTATTATAGACTCGCGAATATTTTACCAACATTGATCGTTTATTTGGTTTTACTTTTTCTGGTTAAAAAAAACAAAAAAAATTAGATCGAATCTAAACCGAGCAAATAAAAGAGTAGGCTAACGTATTTAATCAAACCAAATTTTCAAGCTTTACCAAAAAAATTCGACCAAAAAAAAGCTTTACCAAAATTTGCCTTTAACCTTAACCCAAATTCATAGCCCAATTTAGCTGGATTATGAAGAGATTCAATGTATGGCCCAATAAAAGATTATCGGCTTTTGCCGCAACAAAGTGGAATGAAACCTGAAGTTTTGATCATCCACGTATAGTTTTTTACGGTACAACTGGAATTATTTTAATAATAACAGTTTGATTTTCTTGAAAGAGGAAGATAAGCAAGATGAAAACTTTTATCTTTAATCACTGGTAAAAAACGATTCCTATTCACCATAATCTGTTTGGTTTGGCAAAATTCTTAGTTTAGTAGGTACTAGAGTTTACGTTTAGCAGACAACTCTAGTGCAGTTTGTTTCAGTATATCCCATGAACTAAAATTAGAAGAACACATCACTAAAAATAATATGAAACACGATCAACTCAACTCATTAATAAGTGCTGTTTTAGTGTTACGTCTTGAATGGTAGTACTATTAGCTAAACTATGTAATCTGATATGGTATAATGTATGTAGGTATGGGACTTCGGGTACCTGTTCGGATTCGGTTTGGATAACTTTAGATTTTCGGGTTTATATTATAAAACCTGTTCGGGTTTTATTTTATTTTCTTAGGTTCACACATGAATATATCATATCTGATTACATGGTTTAGCTAATATTACCTAATCAAATAACACTGAAACAATATTTTAGGGTTTAACCCAAGAAAAAATGACAACTATATATTTAACGTGTGCACTAAATTAGAACTTACGGTTACAAAAACAAAATAAAAGTTACATAAAATAAAAATAGTTTGGTCGACTTTCATCTATCCCATACTAATAAAATTAATGGTGTAAACCTTTTTTAGAACTCTAAAAAGTTCTTATAAAAAAAATGAAACTACTGTCAATACAAGACACATAGATATCTCATATTTTTCGATCGAGTGGGATGTTTCATCAATTGATTGATAACCCACAATGCGATAAACACGTAGCCGCCATTCACATTTCTTCCATGACAGTCATGGCACTGCAACACTTCCACGCCACCAACTGAGCCACTTGCAACAAAGAGAATAACATGTCCACAAACTGGGGCCTCGTCCGCTCTAGGATTGTATAGAAATTCACTTATTGTCCTATCGTAAGAAGAAAGGAATCAGACCGAGAGTGGGTACCTAGTGAGCTCAGACTTCAATTTACTATAAATCAACATCGTACCATTGCGAGGATTCCTCCTATCCATATATCCTCGAAGGCTATGGACTGTGCACTCACTGAGTTTGTTTGTATCTTGGAAGTTTTAAGAGTTAGTAGATTGTTTATCTATAAAGTCGCACTAATCAGCTTTAACAACCTTGATCTAATGTAAACACGATGCCAAATGAATTTAAATAATTATTAAATAAAAGACAGAAAATATTAGGGTTTTGTTTATTTATTTTAGTTATGATGATATATATGAATCGAGTGAAAACCAAACACCATTTGGTTTGTTGATATTATTCAAAAGATTTGGTTTTAAAATTTTAATTAGTTTAGTTTTTGCTGTTGCAGTTTGTTTCGTATATGAAAAATGTAACTGATGATGATTATGTAGAATAAATTGTTTATTTTTTTCGGATCAAAATGTTTATTAGCATGACTTTGGTTCGGTTGAAAAACAGTTAAGCTGTATTGGGTCGTAGTTTATTTTCATATCCCATTCAATTCAAATAAGTAAAAAGTATTACACTCGACATAAATAAACTTCTTAACTCAATTACATAAATCGCAATAATCCATCAAAGTCTAGCTATAACTATCTTGTTTAGAATATATAACGAGTATACTATATATAACGAAGCAGCATTATATATTATGTAATTGGTAATATTCGATATTTAATTAAATTACTTAAAATTAGGAATATTAGTATAATGATCTTTGTTTCCATCTGGTACTAGTGGATTCCACATATCCCACAAAGCATGGTTTGGAATCGTCCCTGCAGGGATCATGTTCATCGCTAACGCCGCTTGCGTTTGAGGCGTTAGTGCCGCCGTAGTGGCCGCCGCGACCAATTGCAACGCGTTTACGTTTGCGTTTTGTTGTTGTTGATTATGAAACTGCTGAGCAATTTGATAGTATTGGTGATTGATGTTACCTCCATCAGATATTTGGTAGTTAACGAGTCTTTGAAGATCATCAACAATTGCGGTTTCATCATCTTCTTGATTACTTGTAGAGATGATCGGCGTGTTGCTTGCACCATAAGGCATCGGACGATAAACGTTTTGATTGGCTAAAGCTATCGTGACGTCAGAATTACTGTTTGTGGTGGTTGTGGTGCTGCCGTCGCCAGAATATTCAGTTGAGAGCTTCTCGAGATTGTTGCTGATGTTGTTGTTGTTGTTGACGTTGTTAAGGTTGTTGTCCAAATGATTAGAGGAGGATGAATGGTGTTGTTGTTGTTGTCTTATGGCCAAGCGGGATGATGATGATGATGATGAGTTATGGTTATGATGATGATGTCTTGTAGAGAGCGAACGTGGTAAAGATGGATGATCTTCTACTCCTGGCCTTTTGTACACTCGGCACAATGATATTTCAGCCTAAATATATATATACATGAACATATTGATTAGAGACTTAAAAACATATACATGTAATATAAGTAGACTAACAGTAATTATGAAAAAATATAAAACAAGTCATAGATTCATAGGTGATGTGTACTTCGTAGTCCGTAGTAACAATTTCATCGGCAGACTAGTAGAATCATTTGACTTACTTATATAGTATTAAACTGAAATCACATTTTTCAGTTTGAGATTTAATAACTAATTTATTAGGGTTCCTTATATTACTACATGCTAGTACAATTGGATTTGGATCGATGTGTAAATGTGTAATACATACACATATTAGTCATGTATATATCCGCATTTTAGTTTATGACTTCAAATAGTGACAGCTTAGTATATATACGGAACAAACCGAAATTAATGCATTTATCAGTCCCTAAACTATTTTTTCGGTTTGCTCCGTATACCGTCACAATTCATAAGTTGAATAAAAATTTTAATGTTTCGTATAGAAATTCAAAAAGTGCTGGGCAACTTAAATAGAAGACATTAGACATGACTGTGAGAAAGAGCATGAACTACGTGATAAACTGTAAGAACACTAATTAAGCCTCTGCAGAAGTTAAGGTATATGTACATGTAGATGTGTGAATGTCGTATGACACACATGTGTGTATGTATATATGTATGTAGCTATCTATTAATGCCTTCTACTATACACATGGGCCATGGCTAGTAATTTAAAGAATTCATGCGTAAGGCATGAACATTTTCTGGATTTAAGCGCAAACGCCGCCTGACATTTAGTTCTTTTTGGATCTTATCGAACCAATTCCAAAATGAAAAATAAATATAATTAAATTAAATTAAATTAAAAAAGAAAATTCAAACAATCTAGGGATTAGTTTCATTTGAATTTGTAAGGCATCAACCTAGCTAGGGTTATATCTATTTGTGTACATAAAAAAGAGTTGATTACCTTTTGGTATTTCTCGGTTTCATGGTGCGGGAGACGATACTCGTTCATAATCCAACTGGTACGAGTCCCTTTAGGGGCTTTACCGGAGTAGAAAACTAGGGTTTTCTTTAAACCGATAGGCCGAGATGTCTCCGATCTGATCATCCGATCTGCTCCGGTGGCTTTCCAATATCCTGAAGTTGTTACTCGGTTTGGTCTATCCCCATTTCTATATTTCCGGTCTCTTGGCACATAGAAGTACCACTCTTTCTCTCCTATCGCCGCCATCGCTGCATATACATACAAATATTATATATTTTTGGGTTAAAAATTACAGACATATATGAAATAATATATTTTTCATCAAACAATACTAAAAAGTAAGACTTATATGCATATAAACATGTATACATACACACATATGCGAATATCTTATGAAGTTATGATTGATATAAAAGGAGGTCTAATTGTTTAGGTTTAGAATAAAAACTACAAATGGTTGATTCCTCATAATTTTTTGTTACAAAACGTTGTTATTTTGGTCAAAGTCATAAAGTATAACCGCTATCCAAAAACAAAGAGAGAGAAGGAAGTGTTGAAAGATATTGAGAATATCAGAGATTGACATAGGAATATAATATGAGAAGGTTATATAGGTTTCGTCTGTGATCCATGGATCTCCGATCGGGAAACCTTTTTGGAGAACCACCCGGACAAGACCGACTCCCCTTTTATTAGTTAGAGTAGCTCGGGATTTGGATCAAGTACCAACTAGTAAGGAATCCAAGAAAACTATAGCACTTACTAGCTCATCTTCTCTTTAAAAATGAGCACTATATATATATATATA